CCCCCCCCCCTTACCTCCTGGGCCTTTTAAGAACCTCAGACTAACATACCCGTAGGCAAAACCCTGCCGTCATTGCCAAGGCTGACCGCGTCTTCGGCTTCATTGTGCAAGCCCTCGATGCCGGCACTCTGCAAGGCCAGACCGCTGCCCGGGTTGCCCAGGCGGCTAAGCAACTGGTTGCGGCGACCAACTTGAACGCCGAGTCGATCCTGGCTGGTGTTAGCCCGGAAAGCCAAGAGCGGGTTCGCAAGTTTTTCCAGTAGAGTCCGGCTCGGCTTTTTGTTTTATATCCGTGGCAACCTACCTTGTCTGCCCATCCCGGTTGTTATTTCCCACTTGTCTGTTAATCATTCCCCTTGGGCTATGTGAATCCGATGCTAGTAAAGACGTGAAATGCTTTTTTTTAATTCCCACCCAATTTCCCCCCCCCCCCCCCGTCTTTATGTCCCTGTGCCACGCCCGTACGAATTATAAAGTACCACGACACCACAATCAATGCCAGGGTTGTTTGGTCCATATGCTTATTTATAGATGGAGTGACTGTCCTATGATCTGGATTCTATTGCTAGTCAATTATGATGGTAGCTTCTATAGGTCTTCGTCGTTCGGTCATGCCTATACTACAGATTACTAGACCTACGAACCTCCCTAGCAACAATCTCCTCCAACGAGGTCGTCCGTGGCTCTCCAATCAGCCCGTTCGCCCGCTGCTCATATAGCGTGCCACCCTCTGCCCAGATTCGCCGCAGAGTCGCTAGCGTCGCCGCGGGATTCCCATTTGCCCATGCCTCGTCCTCGATCTCACGCAGTCGCTTCAGAGGCGTATAAGACACCTCCCAGGGCCCTGGAACTTGGCGCTCAAAGAGAGCCTGGATCTCAGCCGGGCTAGTCGTGAAGGAGTTGACACACAGCGGGCGATTGCGTGTCTCGGGTGTTGCGTTGAGCAGAGTCGAGACGACAAAAGTACCCACGCTGTTGATCCCCATTAGCCAACTAATCACAAAATCTGCCTCGAAGACCAGAAGTGAAACTTACTCCTCCATCGTCGTCAAACTAAGCCTCTCCTCCCCCTTCTCTCCCAAAAGCACCGCCTTCCTCTCCTTCACATCCCACCCACCCGCCTCCTCGACTCCGGGGTCGATCTGCAAATACATCTCCGCAAAGGGACCCGTCACGATATACGAGTAGTCCAAATCCTTGCGGGAGATTTCGTTCTCCAGGACGGCGCGGACTTTGAGTTTCTGCTGGTGGGGCTTTTCGTGGGCCGAGGCTGGACTGTAGGCGATGTCTGTGCCGTATTCGGAGGGGAAGAACCATTTGATGGATGGAGAGGCGGCGGCAAGCCGGATGAGGGGGATCTGTTGGGCGAGGGTGTTACGGCCTAGGGCGGAAATGACGGTCGTTATTCCTGGACGAGGGGTCAGTGGGGGATCGTTGTATGTGGTGTTTTACCGCAACTATAGAAGCCGCAATGATCGTGTTTTGGACTTACCCTCGTAGGCGGCTTTGACGGCGTTCTCATCTTCGAGATTGCCCACAATCACTTCGACGCCTTTCTTTTTCAGGGCATCTCCCTTGGTCTCTGCAGTACGCGCGGAGGTGAAGATTGCGATGCGGCCGAACTGTTCGCGCTGGGCGAGGATTGCGTCCAGGATATAGCCGCCAATGGTGCCCGTGGCGCCAAAAACGAGAACGTTTTGGGGAGACATGTTATCGTATATACAATTGAGGGCAGATTAGGAGGAAGAAGAAGAAGAAGAAGAAGAAGAAGAAGAGACAACGAGGGAGATGGAATATACGGAGTACATCCTCGGACATCAGCCCGAGGGGTTTCCTTTTCAACTATGGGGTCGCGGGGCTGTTTTGCTTATCAATCGAGTTGGAGACTTTACCCGATTATTCTCCTATTTCCTATGGCGCAATTGACACTAATGCTCGATCGAGGAGGCATCTAAACCACCATCTCTAGGATCTCCAGGACTTGCTCCTTCCGTTTCAACGGGACGGGGTTGGTCCGACACCATCGGTCGTGTAGACTGTGTTCGGCGAGGGCGTCCAACTTGTCACGACCCACCCCCACATCCGCTAGTGACCGCGGCATGCCCAACTCGCGAATCACCGTATCTAGAATATCGCCCAGGTCCGAGTCCTCCACGGTGATAGCGTGAGAGCGTAAAACCTCGGCGACGACGGGATCCCGGATGAGGAACTCGCGCACCCGCGCCTGTCGCTCGCGATTGGCGTTGTGCTTTGCATTGAACTTGCACACGGCGGGGAGCAAGATGCAACTTGTCTCGCCGTGTCCCACCCCCAATGGACCGAGCTAGACAAGAGCTTGTTAGCTATCTATGCTCTCCCTACAGCATCATTGATCCTCGCCATGGCGCGCTTCAGGTAGGAAAAAGAACCACGTACCTGATGTCCAATCCCATGACTAGCACCCAATTCCACGGATCCACTCGTACAGGCAGCCATTGCATCCACCGATCCCAACTGACACTGCAAATGCGCCTCCCGATCGCCACGATCCCTCTTACACCTCAACAACCCGGGGACTAATAATCCCAACGCATGCTCTGCAAGTTCATCCGACGACGGGGTCACACCCACGACCGCACAAAGCGTCTCGACGCAGTGATCCACCGCACGAATCCCCGTACTCAGCCAGATCGAGTCCGGCGTGGTCTCGACGAGCTCGGGATCGAGGATGATGAGTTGGGGGCCGCGGAGGGGTGCTTGGAAACTGTATTTCCGGCGGGAGTTGTCCTCGGTGCCGCCGGCGAAATCGGAATATTCGCCTGCGGAGAGGGAGGTTGGGACGGAGATGATGGGGATGGTGGGAGCGAGAATCTGGGGGCGTTTGTTGGCGCCTTCGGCGAGGGATTCGAGGTCCGAGGGGGTTCGGACATGGTTTGCGAGAGCCTATGGGGAAGAAAGTGGTTAGTTATACACCGGGGGTAACTAGATGGAGTCGTTGTTCTTGTCGTAGCAACGAGCGCTGGAGTAGAGTCTGGGCATCACTACCAGCCCAAGGTCGGGCAACTGCAGTTTGAAAAAGAACAAGGATACACTCACCAAGGCAATAATCTTTGCTCCATCCGTCAAGCTCCCCGCGCCCAGTGTCAACAACAAATCCACCTGCGCATTCCTTGCCTCCTCCACAATCTCCAAGACCTCCGACCAGAGCGTATGGCTCTGCATTCCAATCCGACGACCCACGACCTTCTCCGCACCCAATGCCGTAGTCAATCTATCCACAGCATCGGTATTCCGGGCCAGGGATCCCGAACAGATCACGTAGATGCGCGAGGCACCAAAAGTCTCGGCGACGTGGTGGGCGGCTGCGGTGGGGAAGGCGATGCCGTAGCTGAGCAGAGGGCGCTCGCGGCCTGCGAATGCCGGGCGGACAGTCTCGGTCATTTTAAGAGATGAACAACGAAAGAATGATATCTAATTCTCTTGTTTCCGTGTTGATGAATTCTCAATTGCTCGGTTTGGTATAGTTCAGGGATCATGTCCGGGGATATTATATCATCGTCAACTGGAACAAGCTTCTCCATGTGGGAATGTGGGGCTCGATCAATGTGGGTTCACGCGGAGATTGTCAAGATTCGAGGATAGTCGAGAAGAGATATTGGAAATGAGTACAAGGATAGTCTATTAGCCAAACGAGTCTTCTGATATATTGGAATCAGATCAGTCGACACATCAACACCCCGTTAATCCATGAACCCCTCCATCCGCCGTATACTTGCACGTCCCCTTCCCGGCCGTCGTCGAATTGACCGGATACAAAACCACGTTATCAAAATCAATATTATAACACGGATGCACGTTCGAACACGAGACTGACGCCGTAGTACTCTTGCTCGTATTGATCGTCCCCGTAAAATTGACAAACGCCACATTCGAAATACTCATCAAACTCGTCCCGGAGAGCGACCCATTATTCCCATTGTCCTGGGTAATCGCCGGTCCGGCGTTGGCCTCCTGGATATCAAAGTTGGAGAATAAGACATTGGAAACACTGCCCCAGCCTGCACCGCGGGGCTGACCGGCGCTCTCGTAGGAGGTTTGCGGGACTAGCGCGCCGACCCAGGTCTTGATGTAGGCGCTGTTGTGCATGTCCTCATTGTATCGGATGATTTTGACGGTGTCGATGATGATGTTGGAGACGCTCGAGTCTTCGAGGTATTGGCCCAAGCTGCCAATGGCGATTCCGTTGCCGCCGCGGCAGGTCACGTTGTGGATGTTGACGTTGTAGGATCGTGGCTTGATGGCTACGCAGTCGTCGCCGCCTTGGTAGACGAAGTTGGTTAGCTGGACGTTGTTGACGTCCATTGTGTCTGGAGAGGACCTATCAGTTCACGAATTACAGAAAAAGAAAATGAATATGTTAATTGGAACGAGATGCGTACCGAATCCATCGGTGTTCTGCACCCAGTTCGAGCCGTATGGCGCATCCACTGCAGTCGCATTGCAGTAGATATTGTTGAAACGCATGTTGGTGCCATTCATGATATTCAAGCTCCACAGCTGGGGATCCTTGACGTAGAAGTTCTCCACGGTGACTTCGGACACATTCCAGAACACGAAAGGCATGGGACGTCCGGGCAGTGTAGTCCCCTGTTCCGCCGTATACCACACATTACCATTCCCGTCAATCCCGCCAGTGCCATATCCATCAATCTTGATGTTGTCGCCCGTGATGACAAATCCAGCAGCGTGGTTTTGGAACGCAACTGGGTAAGAGTTGTTACGCCAGTAATCCAGGTCGTCGGAGAACTTGAAGTGGTCAGCCTTTGATACTAGCCCAACGTGACCATCTGAATGACTTACAGTCCACTTCCCCCGCCATTCAATTACCACGTCGTTGACAATGGGGTTCAAGCGTGTTGCAATCCAGTAGGATTGGTCTTCGGGGAATATAACTGTACCGCCATGGCCACATTCTTTGAAAGCTTTCAAGATGTCCGGAACATCGTCTTTTTGATGGCCATTGGCCTTGACAGTGCAGACATTCTGGCCACTTTTGATCACGGCTGCATTGACAGCACTGGTCAGCGCAAGCCCCACGGGGAGCACGACAGAATAGAAATCCAGCAACCGCATAATCGAAGGGACTTGTCCGTGCCGGTCTATCCAGCGCAGACTAGTCGCTTTATTTAACCGACTCTCCAACCGCTAAGAGAAGATCTGATCCCCCTGCAGGAATACTTCTCGGTGACATTCGCGCCGAGCACGCCGCACTACCCCTGGAGACCCCTGGACTCCTTGACGGTTAGACAATGGGGAGAACAGCCATTGCGGGGAAAGTAGTACCCGGAATGACACCAGATTTGTCAATTATGCGGTTTGTATGCGAATGACGATGCCATGGAAGCCACGCGAGTGCTTGTTCTGCCGATCCTTGCCTTGATCCTGGTAAAGTGCAATATCACTGTGTGCAGATTGTTCCACCAATCAGGGGTTCAATGTCCTTGCTTGCTCAAATTTTCTGTATTGCGACAGGTGCACCTCCCTGGTTCACTCGTGTTATTCTTGACCGAGAATTATCATTCGATTGCGGCTTTCTCCCTAGCCCCGCCGGTAATTTGGTTGCTATATGTAGTGGCCATGTTGGGGCCGTTGATCCACATTTGGCCCCGTACCAGAGGACGGGAATAGGTTCCCTAAGGTGATCGAGCTTGGAATGAACTTGGAAACCACACACGAAAGATATTGGTCCATTCTAGGCAGCTTGGAAGCTGCATCTATCTACCCTCCTGGCTAAGCTAGGCTCACTAAACTAGGCGTGTAACAGAAGCTGCATCTCACTAACATAAGCGACCATATCATAAACGGCCCCGCGTCTCGTTCTAGCTACCGAACCAACACTTCTGCCTTACAATCCTTCATCTTTCAACAATCCTTATCCAAGCTTGAAGTCTCCAAAGATGATAATACCTGCTGCAATTTCCCCGGTGATAAGGATTGGGGTCTGGACCGAATCGGCATGTTTTCCCTGAGTGGATTTCCGGCTTTCGCCGGAGATGGTGTGCGTGAGGGCACTTTCACCAAGTCATCATCTGGATCAGGATCGCTATCCTCGTCCTCGGCTGCTCCCTGCATGGACATAATTCGGGATAAGTGCCACTTAAGCTCAAGCAATTCGGTTGATGGCAAGGGCTTCGCCACGGGATCCGGTGTAGTTATATCGAAGATATACCCTGAAGGGATAACTTCCCCAGATACCTGGTGGTACAGTCGCATCATTGTAAGTTCCTCTTTTTCTCTCGGACCTTGCACGAATCCCCTCGGTAGGTCAGGGTAAGGGTGAGACAGCGTGAGGGTAGGCTGATGTCGGCGAACTTTATCGAGAGGAAGAGGTAACCAATGGAATGCTACCTTTAGCTTGGTCCGTTCATCATTGACGCTGATCGGCCGAAAGGCACAAATCGCGCTGTCCCAGTATTGATGTACTTGGATACTGAGCGTCATTAAGTTGGCAGTGAACTCAGTATTCATGGAACCGTCTGGGTTTCGTAAGAGCTGATTCTTCCAAGCCTCGACTCGCTCTTCGCCCCAGAATGCCTCTAGCCAAGGCCAAACCATATCCTCGACGGTGGTGATTTTGTTCAGCTTGAATGGTAAAATATGCGAAACCTGGAGTGTAGGCTGCAAGAGGGCTGTCAGGACACATTGCTGTCTGTCACGGGCTAGTGCCTGTTCCAAGTTATTAGCAAAATAGAAAATTGAAAGCCAACGGGGGCTACTAAGACTCGGAATAACTCCGCGCTAGTAATGTAGAGTTCTAGCATACCTGGTCTCTGGCGTCAATGCTGCGCTTGGAGGGGGCGATAGAGGAGGCGGCGGAGGAGGAGGAAGAGGGAGGAACAGGCAACCGAGAGCGGGCCAGTGACCGTCCGCGGGAACGTTCTTGGGTACCTAGAGGTGAAATTCGAGGGGCATCATCCTGTGTTGCCTGGAGACCGTCTTCAGGATTGATGCGACTGGCTTTGTGGGGTCTCTGGGGGGACAGAGAGGGAGCTTGGCGGACTCTTGGGGACGATAGAGAGGGAGCTTGGTGGATCGTAGGTGGTAGGAATCGCCCACTGATTGCCAGAGCTGCTGGCATCGAGAAGGGCTCGGGCTTTTTGGTGCCAGCCCCTAACAAGAGGAGAAACTGTAAGCCGGGGTGTATGGGAAACGTAGCTTTGTTGTTTCACTTACAGATACCAGCGACATCCAAGTCATTGGGCAATGACTTAGCGGCCAGAGTCAGAGTTTTCCTGGAAGCACGTTCCCCTGGATCCGCTGCCTTTCTGAGGACGCTTATGTCGCTAAACCACAATGCGAATAGATTAGTGCGGGGAACTAAAGCTAGTCCCCCGGCTTGCTCCACAATACTGGCGATAAGAGCTTTGCGCTCTGGATCCTCGAATTCGGAGAAAATATGCTTGGAGTCGATCTCTGAAGCCATGTTGTAGTGAAAGTTGAAGACTTGCAAATGTCTGAGGCTTGGAAATTGTGACTCAAAAAGGCGAGCTTGGGCGAGCTGGAAGTAGGGCAACGTCAAGTTGAAGCTTGGTCATCCTAATGGGAAACGTACTAGTCCTAATCCAGAAACCGCAAAACAGCCGCACTTTGTTACCCTTCAAGCCCCCATAGCTTATTTAGGTCACGTGAGGATCCTTCCTTCTTAGCTAGAGTTAGACGCAAGCCCAATGGAACACCTTTTTGATCCTCTGATCCAGTCACACACTCTCCTTAAATGTGCCACGTGCCACGCATTTACATCGGATCCATGCAGTGTTGTCACCCGTTTAGTCAGCTAGCTAGCTTAGCCAGGTAGATGGTTAACTAATAGCACCAGTCAGCAGTCGGAACAAGCCAGCCAAGTCGCAGATATCGGGGCGTATCTCAATATCATCTCGAGCGCACGACTCTTATCGGTGATCCGACCGGGATCTGACGCATGCCGAGGCTGGATTCACTACTTCGCTTGGTAAGTTCCAGGCGTCTTGGGTGAAGAATGATAATGGGTATACTTTGAAGGTCTCGGTTTCGAAGGGTACGACAGGTAATTTGACGTTACCGTTTGTTACGGCGTCGAAGAAGCCTCCGATTACTATTAATGGGGATCGGGTGAGCAAGGGATTGACGTATTCAAATGATAAGGCTAGTCTTGGTGTCATTGAAGGGGGTTCTTTCCAGGTTGTTGTTCGTTGATTTGGCCTAGGCTGGAAGGGCCTATAATCGGGGGATCATGAACGGCACTAGCTGTAGTTCTAGCTAAGAAACTGAATGCACTTCTGACTGTTGAGATGCATCCCGGGGCCGATTCTTCTAAGATATTCATTGGGTTGCCTGTTCGATATTGGACAAAGATTAAAGAATAGAAGTTCTTAACTCGTAATCTGAGACTTTCAGTATACCATTCTTTCTATGATCAAAGATTATCTCTTGTGTCTCGTTCGAGTCCATACACTTGGTATAACCCAAGACGGGAATAGCGATGGGTGAACCTGGATAGAGTGGATCCCTTAGTCACCATTCCAACCAATTGAGATTTACCCCCGAGCCCTACCTAATAAGCGGCATGTCATGTGACGCACAACCCACCCGCGTTCAATTTTCACCTCACACAAGTGACCTTCTTCCCCGACCAACGACAACCCGTGCACTCGAAGCCATTCACGACACCCTCCAGGTCGCTCCGTCAAGATGGCTGTCCGCAACACCGGTGCGTACTCTCTCTCGCCCCATGATCCTATATCCCTCGCCTCGATCCCATTTGCAAAATTGCGACTCCCCGAGTTCTCGCCATGTTCAACATACAAAGTACTAACGAACCTCTGCAGCCCTGGCTTCTTCTCGTTCCAAGAGCCGCAAGGCTTACTTCCAGGCCCCCTCCTCGGAGCGCCGCGTTCTCATGAGCGCCCCTCTGTCCGCTGAGCTGCGGGCTAAGTACGGTGTATGTTGAAATCAATCGAATCGCATTCAATCTGGGTCTGGCAAAATCTAGTTTGGGGAGGGACGACAAATTGGACGATGCAGACGCCAGCAGAGGAACGGGAAATAAAGGGCACACAAAACTAACACGAAACCTCCAATAGGTCCGCTCCATCCCCATCCGCAAGGACGACGAGGGTAAGATTTCTATCTGGTACCAACTTCAAGATCCGGCGCAATTCTAACAGAGTTTTTTTCTAGTCACCATCGTCAACGGCTCCAACAAGGGCCGTGAGGGCCGCATCACCACCGTCTACCGTCTCAAGTTCTGCGTCCACGTCGAGGTACTTTTTTCAAATTCTTCAACAACCACAAAGTGCATCCGAGTCCAAGAACTAACCCGTTCTCTTTCTCTTATCTAGCGTGTCGTCCGCGAGAAGACCAACGGCCAATCCGTCCCCATCCCCATCCACCCCTCCAACGTTGTTATCAGCAAGCTCAAGCTCGACAAGGATCGTGAGGAGATCCTCGCCCGCAAGGCCAAGGGTCGTGAGGCTCGCAAGAACAAGTCGGCTTAAGCGGTGTCTTGTGGTGTGCGGGTTTTAGGTTCATATTGCAATGACGGTTTAACGGCGCGGGTGTATTGAAGGAACTCTCACAGAATAGGGAGGATCCAACATACCATTCTCAGGATCAATGTTTCTGAACACCAGGTGCATTGCGATGAATGAAAAATGAAAATATCCTTTACTTCTTCCGCTTGGAGTTGGTTTCTCGTCTAGACAATTTTGGTTCTCCAAAAATTTGTCAGCGTGGGACTAGCGGTTCCTTTTTTCCTTTGCATTGATGGGGGAACTTTTCTCAGAGTCGGAGAGGGAGTTAATTCCCTATGCGTAGTTTTGGGGTAGTAGGAGAGAAAGGTGGTTGGATATTTTGAATTCCGCTCACAGTCATGCCTGATAATCTGACATGGGCCTATGAAAGACTGAAAATGCAAGACTATCCACCAAAGCATCAATGTTGTAACAGTCCGAGGCCGTAGTGCTAGCTCCAGTGATGTAGACTATATGACATTGCGAGCAGTAAATGGGTTACTACCTACTTGGCTCGGAGTCTTATTATACAACGCAAGGAAACGAATTAAACGTCGTCTGCACCCATTCTCACCCATACCCACCCGACAGGCACTCCACGTTTTACCTCCTCGCCATATAGATTGAACTAAGAGTATTACTCTACTTTCATAGTTACATTTCATACGTCCCACCCGAATTGATTCCAAAAAACCCCCATTCCATTCCCTCGCAGATAGGTAGATCAGGCCATATCACGTGAACCTCCACACTTGAGTGCAAGTCAACTCCAATTCCGCCAGCAGCCGTTTCCTGAACACTTCCCCCAAAACCAATCCAAACACCATGTCTACTCATCTTCGAGCGAATCCCTGGCGCGCCTACCAATGCCTTGCGCGGCAACGCCTCGGGCAATGCAATAGCACCGCGAGATCCTTCTCCACGACACACTCCCTCCGCACCGCCAACAATGCCAGTACCAACCCACTCCGTTCAGCGGGACGCGCAAAGAGCGAGCAGGACTTTGCAAAGTCCAAGCGAACAATTGCCCTCTCCGCCGCTGGAATGGTCGCTTGCGGCGTTGCCATGTACGGCGTGATCAAGCTAGATGTATTCGGACTCGATGCGCTGGATACCAGCAAGGACAAGGGAACCGGCGCAGAACAGAACAAGTTCACCCAAACATCAAACAGATCAATGAAGATGGACGGTCCTCCCGGATTCCCCAGTACGGGCGGACCCTCGGTGATCCCACTGCACGGCCAGGACAACGTGGAGCAAGTCGCGACGGGAACCAGCACGATCCCCTACTTCCCGACGACAATCCGCTTACCTGCCGCTTCTGAAATCGACAATAAACAATCCGGCGATGAACTGTCCACCGCCGACGGCGACGAGTACCAGCTTCTCGGCCTGGGCATCCGAACCGTCTCCTTCCTCTCCATCCAGGTTTACGTCGTGGGTCTGTACGTCGCCAAATCCGACATCACCGAGCTCCAGCGCCGCCTCATCCACACCGCAGTCCACCCCCCATCCGACGACGTAACTCCCGTCTCGGGCGTCGGCGTCGATGCCGCGACTTCCCTCGTCCCGCCGGAGCGCCAACAGCTCAAGGAGCTCCTCCTCGACGCGGACCGCGGCGACGCAGCCTGGACAGCGCTGATCAAAGAAAATGGTATCCGAACCGCCTTCCGCATCGTGCCGACCCGCAACACGGATTTCATGCACCTGCGCGACGGCTGGGTGCGTGGTATCACGGCGCGGGCGCAGCAGAAGAAGGCTCTGCCGGGCACGGCGCCGGGCGAGTTCCAGGATGCGGAGTTCGGAACGGCGATGAATGATTTCAAGGCTGTGTTTGGTGGCGGTCAGCGGAAGAACGTGCCCAAGGGTCAAACCTTGGTGTTGCTGCGTGGTGCGCAGGGGACGATGGATGCGCTGTTCCAGCCGGAGCCTACTAAGCCGATGCGCTGGATGGGACGGGTGGCTGATGAACGGGTCAGTAGGCTCGTGTGGTTGAACTATTTGGCTGGCAAGACTGTCTCGAGTGAGGGGGCGCGACAGAGTATTGTGGATGGGTTGATGGCGATTGTGGAGAGGCCCGTGGGCACCGTTGTGCAGCGGGTTGTATGAGGATGACCCCGTCTTAAGTTGAGATGATCATGGCTTGTATTTGTATATCTGGAGGACCTCCTTTTCCCTTTACGTTCTTGACCTTCCTTGTCTCTACTTGTCTCTCACCTGTACTTTATGGTCTTGGTACCACGTCTTGAATTCAAAAGTGGAAAGAGGAGGATCTCCAACTCTCCCATCTCCCAACTCGACTCTACAACGGACTCCATGAACAAAAAGAGTGCAAGATTGTCTATTATGATAATAAGCTATGCATAATCCCATAGCAAGACGAGAGAAGACAACTCGTCTCCCCGTGTATCATATTCTCAAAAGGTATCGTGGTCTATTCACAGGGCACCAGCGTCCTTGAGCAGAGCAGGGAGCTGGCCAGCAATAGCTTGGAGGTCGGAGTTACCCCCGATGTGCTTCTGCTTGATGTAGATGTTGGGCACAGTGCGCTGGTTGGAGATCTCCTGGAGAGCAGCCTGGATGGCAGAGCCGTCATCTAGACAAGAAAAAAAAAACATTAGCATCCCGCCGATACGATCAAGGTATTGCAAAAACCATGCGCCAACAAGAACAACGATAACCCCCGCCAGGGAAGTAGAGGAAGAAGGGACCATCGGCAGTTGAAATCCGCCGCCATCCCATTCCCCGCATAGAGCGCAAAAGATTTCCCCTCCCTAACCAAAGTGCTTGCCCCCCCCCCCCTCAAAAAAAACCCGAGCAAACAAGACGAGTACGACAATAACTCACCGATCTGATCGAGCTCAAGCAACTCATACTTAGCACCAAGCTTATCCAACAAATCCTTGCTAGACTTGCAGTAAGGGCAATAAGACTTGGAGAAGACGACGACGCCGTTCTCATTAATGAGGTTCTGAGCCTTGGTCTTGGCGGCGGACATGGTGGCGGGTGAAGGACCGGCGAAGGAGCCGAAGAGGCGCTGGAAGATGAAAGAAATGGTGGGCGATGTGGAATATGAAAAAGAAACCGGTGATGGTGGTTTCTTTTTTTTATATAGAGGAGGTAGGAGGGGAGGAGAGGAGGAGGATTGGTAATGGGTTGGATTAGAGAGCGATCGGAGACAGATTCCAGGTTGGACGGGAAGATTGCGGGATTTGGTCATCGCGGGTGGGGATGATGTCAGGTGATATTAGGTAAGCTGTGGCTTTAGTCAGCGAGGAGGTTCTGGCCCCTGGTAGTTGCCTGAGGTTTGTGATATCCGGGGAAGGAGAGGGATAGTGGATAGTATGTAAATATCCAAAAGGGTCATGTGTATAAAAAGAAGGGGAAAAAAAATTGAACATTTAACGCCAATACTCGAGTCGCTGGCCTTCATGTGTACCCCGATAGGTTACAATTCAAATAACGGCTAAAATATCCAAAGTTCCCCCTCCTGTTGGTCTGCTGGTACTCTGTCGCTAGATTTGAAAAATGGTTGAGGGTCACATGAGACTGTCTATGGGAAGCAGATCGAGTCTGCGTGTTTCAAACAAAATAACTCCTTGGGGTCCTTCGGCTTGAGCAAGCACGTGGGTACCAGGCTGGCCAGGCTGACCTTTGAAATCTTTTTTGTGGCACCACTATCACCGACAATCATTTACTGCATAGTCCAGAGTAGGTCACCTTGCAGCATGGACATGGAAGATGCAGTATATCCGTACGCCCATTATAGACATGTCAAGTCCATCTACAGCAGAAAAAAACCTTGAAGTATGAATTGTTGATTGTATCTTTTCCACTATGACCTAGGCATATCACTTCAGCCCAGCTAGGGGTCAACAAATTGACAAACAGCGATTGATGGTGAAGAAGGGAGGAGTTAGTAAAGGAGAATCAGACCGCAGGAACGCTTACAAAAAGGCTTGGGAATATAGCAAAAGCAAGCAGCAGAAATGTCCAGCAGGGAAAATAGGATAATAGCATCAGCAAATGAGGAAATGGAAACGAAAAAAAAGGGACAAGGTGCCAAGAAACCCAAGATTCGAGGACTGTGAGAAAGGAGATGATGTATCAGATGCAGAAGCAACAAAGTCATGTAGGAAAGATGTCCATGACAGTCCGATGAGGTGATTTTTGAAAGTGCTCTCTTGAAAATTCGGAAGAAAGCGGCAATAAGGATCACAGGGGAAGGGAAGGGAATCGATATGGAAAGGAATGAATAAGATGCCATGACCCGGTGGGAGGGGGTAAAAGAAGACCAAGATTAAAAGAGCTTCTGGAGAAAGATGGACCAGATACAAAGGGCTAAAAAACCGACTGAACACCATTTCCCACCGGGAACAATGAAGTAGTAGAGGCAAAAATGGACAGAGAAGGGAAAAGGAAAATCCAAGTAGTTGGTACGGGAGTCGGGGGGTATGTTGGACATGTACGCAGAGGTATCTCCGCGGAAAGGTAGACGAGAAGAGAAGTCGCGCCCATCAAAAGAAGGCGCGGCGAGTGAGGAGTGCCTATAGGAAAGCAGAGAGCAGATCAAGATGATGAACGTTCGTCACATCACAATGCAACATCCGCACCCCTTCTCCTTCTTCGGCGGCTCCTGCGCAGTAACCACGGGCGGGTTCCAGTTGGGATTGGGCGTCAGGCCCATTGGCGGGGTGTCCTGCACCTTCGGCATGGTGCTGTAGCCAGTGCTCGTGTTCGGCCGTGGCGGTTCGGGGCTCTTGATCTGTCTCGGCGGCTCCTCCGCCTTTTCATCTGGTTTTTCTGCTGCCGCCGGCTCCTCCGTCTTGAGGGGGACAGGAGGTGCATCGTCTGGATGAACGGCAAGAGGAGCAAAGTTTCGGTCGTAGGTGGTAGGGGCACGGCCTTCTTTCTCCCATTGCTCTTGTTGCATCTTTCTGGCAAGAGTGGGGAGCATCTGCTGGTCCGGTGGGAGACGCGGGTCCGGCTTGTACATCGTCGCCAACCATGGTGGATCGCCCTCTGGCCGGTTGATTGCTGTCGGGGGTCGAGCCTCTCCACCACGGGTAACGGGACGCGTCGGATTGTTACCAGAGACGGCGCGCGATCTCACAGTCGAAGTCTTTCTGTTTGTAGGTGGAGCGGAGGTCTTTCGGCCAGTAGAGCCGGCAGAACCAGCAACTTTGCCTGGCGTCTTCTTCGCCGGGGTGTTTTGGGTAGTGTTGAACCCACGACTTCCTGGTCGGCTTCCGGGCGAGGGGGTAGAGGCCTGTGGCTCGACCGCAGTGGGCTCGCTAGCTCTGCGACCTCGGCCATATTCGTCATCGTCCCGTTCATCGGTTGCCGCACGGCTTCTAGCCCCACGAGAGTCACGGCCTGACATGAGCGGTACGGGGCTGGCGGTCGAAATGGGTATCCGCGAAGAGCTCTTTCGCAGACCGGGGTTGCCGTACATGCTTGCTGCAGCTTCATCTGCTGCAATCTCCTCGGGACGGCGGAGATCCCAATGTTTCCGTTCAGGGTTCTGGGCCTGGTCTGCCCCGGATTTTCTTTTGGCATCCTGCCGCAGTTCAGGCCAGGGCTCGGAATGTTCGACATTGGGTGATGTTGCCGAAACGGAGCCATTGGCAGCCCCCGGGTGAGAATCGTGACTTCTGCCTCGTCCTGCGCTCGACTTGCTCTCCGCTCTCATCCGTCGATTGAAGAGTATGGCGGCTTGTTGTAACTCCTCGCTCTCAATCTTGGCCAACTTATCTCGGTGAATCCAGTTCTCGCTGATCTCTTCGGGTTGAAAACCAGGTCCATCCTGAGACTCTGAGGGCTCTAGACGGGGGGTTGAGTCCGGTCCAGAGCTGTCTCTGGCGCTGCCAAGGTCACTTCCATGTCGATTGAGGCTAAGATCCCGTCGTCCGCGGTTCGAGTTCAAGTAGAGAGCGTCGTGCGATTGCACGGTCCGAGAGATGGAAGAGCTGCGCGAGCCATTAGAGTTGCGGTTTTTGGTCGATCTCGCGCGGACGGAGCTGGAATCGTGGGAGTTGCGGGTTCTCGAGGAATGCTGATTGCTCTGCGGAGGAAATAGCATAGTCGTCAGTACAAAAAAAACCCCCCCTTTCGCATTCATCCGAACTTCTCTCGGTGTCCACTGCCGGGCCAAAGTGGTTCGCGCATAATTATGTGGCCCCGAATAGAAGAACGGGGGGTCCAGAGGAGGAAACCTACATCGGTCGAGATCGGCACCGCAAACTCCCATATCTCATTATCAACGCCTCCCGATGAGGTCAGGGCATCTGTCGAATACGCGGTGGCTACGCCCGCCATTCCAGCCGGGTCCGTAAGGAGATGTAGAAGGGGTTCGATGAATAAGGCCAGTCCAGCTGGAGCCCGCTTCGGAGGAACAAAAAGCAAACGCGGTAAAGAGAGGACCGGGTTTGCTTCGGCTGAGGTAAACGGTATTGCAGAGAATTCGTCTCAACTTAATCCATGCCAATGTCTAGGCGAGAAGCCCGTGACAAAAAAATAGCGGGAGCCGGGAATAGGCCAAAACAAGGTCGGAGGGAGGGTATTTTTTTTGGAGTCGGGATGGTCGGTGGCAAGGGGTGGACAAGCCCGCAGTGGGGAGAGGGGAAGGGAAAAGAGACCGAAAGCAGTAAATTGTAAATACTGCAGGGGGTGGAGATTTTGGTAGAGAGAGTTACCAGCAGGTTACAGTGCAGCGCGCAGTTCGTGGGCCGTTCCAAGTGTCTCCGTCGTTTCCAGTGGGAGTTTCAGTCGCGATCCACGGGTGAGCACTGGGACCGCGCCAGTCAATTCCCTGCAAGCCTCCAATCGGTTCGTGTCGGCCTCGGCAACGGAGTTTTGGGGAGCTATGGTGTTCCAAATACCAGAGAGTGACAGGTCAATCTGTAGGCGGGTCCAGGAGTCCACGAGGAGGGGAGAGGAGGAAGTTGGGAGATCGTGAGTTTCGTGGTGAAGCAGATGCTGAGGAGAATGAGGGGGGGGTGGAAAGGTGGAAAAGGAGTGGGGGGGAGAGAGAGAGAGAAAGCTCAAGCGTGACCTTCCAGTACAAGAGTTCAAGAGAGTTCAGATCGTGATCAGCCGGTCAGCAAAGATCAGAGCCTCCAAAAAACCAAGAACCGACGCCAGGACCAAGGGTGGCAAAAAGAACGAGAGCAGCGAGACTTGCTGGAAATGCCAGAATCTCAGGGAGAAAGAAGAAAGACGGCAAGTGGAAAATGGGGCGCCGTTCAGACTAACTCACTAGTTTAACCAACGAGTCCAAAGAACTCCGGACTGGGAATAGCACGCTCTCCGGGAGAGGGACTAGACCGTGGATTTGTTTTTTTCTCTTTTTCTCTTTGTCTGTACATACAATTATTGATTGACGAATGCATTCTGTACGGGCCATACAATATATGGCCCGCCTGCTTAATCACAATCAACAGCGACGGTGCCAATCTCCATTTATTGTTCTTTGATCAACCATGTTGAGCGCGACCAGCAGACTCGAGGAGTCTTGGGCCGTGCGTGGGGAGACTTGACCCCTGAACCATGCCGAACTGCTGATCCCCTTTGAGATCCCACTAAAATCAAACCCTAAGAAACTCTATGCTGGATTCTTGGTCCATTCGGCTGACTGCTTGTCAGCTGGCTAGTTATATCTTAGTTGTACTAGGATGTGCAAAGTACGGAGTCCAAGTATAGGTATGGCCCGTTCCTCCCCCACCTTCCTTTCATACAATCAATCGCGACATTCTACCTGACAGGTTGCTTCGAGACCTAAGCAGTTGATTGCTCAGAACCATGCCAATCCTCCCATGGCAAAGCTGCCGTCATTGATTCGTGGAAAATGGAAAATGTCGCCTAAATGACAGTTTCTTATAGATCACAAATTCCGGTCCCGGGGCGGCGGGTCAGAATGCAGAAAATCCAAAGTGAAAGGCGGACCGGGAAACATCCCAGCAAGTGCGTGGAATTTTAATTGTCGAAGTCTATGGTGTAAGAGAGATGCCATTTACCCCTCACGCAGATTTGCAAGAGCTCCAAATAGGGAAAAATGGGAAAAAGAAAGCAAAACAAAGGTGTACATGATGATCTTTATGATTGCGATTTGCCAGCCTGATCCAGCCGGTTCAATGAGGCTTGAGCTTCCCTGATAAGCGCCTTGCGTGCATTGCGGACGGTCTCGTTTCCATCCGGTTCGATGCCATCGGCCTTCAACATCACCTGCGCCAAGATTGTCTCGCTCAACTTGCGGTACTCAAACTCCCGCTTCTTTGGGTCGCTTGGTGGATTAGCCAGGTAGTCGTCACAGAGGGGAATCAACTCCCGCTGGAGGTAGTCGGTCAACGCAGTCACCTGCTCCAGTGGGGTCTTCAACGTCTTCATGCTAGGTGCTGGAGACGGAGCAGACGAGCGACTCGCAGACGTAGGTCGCGGGGGTGCCAGAGAGGGTGAACTTCCTAGCGTTTCGGGTGCCAGTCTCTCATCACTGCGTTTGCTCCCCTTCTTCTTTTTCTTCTTGTTGCTCTTTTTCGTCGCGGGGGGGTTTGCAGGTCCGGGTGCATCATCCCCGTCGACGAGAGAAGACGACGACCCAGGACGAATGACGGGGATCTCAGCAGGGCCACTGTCATAGTCCGACAGATCGCTGGGGGTGTTGGATCCAACTTCCGAAACCACACATAGCACCTGAGAATGTTGTTTCAGCCCTTCGGCTTTGCATGTCCGACTATCATCCTTCAGCAGATTCCCCTTATAGAGCAGTCGAAGCTGATTCGGGTTGCTGGCACCCATCTTTGCAGCAGCGGCATGGCGGAGATTCCCCACGGTCAGGAGTCCATCGTCAATGGCATAAGCGCGGAAATGGAGTGGGTAGATGGTGCCACGATGCTTGAGACAAATGACATCTGGCTCGTTATCGGAAGAACCTGCTTCATACTGAGCACCATATCGTGCAGGCTGGGAGGGCGGGTCGACAATGTAGTCTGGCGTGATGTAGCTGTAATCATCATCGCGCACCTGCGGGGCAGCAGGGTGGTTCGGCGCGCGGCGCCAAAAATTGTTAAAGGGGTTTCCCCAGCTCATGGCGACCACGGTAAAGATGCCGATCAAAAGTGCCGCACCAAGAGCGGTGGTTTGTTCGTCAACGTCGAATGGCAGCGCCTGCGCGACCGATTGGAAGGTGGTGGCCGAGTATGTCAGATACGGGTCCAGTCGAGGGCGAATGGAGTGCAGGAACACGGGGAGATGGTCGCTAACGTGGTCCAAGTAGAGTGCGCACTTCTCGCCCAATGTGGACTGAGCGAGGGGCGAGGGCAGGAGAGTCATGGATCGCTGAGGGGGAGACAGGACCGAGACAGTGGTGAAGTCATGCCCCCAGGCGGCTCCGAAAAAGGCTGACAAGGCGGAGAGCCCGCTTTTTTTTGCCTGCTGAGGTGGTCTTGTGGCAAGTCGGACGGCTTCAGCCTGGATGGGGGCTGTTATTGTTTAGGTTGTGATGAATCTGAAAGATCATGGCCATGGATGGATACGTTTACTTTCCGTTTAGGTGAAAGGAAAGCCATGGGTGCTGAGTCGCTGTCAGGAAGATTTACCTATCAGTGACAGCCAATCCCTCAATTGGGCAGGAGGCGATTGACATGCGGGTCAAACCTACCAGGCATCATGTAGTCAAATGTTGCGCCAGTATTTCATCTACGCCTTCGTGGTCTAGTTGGTTATGACGTCGGTCTCATATGGATCTTATGACGACCCTGCTCTAACAGGGTGGTAATCCGAAGGTCTCCAGTTCGAACCTGGACGAGGGCATTTCTTTTTGCTTTACTGACTTTCTTAGTCAGAGAAAGCAAAGACTTCTTTTGTTTTTTTTAATCAGGGTTAAAAAAAAAAGTATAACCTGGTGTGCTAGACTACTAACTATGCTACCAATGAGTATGCGCACAATAATGTTTGTCTTGACTCGTGAATGATCTTTGTGATTACTAGACATGTCATGGGTTTAGAGCGACGATATATCTCGGACGGAGGTCCAGAAACGTTGCACATCGACTCCGTCAACATCCGCTCGAAACGGTGAAAGGTCATTCCAGCAAACCAAACATGTAAAACAACTACTCGTAGGATAGAAGCTCATATAAGAAAGTCAATGAGTAAAACCTCCTGCAACCGACACGGTTGTGTCTACCCTACAAAAAGTCTCATTAAGGCGCTGGATAAGGCACACTGTCGCATGGTCATCAAATTACGAAAAGCAACATCGTTCCTCTATTTCTCCAGGACTGTACCAAGAGAAGAGCCAACTTAAAGCACACCTCGGACTCCGTTTCCACCAATGAGTGGGAATCCCAATACAGAGCGCATCGCTTCTTGGAACATGCTATCTTCCTCCACGTTAGCCCCTTCCTCGCTCAGCATTACCTTGCGCAACCTCGCCTGGATCACCGCACAAGTCTCAGCCCACGCACAAATATTACCTGCCAGCCCCTCAAACAGCGAGTATGGATCATCGGGGGTGCGGTATTCGCGATCAGAAGTCCCAGGTGCAGTATTGTAGGGACGAGTCTCGAATGAATGCAGCATGAAAGCCAGTGCCTGAGACAGGAAGAAGTCTGATGTAAGCTTCTGGTTCAAATCCTCATCTGGCTCCACTGAATCCTGAGTACGTTGGAAGTATTCGCGTCGGGCATCGTCGATGCTCTTCGAGTGATACTCAAAGGCATCGTGAAGCAACAGCCACGGCCATGCATTACCGGAAATACCGTGGCAAAGGCTCCCTCCCTTTGAGAGGATACCCTCCTCCCAAGTGCGACAAGTGGCCTGGTACAAAGTCTGGCTCCACGTGGGATGCCAATATGCCCTAGTCAGCTTGTCATTTTTCAGAGCAGTCCCCAAAAGCAGAAGTATTCCAGGACTGCCATGGCAGAACTGAACGAGTTCGGAGGACTTTTTCGGGCCGCGCGGGGGAAGTGTCATTGGGAGGTGGCCATTATTCGCAGTGCAAAGCTTGCAGAGAGCAGTGATGGTTTCTCCGATCTCAGGCAAATACTCCGATATTTCCTCTTCCCTGCAAGAAAGTATAATAGGGAGAATACCGGCTGCGGCGATTAATTACAGTTAATGGTTGTAGAGTTCCAGCCGAAAGATCTAGGGTTACTCACTGATTCCGTGGGCACTGTATATATGCTATTAGCGTGATTGTCCAAATCCATCTGGTTAGTGGGTAATACTCACGCGCCAAAGGCATAGTGGCCTTCCATCCACGCATACATCAGAGAATGGGCATCCTTCTGCCCATACTTATTCACATAATCCCTCGAACCCTCTCGGCCAGCCTCGATGATAACACGAATCAACTGAGGGATCATGTCGAGGACTCGGTCAAGCGCCATTTGGGTCTCATCACTGAATTGATGCGCGCGAACATTCAAAAGAAGGCATAAAAGCCCCGCGCGGCCGTACAGCATCTCGTCTCCTCCCAACCTGTGTTCGCCGTGAGGAACGATAAAACCATTCTTCAGTGCCAGATTGACAGCATCTTCAAGGTGGACGATGAGTTCCGCTGAAAGGCTTGGCCTAGCGTCAGCCCCCCAATTGGTCTCTGCCACAACTGAGAGGATGTGCAGAATCACAGCGCTCATAGGCGACAACGACCCCGCGGGAGATAGCCGCGACGGGAGCAGAGGCATATCAGGTAAGCCCGATGGGATTCTTTGGAGGGCATATTGCCGAAACTCCGTCGACGAAGCCTTCTGACTAGCCAGTATCGAAGATTGGTAATCGAGACGTAAGAAAGCAAGGGCAACGCCTGAAGTGATGTATTAGCTCTAACCCGCATTAAGCCGCAGCAGCTCCAAGTATATGGAAGAAGTTTAAGGTTGAATTCATAGATATCGGTACCTGGAAAATGCTTAAACATCCCTCCCGCACTCCATTTGTCTGGAATGGGCTCTTTTTCATGGACTAATTCTGCGCCATTGTAAACAGCCTCCCGAAGCTCTCGAAGAGTGTCGATTAAAGTCGCGGGGTTGATTGGGAGTGGAGTCAGAGTGTTTTCATAGTATTGAGGGCGCTCAGTTTCAGCCATAATGGGAATAGAATACGACTTGTGATGAAAATGATCTCTGAAATGGCGTGCTCGACTTATGAAAACGATGGGAAGCTTGATCCGTAGTTTACACAGAAAGAAAGCCCCTCCACCTAGTCTCCAGCTAGGCAAGGCAGCCTCAGGCACCAGACAACTTCGTCATTTTTCCATAAACTCTTCCGTAGTGATGACTTGACCTTGGCCAGCAAGTGTCGGGTGTCTGATTGAGCTCCACTAGACGGCCTGGAGAAGACACGTCGCACACTCTACGAGGCAGGTCTGCAGGTATGAGGTGGGGTCAATCGACGATCTATCCTCATCGGTATCCGAGCGGAGGAAGCTCGGCGCCTGATAATCAAGGCATATAGTTTGGTGGCCTTAATGCCTAAGGCTTTGAGACTAAAAGATGAGTCAGCGGGGACCACGGCTTCTGCAACTTGCGTTGCAGTCATTCCGGACTCGAGAATACTCACGCGGTCCTCGAAGTGCGATCAATGAGCTTCTAGAAGCAATACAGAATGTAAGTGACTAGGATCCCTGAGTCGTCTACAGAGAGTGCCTCGATGAGTGTTTGTGCTCGCAATAGCGATGGCCACTTCTTGGTGACTTCAATTCCTCCCCCAGGGGCGCCATCTTTTGTGGTTCCAAAGTGTTGAGGGAAGCCACCGACTAATATGGCAAATAGTCCCGTGATCAGCACCACCGGACTACTATACCAACATGTCTGAAGTCCACGGTGATGCTGAGCCCGTTGTAACGGGCTCCGAGCAGATGGAGTATCCTTTGGCATTGACTCCGAGACAAGTCACTCTCAGAGATCGGGTGACAATTGCGACGCTGATGCCGTTCGCCTCAGCGGACGATATCCCGCGACCGCTGCTGAAGTATCTCTCCGATCAATTTAACAAAGAAATTGAAAAGGGAGATACCTATGCTATGACGGAGCCTATTCCATTAGCGCAATTTGGACGGTATTGGTTCTCCAATTTCGGTGTGGTCATGCTGCTCGGTGATATTCAGAGTGTTGAGGAAACACATTCCATGGACCGGGCCGGTGCAAACTGGACCAAGATCTGTCTGGGAGGCTTCCACATTCGACCCAATTACCCTGGACGCAGTAGTCATGTCTGTAACGGCACTTTCATTGTCACGGATGCTGCTCGAAATAAGGGTGTAGGTCGGCTGATGGGCGAAGCATACTTGGAATGGGCGCCCCGGCTAGTAAGCGCTTCCACTTATTTACCAGGCATAATGACCGCATCTTGTCTAACTTCAAGGAAAATATATAGGGCTACACATATGCCGTCTTTAACTTGGTCTACGAGACCAACGTTGCCTCTTGCCGTCTATGGGATTCACTAGGCTTCAAGCGCATTGGCAGAGTTCCAGGTGGAGGCCAGCTCAAATCGCAACCCGGGGAATTCGTTGATGCAATTATTTATGGCCGTGGTCTCAGCCTTGATGGCGAGGATTCTGTTTCGCAGGACCGCTTTGAGAAGATTCGATATTACCTGAAGCACTCCAAATACCCTCGGGGTGCCGATCGCGCTGAAAAGAGCCGACTCCGCAGCGCTGCTACCCATTACAAACTGACTGGTGGGGAGGATGGCGAGCCAGAGAAGTTGATGTTGAAGGACAAGGAGGTTGTGTCTGATCCCCAGCAGCAATACGAGATTGCCAAGGAAGTCCACATGAGACAACATGCTGGAATCAACAAGACCACTGCCGCCATCGCGGTCAAGTATCACTGGGTACGAATCAAGGAGACCGTGAACCGAGTCATTCGAGACTGTCCACAGTGTAAAGAAACGTTGAAGGCACCGCCAATCCCCGGTACTAGAGATGAAGAGAAGTCAGTCTCCGTCGAGGCCCCCGATATGGAAGACGAAGACACGATGGATCACGAACAAGCAGACACTTCTGGTGTTCATCCCGGCATGTCGACCGATATTCCTCAGACCATGGACGAAGCACCCGACGAGTCCTCCAACCATAACCCCTTCATCCATCCCTCGGTTCCTACAAACGTCCCCGGAGCCGCTCATCCCATGGCAGGCTTCAACCCAATGCCTTTGGACCCCCAGATCATGCAGCTGCAACAACAACTGCGGCGCTACCAGCAGCAGAACGCCATGGCTGGTGCTTTTGCACCAGGGCCACAACATATGAACATAACCAACTTCGACGATGCAATGCGCTATCATACCGCCAGCAACGCTTATCAGATGATGGTGGACGATGGTTCTGACCCCTTCCGACAGGAGGTTCTCGGGTTGATGAACCATCCGTCACACCAGGATTTACAACATGATGCTGAACTGCTCGCTAAGTACGAATATGGGAGTCCATCGGATGGGAATTATGACTTCACTTGAGCTGGTCTCAAATATTTGTGTTTCTCTTTTCTTATCTTTCGAACGTACTCTGGCGTCGAGTCTGCATACCGTGACGGATGTAAAGGCAGGTTGGGCATGTTCGTCGAGACTAAACTCTCTGCATATTTCGGGGTTTCATTTTCGTTGATTCCATTCATACTTGTCATACTACCAATAAAGGGCCAATCTTGAAGATGACAAAAACATAAATAAGACGTGGCACGTAGCAAAAATAGGGGGGAAGCGTTTAGTACTGTACCTGTCTCCCGGCACAGTGCGGGCTGGTCACCGCCTTTGGGGCTTTCGGGGGGTTCTGAGGGGAGAATGGAAGCTCTGGGAAATTTTGGCCGTCCAAGACCAGCGAAACCCCTCCGACTTCTCCGTACCGATCAGGATCAAATCCATTCCTTTTGAAAATTTATAATCTTCCACAAACGGTCTCGGTCCTCGCCTCGATTACGCCATGGCCTTCAACGGCCAAACACCGACGATTGTCGTGCTGAAGGAGGGTCCGTGTGCTTCGTTTCCCCCCGTCGGGCAGTTTGGTGGGATACCTCGAAATAGGCTAACTATTGTTGCTTTGTACGTACAGGCACCGACGCTTCCCAGGGAAAGGGTCAGATTATCTCCAACATCAATGCATGTGTTGCCGTGCAGTCCACAGTCAAGAGCACCTTGGGCCCATATGGTGGTGACCTCCTGCTTGTTGACAGCAATGGCAAGCAGACCATCACCAACGATGGTGCTACCGTGATGAAGGTATGAAGTTATGTTTCTCGAGAGCAGACACGAGATGATCATTGCCGAACCTTGGTTTCTGACATTCGGCTTGGGCCAACAGCTCCTCGATATTGTGCACCCCGCCGCCCGCATCCTTACGGACATTGCCCGATCCCAAGACGCCGAAGTCGGTGACGGAACGACCTCTGTGGTCGTTCTGGCCGGTGAGATTCTCAAGGAGGTTCGCGACCTCGTCGAGCAGGGCGTGAGCTCGCAGACTATCATCAAGGGTCTCCGGAGAGCTGGCGCCATGGCCGTGAACAAGGTTAAGGAGATTGCGGTGGATATGATCGATTCGGCAGGAAGCGAGGAGAAGAAGATTGAGACTCTTCGGCGGCTAGCGGCAACCGCGATGAACAGCAAGCTCATCAAGCGGAATTCGGAATTCTTTACGAAGAGTGAGGCCTTTCTGTCGAACCCCTATGGCTTTTCGAGGGTGGTTGCTGACAATTGTATAACTTTCCTGCAGTGGTCGTGGATGCAGTCCTGACTCTGGATCAAGATGATCTGAACGAGAAGTTAATTGGTGTGAAGAAAGTGACTGGTGGTGGTCTCCAGGACTCCCTTTTCGTCAACGGTGTGGCTTTCAAGAAGACCTTCTCCTACGCTGGTTTCGAGCAGCAGCCCAAGTTCTTCAAGGACCCTAAGATTGTGTGCTTGAACGTCGAGCTGGAGCTGAAGAGCGAGAAGGATAATGCGGAGGTTCGCGTGGAGCAAGTCTCCGAGTACCAGGCCATCGTCGATGCCGAGTGGCAGATCATCTTTAACAAGTTGGAGGCTATCTACAAGACTGGCGCCAAGGTTGTGCTCAGCAAGCTGCCTATTGGTGATCTTGCTACCCAGTCCGTATTCCAAGATATCTCCTGTTATGTTCTAAAACCGTGCCAATTTCTGTTTGCTGACCGCCGCCCTTTATAGGTACTTTGCTGACCGGGACATCTTCTGTGCTGGTCGTGTTGCTTCCGATGACATGGACCGAGTCTGCCAGGCCACCGGTGCTGCAACCCAGTCGACCTGCAGCGACATCCAGGAACGCCACCTCGGTACCTGCGGAGCCTTTGAGGAGCGCCAGATTGGCGGAGAGCGTTTCAACATGTTCTCCGAGTGCCCCGCTGCTAAGACCTGCACTCTGGTCCTGCGTGGCGGCGCTGAACAGTTCATTGCTGAGGTTGAGCGCAGTCTGCATGACGCTATCATGATCGTCAAGCGCGCTCTGCGTAACACCACTATCGTTGCCGGTGGTGGTGCCACGGAGATGGAGCTGTCTAGCTACCTGCACGGCTACGCGGACCGCAATGTTCCCCACAAGCAGCAGGCCGTGGTCAAGGCCTTTGCCAAGGCCCTGGAGGTCATTCCCCGCCAGCTTTGCGACAACGCTGGTTTCGATGCCACAGACATTCTCAACCGGTTGCGCGTAGAGCACCGCAAGAACAATGTCTGGGCCGGTGTTGACTTTGACAACGAAGGTGTCCGCGATAACATGGTTGCCTTTGTGTGGGAACCTAGCTTGGTCAAGGTTAATGCCATCCAGGCCGCCGTGGAAGCTGCCTGTCTGATTCTGAGTGTGGACGAGACGATCAGTAAGTGACCCCTCGACCCCGTGCCCCCGATCTTTTCGCCTTGAGGTTGTCTCTGACTAATGTGCGCATCAACAGAGAACGAGGAGTCCGCCCAGCCCGGTGCTCCCTCGCGCGGTCTCCCTCCCGGTGCAGCCCAGCGGGCTATGCGGGGCCGTGGCCGCGGAATGCCTCGTCGATAAATGACTTAATGCCACTTCTCTAGAATGGAAGGGAAACCAAAAAAAAAGAATGGAAAGTCTTTGTAATGACCCGAACCCGGCTCAAAGGGACACGATGAGTGGGCCCGTACTCCGGTCTTTTCCTTGGACTATGAGGACGAGGATGAAGGGCCTGTGCGATATGGAGAAGAAGGGAAGTCACAGAAGAGGGCAGCGTGGTAGACATCCGCATACTCGGCCTTTGATTATAGTCTCCCGCAGTACATATTCAGTCATAGGACTATGATCTTTGCTTGCCGGTACTCCCTTATCATCGTAGTCTCTCGTTGCTTCTGCTATTTCTATATGTACATGTATGTCGATGGACCTAAAGCATCAGCAGCCCACAGTGATGGATCAGCTACCAGGGCTTCCCCCCCACAACGTGAGCCATGAACATTGAGAGCATGCCGCACAATCATAGAGGCACAATCTCCCCTGTAGACCGTTCTCCCTCGCACCCATGTTAGGATCAGAGATGGTCTTCGCCACGATCAGTGGGCCCTGGGATTGGCAACGCTCACACAGGGCTACCTCCATGGGATTGCCAGATTGCGGAGTTTCTCTCGAGAACTATCAACGGGCGTATGTCATGCAGGATGTGTAATACGATATATGCCTCTGGGGGCTGGTACTTTTGTGTAACCGCCCAATTGATGCAAGCATCGAATCTAAATTTCTTGACTAGACAGATCGATGTGCATTATAGTTGAATTTATGGATACAAAAGCAATACTCAATGATTTCTTCCGAATTACTCACCTCAGCGCGCAAGACCGAAAGAATCATGCACCCAATAGTTCATAGAATCCCATCACGGCCCAATCCTCGCTTGGATTTGCTCGGCGGGGCTAGGGGTTTTCAGGCTGCAGGGGTGTATCTCGGGGATGCCGATGGCCAACAGAATTGCATGTCAGATATAGGAGTCCGACAGCACGAACTGATTTATCTTTTCCCTCTCTCCCTCCGAAGTGCTGCAAATTATGATACTATTCATTTAAAGAGTCTGCGCCAGAATCATTCAGAAAAAAAAAACAATCCTATGTTGGCATAGTTGGGTTCTTTGTAAGTAATCTTTTGTCTCGGTGTCTGGGCTTTTCCTCAGCCCTGTACTTGTTATTTACCCCCTTTCAAAATTGAATGATTTGAAGTTTCTATTAAATCATCTGTCATCCTTCATCTTGAACTGCACCTATATCACCGGGAACTCTATCTCTCTCTTCATTATACTTGCGTTCGTGCTACGGTGTTGTCCGGGGCTTGGCGTCCGTCCCGGTCTTCCGATCTGTTTTGGCGGATCGCCCTTCTCCACACCAGAGCACAACCATCTTCGGCTTTCCTCGATCGCGTTGTTTCAATTTCTCCATTTGCATCCCATCAACGTCCTTGGCCTTTTTTTGATTGATACGTGGTCCCTACCTTCAGTGATGTCCTATTACCCGCCCTACCAAGGCGCCCCGGGGTATCCCCCGCCGCAACAATCTTACCCCCCACAGCAGCAATACCCGTACGCGCTTCGCCTTGTCTTCCCTTCTTTCTGACCCCGCTCGTTCGTGCCGAGAGTGCTAACGAAGGTCTTTGACGGTTTTGCAGAGGGATGCATCATCAACAGCAGTCTTATGGTGGCTATCCCGGCCAGTCCTACCACCAGCAGGGACCGCCGCCGCCGCAGTCCAACCCATACGGTTACAGCCATTCTCCGCAGCCGCCTCAACAGCCTTACGGATCGCCAGCTCCACCTCATGGCTACAACGTATGTCTCGTGGCATATATATATATATATGCAAATATTTGAGTAGGAACTGACAACGCTTGCTCGTGTTTAGCAGGGCCCTCCGCCCGGATACCAACAGTCGCATAGCGGTCCGCCCATGCATCAAGGCCAAGGTGGGCGTCAGCCGGGTTCGTAATTTCCTCAGTTTGCATTTCGTGACAAAGGCCCCGGCCTTTCAAATTCAGCATTACTGACTCCCAAACTTCTAGGAAACTACGGCAGTCAGTCCGGTGGTAACCCGGCCCCGCCTCCAACTGGGGCGGTCTCGTTTGGCAACGGTGCCCCGCAAGGATATAGCTTCCAGTACTCGCGCTGTACTGGTAAGCGCAAGGCACTCCTGATCGGAATCAACTATTTCGGCCAGAAGGGTCAACTGCGCGGATGTATTAACGATGTCAAGAACATGTCCACATATCTGAACCAGAACTTCGGCTACGCGCGCGAAGACATGGTCCTCCTTACCGATGATCAGCAGAACCCCATGAGCCAGCCGACCAAGGCGAATATCCTGCGCGCTATGCACTGGTTGGTTAAGGATGCGCAGCCCAACGATTCGTTGTTCTTCCATTACTCGGGTGAGTGGCTGAGATTCCAGTCCGAGCAATTCAAGGCTTCAAGCTAATCAAACGATTTAACTTAGGCCACGGCGGTCAGACACCAGATCTTGATGGTGATGAGGATGATGGATATGACGAAGTCATCTATCCTGTCGACTTCCGGGTTGCGGGTCACATTGTTGATGATGAGATGCACCGGATCATGGTCCAGACGCTGCGCCCCGGTGTGCGCTTGACGGCCATCTTCGATTCATGTCACTCAGGTTCCGCTCTCGACCTTCCCTATATCTACTCCACCTCTGGCATACTCAAGGAGCCAAACTTGGCCAAGGAAGCCGGCCAGGGTCTTCTGGGTGTGGTGTCGGCATATGCGCGGGGCGATATGGGTGGTATGATGTCCACTGCCATGGGCTTCCTCAAGAAGGCCACGAAGGGCGATGAAGTGTACGAGCGCAACAAGCAGACCAAGACCAGCCCTGCGGACGTCATCATGTGGTCTGGCAGCAAGGACGACCAGACGAGTCAAGATGCACAGATCGCTGGCCAAGCTACCGGCGCCATGTCGTGGGCTTTCATCGCCGCCTTGCGCAAGAACCCCCAGCAGAGCTATGTCCAGCTGCTTAATAGCATTCGGGATGAACTTTCGTCCAAGTATACCCAAAAGCCGCAGTTGAGCTGCAGCCACCCTCTGGGTTAGTTTTCCTTTTACCACCACCTCGTCCCCCATTCGAAGATTGCATATCTAACTCTACGTTGCAGACACGAACCTTCTTTATGTGATGTAAAATTGCCGCTGGAAGCGAAAGCCATTGGAGCGAACGCTAGTTAGCCCTTATTTTGTATGCGCGAGGAATCAGTTGATGTTTATTTTTCCATTAGGGACGTCCTTTTGCTGTATGTAATTTTCATTCCACGGTGTCAGGGCTGTGCACCGCTTCTTGGCTTGGATAACCCGGTGCACCACTTGTGATCTTTTCTAATGAATATTTTGATCACATTTTGAACCCCGCAATGTACTTCAGGCCGACATAGCGCCCCTGCAACGACGGGGGGAGTGGTGCGTCTGAAATCAACGTAGGCTATTGTATCATTCATAAAGGGTCCCAGGTGTGTAGAACCGACCACACACTTCAAACAAGTTCGACTGAGGAGATAGAATTGACATCAACGCAGTCGGCAATTGAAGATACTCTTCGATATGGTGTCCCCTGACAGCGGTGCTTGTGTTGGCTTCGGCCTGTTGGGTCCGTTGTCTCCTCGTATCAGTATATCGCATCGACATTCGAGTATCGCACGTCTAGCGCGTTGTCCACTGTTCAGGTGGTCCAGGTAGAGGCCGCTGGTGCAATAGCTGTACTGGCACAGATAATGTATGTATATGAGCTCGTTGTATTCCAGCATTGTGACAGGCCAAGTACACAGTATCAATTTGATCAACAATCAGAAAGGTTACTATATTTAGCCATGGATGGGGATTTATGGGATAATGTAATCCATGATGTAAAGGCTATCGGAACTGAGATAAGTAAGCCACAGAGCATAACTAACTAAAAAGATAAGAGCAAGAGATTCACTCAGTTCAGCATCAGTTCAGGATATTTGCGATCTATTGTAAATCCGCCAAAGTCACGTGTGGAGCCCCTTATATCCCGATTGGGAAAATTTGAATATGGCCGACGCGTCTATCACACGTCTGGCGCACAATATGTATGAATGCCCCCATCCTGAGCTGAAGAGACAGTTCAATCTGAGATGGGCACTCTTATCTTGTCATCATCTACTTCTCTAATCACCTGAAACAGTAATTGATGCTTTCGCGATTACCGGAAAATCTTTCTCCGTGATGTCAATAATCCTCGATTCTCCGGCAGCCCAGCATGACTTTTGTCGAGGTTCACACTGGTATCATGAGAGTCCATTTCTCCCAATTGGAGAGACCAGAGGAAATGAACCCGGAGCGTCTTCGTTGAAAGATATGGCTACCAGATGCCTTGTTATGGACCAGTCAGCATTAAAGCTCGAGCTTTTCGAAAATGTGCCATGGAAAATTGCTAAGGAGCTCTGGGAGTTCTTGGGAAACAGGTGAATAAATCTGTCTATTTTCAAGCGGGTAGATAGCTCTATGCTAACCACGTCGGTAGGGGCAAGCAAACGCTCTTGATGTGGAAGATCCTCATAATGAGGTATCCTGAACAATTTCCGCAACTCAGCCCAACCTACTGCATGAGAACTAAGGTTCCAAAAACACCTCTGAAGGGCTACATCGATAATGTAAGGAGCGACGCTTGTCACTGGCGCGCTGCCTTGTCTCTGTCCAGCGCCTACGCCAGTGTCTCGGATCTCGTCGAGATTGGCAATCTCAAGAACTTGGTCGCCCTTGAGATCCACAGCCGAGTATGTGACCCGAGCCTGCCAACCAACATTGAGACCAGAGATGGAGCACAACTAGATGATGGCGTCGTGCGCAGTTGGCTCGATGCTGCACAGTCTACGGGATCCTTACAGAACCTACAAGTTCTGAGAATCTATCAGCAAAATAGTCTTACCCACCACATTCTTTGGATGCTTGAGAAATTACCAGGCCTAAAGCTTATTGTCATATACCAGTGTGGAAAGCTTACACAGGAGTTCAGTCACCTCAAAGCCAGGACTAAATACGGAGTCCAGATAGCAGGATGGAATGCTCAAAGACTGGATTGGGTTCCAGACGGAGGAAAGACGGACGCATTCAAGTATTTGCGCCCACTTTTGAAAGTTTATGAGGATGGCTTGAGCTTCAGGGATACAGAATCAAAGCCAAACTCTCCCATGTTACATTCCAACATGCCCATTATGGAATTTGGCCTACCTGCTTATGATTGTGATGACTCTGAAAAGGAAAAGAGGAGAGCGGCGTACGCAGCAAAGTCTATCTTTATACTCACTCGAGCAACTGGGCTCAATGGCAGAAAACGAGCACCACAAGAGATCCAGCAGCCTCGAAACACTGGCAAGCGAATAATGAAGGAACGCGGAGGAAGAGATATGGCAGATGTGCTGGGCGACTTTTTCGGGATATGAGTATGTACCATGTTGGCTGGCTATGTCAATGGCCATCTCCATCGCGATGGGAAACAAGAGGAATCAAGACACTCGCCCAGAGCGCCATTTCTAAAGCACAGGAATGTAGAGCAGTTCGACTGTTCAGTCTTTTTTGTGGTCTCCCGCCCATAGAAGATCTTGGCATTATCGATGACATAATCACATGATGTCAGAAATCGGCCGCCGTTCATTGGCACAGCCCGCTCAACCCCCGCGTCACCTGTCCCCTCGACTCTCAACTACTCCGCTGCTCTCCAAATTGCTTGTCAAACCGGATAGATTGGGCGGGACTGAACATGGCAGATAGCCAACTGAGTCGGGAGGGCTCCGACACTTCCCTCAACGCCTCTGCCGATCCCAACAACGGCTCCGGTGTGACGTCGCCCCGATCGAGCACCGATACCCGCTCCTCGCGGAATCAGAACCAGCTACGAGTTTCACATATGCCCCCGGCCAATCATCAGCACCGTCAGAGCTTGAGTGAGACTCTCCGTGGACCGCCAGGCTCGCCAAGGAACCGACGACAACCCTCTCTCACGCAGTCCGCTATTCAGAGCTTGATTGATAACCCCCCACCGCCGAAGAATGTCGATCCGGCGTTCATTGGTCGGGACTGGCGAGAAATCTCCATTGGAGAGCTCGTTAGTCCGGAGGACTTGCAATTCGTTGAATTGGATACGGGCATTGAAGAGGCGACGAATGTAGGTTTCCCGGACGAAGTACATTTTGCAATCATTGTTGTGAAAACTAACACGATGTAGATCTTGATTGATACTGGTGCACCCGTACTGCTTATTCGCGAAAGCACCGAGCACAATTCTGCTGTAGCTACATTCGATTACTCCGATCTAAACACATATCTTTTGTTGGCGGCAGGGTTGACCACCCTGCAAGAAGGACATCGCACATCGTATGATGAGCTTGCCAAGAAAGCTCGGGATGGAGAGAAGATCCCCCTCAAGGATGTCAAGGCCTTGGGCATGGAAAAGGAACCGCTCGTTACGCTGCCGGCGTCAGCAAATGTTCTCACGGCGGTAGAAACGTTTGGTGGCGGTATCCATCGTGTTGTCGTGACCAAGGAGTTCAACGATCGAGAGGTGGTTGGCATCTTCAGTCAGTTCCGACTGGTCAAGTTCCTTTGGGAGAATGGCCACAGCTTCCCTGCGATTGAGCAGCTCTACCCGCAGGCGTTGAATAACTTGCGGATTGGATCTCACAATGTGATCTCCATCAAGTAAGGCCTTGTCCGCCACTTTGGTTCCTGACTTTGGCTAGAGGCTGATTGTCGATATAATTGCAGCGGCGATAAGCCCCTCAGTGAAGCTCTTCAGCTGATGGATACTGAAGGAATATCTTCTCTTGTCGTGGTTGATAACCATTGGAATGTGATTGGCAATATCTCGACGACGGATGTTAAGGTAAACACCGAGCCACCCTCTTCCTCGAGTTTTGGAGACACCTCCCGCTGACATCTCTTCAGCTTCTCACACGATCCTCGTCGCTACCTCTCCTCCAAAACACCTGCACGCACTTCATTTCGGTGATTCTGTCGACTCGCGGATTGATTGAAGGCAAAGACTCGTTCCCTGTTTTCCATGTAAATCCTACATCGACGCTCGCTCACACAGTTGCTAAGCTTGTGGCTACACGATCGCATCGGTAAGAAAGACATCTTAGACACAAACAGATGGGCAGAAAATAACAAGACTAGACTCTGGGTGACCGATCCGTTGTCTCCGGCTTCGTCAGGGCCTCCCACTCCATCTCACTCCAGTGCACATATTCCTCTGGCAGCACCAGTCCCCCTCGCGACGACGGGATCGAATACTTCGTTGTCTCCACCACCTTCACCCCTCCCAACGCCTGTGAATCCCATTTCACAGCCTCCCGGCCCGGCGACACCTCATCTCCCGGCACCACCCCAGCCCTACGGCAGCGCTGCTCCGTTCGCACCAGTTGCATCCGGGGTCACGCCGCCACTCGCGCCCTCAATCCCAGCATCAGCCCTACCAGGTGCTCGCCTATCCGGACGTCTGGTCGGAGTTGTTAGCTTGACTGATATTCTGAATTTACATGCTCGCGCGAGTGGCCTGAGTCCCGCAGATCCGGCCGAATCTCGGCGTCGTCGGCGCAGCAGCTCTTCAAGCATGAACGTTCAGCGTAGCGGTGAGATTGGCCGAGAGTTATTTAGCCGGGGTGGTGTTTAGAGTGCCCTGGACTACTGAAGAAATTTTCACAAAGAGGCATTGAGACGGAAGACAAACCACACCAACTCACTTCCTACTTTGGAAGCCCTCAATGGCAAGGCAACATATACCTCCCAGTACAGTGGGCTCATGCAACATAACCTTATCCCTTGTCTTTTCCATATGAACCCACCCTTTTCGCGGCGTAGCCACAATCTGACTTTCTCTCTCTCTCTACTTGGCGTCTTTCTGCTTTGGTTAATCCTGCTTTTTGTCATGGGCGCTTTTTCCGGAGGCCTTGTTTGATTTTGGAATTTGGGCTGGCTCTGGCCATCCTTCTCATCCTGTCATTTTCTTGCGCTGAATCGTTGGCTGTGGCTGTGGATATGGATATCATCTCCTTCTGACTCGCTTCTGCGTTGCGTACTTTGTGAATTTGTCATGTCATGGGTCAATGCCTAACCATGGACGCCGAATGTCCTCATCTATAGCCAGCAAGGAATCAAAGCAGTGAGATACGGTACTTGACCGATTCGATTCACACAACATGAAATTTCCCGATCTGTGAAGACCAAATATGAGTTTATGTGAAAAGACTGGGCCATCAGTCTAGCATCAAGGAACAGGATCTCGGCATCCACGCGTCCACGCAAACGGGACGATCGCAGTAACTCCGACGTTGAGAAGTGATCTTTGGTTCTCCAGGAGATATCTGCCATTGCATCCTATTTGCGGCCTCGGGCTCGCCGGGTTTCGGAGATAGCACCGGAGCGAGCCCGAGCAGATCAAAACTGGTAGATCGACGTATAGGGCGACCGTCTGAATAGTTTTTGTGGAGAACAAATCAGCAACCCATCGTTGAGGGTCTCTCGACGTTATCCCCTTTCGCTATAATTCCAAATCGCCATCACGCACGTCCCATCCGTCCCATACATCGGCACCTTGATTCTCGCCGTACCGAGTCCAGGCGTGGCCAATTATAGCTTTTTCTCTGGCTTATCCTGGTCGCCCATTCGCCCTCTTTTTCTCACCCCCGCGCTGGCGGTTTAATCCGTCGTTATTCACCTGTACAGCACAGTCGCGTCTTGTCGATCCCAACTCCAAACCATTGGGTTATCCGCCCGATTCGCTTTCTCGGCGAGTCAATACGAATAGCGCGTACCGGGGGCATTGGCTTTGAATCGACAGGGGGATCAATTATGATTGATGAACGAGAATTCGGTACCATGAGTTTGTTCTTTATTATGGAGGGGTTGCGGTTGGTCGATGGGTATCGCCGGATGAGGAAAGACTCCCTCGTCTGAATGTGTTATAGTGTCTGCGTTTCAATACTTGGCGCTGATGGTGTTTTTGGTACTTTCTTCAAAAGTACTGATCTGCGTCTTTTTTGGTCTTTTTTGGTCTTTTTTGGTCTTTGCAAATTAATTGCCTAACTTGGGCAAAGACCATTTCTGCAAAAGATTTAACTATGACCTGCATGTGGCGCAGCCTAGTCTATTGGAACAAATCCTGTAAAAACTATGCAGTAGCTATAAGTGGATTGAGGTTCTCGATACCATTAATCAAGTATTCACCGCACTTCTATACAGTGTACAGCTAGAAGGGGCTGAGCAATTGGATGGCATCTTCTCCATTCCATAGCTGGGGGTTGGGGGGGACCTTGAGAGCCTCTTACCATCGTTCCAGCTCCCTTATCAGAACCTGGGACGGCGACAGGGTCCAACACCACAGCCGCCACAAAAATCCGGAGGAAAGAGAAGTGAACGACAACCCATTCGATCGATTTGATCCCTGGCTACACTTGCAATGGGCGGCCAGTCTAGGCTTGGTCTTTCGCTTGTTCGTCTCCACTACCCGCCAGAACCACGTATTTTCTCCTGGGTCACGGAAAACGATTCCGTTACATGTGACGAGGCTGCTCATTGGCCAATTTTGGTGATTGCAGCCGCGATATGGTCTCGCTAGGAGTTCTGGTTGCTATGGTTCGACATGCGTCTATATAGGGGCATGTGAGGAATATGCTGACGAGTGGCGTTGGCTACCGTTAAATAATACGAGCGAGGAGCACATGCAAATATTGCACACTGGCAAGAATGGAATTAACATTGGCAGAGATATTGCGTGCAGAGTGATCAAAAAAAAGACGCAATTAGTTCTAGAACGGTTGTCAAGATAGCAAAATCAGGAATTGGCCCTTCCATCGTACAACGCGCTTTGTAGTTTGTATATATGACATCCTCGAGCATCGAAAGAAAAACAAAAACAAGGTAGCGGATAGCTGCAGCATGCATCTGCACATGTGTTTCCCACATGGAAGCCCCGAGCGAACAAGTCTAGACCGTAGCCTGAAGGGCTTATCAGACCATTCGTCACAAAGCTCGTGCCCGTCTCGACACGAATCAGCTTTAATAATCCCTAATCAGATGATGCAGTAAGACCCGTGTTCAAAGTGGCGAGCTTGATAATCTGCTCAGGATAAAACCCCCCCCTCTTTCCCCCTTGTAAGCTGATGTTGATAGGAACCAGATAAACGGGATTTCCTTCACAGCTCTTTCCTTCTCCCCCTCCTCTCCACCCCCTACTCCGCAACGATGGGACCAGAACGGCCAACGGGGTCCCAGAAGAGGCATCCGCATAACACCAATGGCCGGTCCGGATGCGTGCACGGGTTTCCGATCGCAGCGGGCCATTGTTGGGTCTACTCCACCGCGATCCAGCTCGACCCTTGTATTCCCCCCGTCTGATCGCTGGCTTATCCGCCTATCGGTTGTGGCCCAAGGACGAGCGATGCCGTTGATCCGTGGATACGGGTGGATGACGCTAGTCCCAAGACAGACGAGTGGTCTGTGCGGAAGCTGCAACCTTAACCCCGCAAATCTGGGCTTTAGTTCGAGCAAGTCAGGCGAAGAAGGTAAAACTCGAGAAGAAAAGAGGCTTGGGTGCGTTAATTTGGGGGAGTTACAAGAAGAGAAATTACAACCAGTCACTAGTTATGATTGAATAATAAAAAACACTAGAATCCATCGTTGCGCTTACACCACTAAGTTATGACCATTTCGAATCGGGAAGGGACATGAGAAGAAGTATTTGTAGGTTTTTAGGTCAAAGCGACGCCGTTACGAAATCCCATCCAATTGGTAGTTTGATTAACCGTCAGGTAGTACGAACCCAGATCCATTCCCTCGGGACCGCCTCTTACAGACAGCCCCAAGTCGCCCCTCCCCCCGCCCCCCAAATTAATGCCCAGACCCTCCCAATGCTCTGCAAGGCACGGGAAAACTTTGACCTCACAAAGAATTAGCTCAAGAATTAACTGTGAAACTCAGCAGATCAATGCGAGCCCGTTAACTCAATGCGAGTAATGCCGTTGCCAAGCGCGAGAATCTCTCTACCCTCCGTCACGCCCCTCACTACCTAATTAGGGAAAGCAAAACGAGCCGATATGGCGCTATTATTTTTTGACGAACTAGCCCTCCTCAAATCGAGTATTGACCGAGTCAAAAACGAAAAAAATCAAAAGAAGGCTACTTAGTTGCTGTTAGACAGACTTTTTGGAACGCTGGGCGCGTGTGAGCTTGCAACAAAAGTACCTGGATTTCCCTGCTCTATCCGGCTTGCGACCGTGGCTATGACTGTAAGAATTTGGAATCATAGCCTAGATGTGAAATCACAACGGCGAGGAGAAGGGAGGGGGTGATGTCAGGGTGGTGGGGTAAATCCTACAACGATGGGGAGAAATGGGAGAGAAGCTGAAAGGACGACCGTAAGCGATCTGGTTGGATGATTGGCTAATTAACATGAGGCCCAAGTCCTGCGTACCATGTACCGTGGGTGGCCTGAGGTTCACGAGTCGTGCAATCCGTGCAAGGGAGGGCATTCAAAACGACGATAGGCTGTTACGTGTGAAAGTAGAGTTCCCGGGGGGAAAAACTGAAAACCAGCTCGAGCTCGGAGCTCGCAAAATGGAGCTCATAAAATGGAGCTGAAGCTGGAGCTGGCACGGCCCGTGGGAGGGGAATCGTAGACACTGGCTCGTAGTGGAGAGTACGGCACTTTGAGCGATTTGGAAGATGTAGAATTCGCCGGAAAATGGTACTCGATTGATTGTTTGCGGCGAATGCAACTGTACATAGCAGTACCTGGGGATGAACCCTTGGGCGTGTACATCTGGTGCGCAAATAGAGAAACACGGCGAAGAAAGGAAGGAAAAAAAGCACCGCACATTCGTCAAAAAGGTATAGATTCAGATTGAAATCTCATTTCTCATGACAGTAAGTAGTATGGGAGAAAATAAGCAAGTAGCAACGTGGATCCAGCCTATCCTTGGAAATAGCTGTAAGTTTCGAGAGCTGGGTTGAACTGGACTGCACAAGTTTTTTTTCCCCCTCCCTTAACCCCTCATCCCAGTTTCAAATCCAAAGGAGCCAATTTCCGAATCCCGCGAAAGTTAACGCCTGGCTTTGAACCACCCAAACGCATTTCTCATCATGGTGGCAGAAGAAAGAGAAAAGTAGATAGTGATGGTAGATCGGAGAAAGATAATGGAAAATGATAGAAAAACACACGGAGGAAAAAGGAAAAATCGGTATGGTACACGGAGCAAATGTACAAGCCAAACACCGTCATATACATCAAAAGGATTGGGGAATCATGTAAATAGCCCCTCAAGGATGAAAGGCAGAATATGGGCCAAAGAAAAAAAGACAAGTATGAGAAAGGAAAGTAGGTCGGGGAAGGTACTTTAGCAGGAGACCGTGCCAAAATCATCTAGGGCTACGAACTCGTCGAAGCCAAAGGGCTCTCGCTCCGGTAGGGAAGTATTACCCAAGCCCAAAGCAAATTGGCTGAACTCATTAAAATCAGGGTCCAGCTCCTCATGGGAAACCATAACGCCATCGCCGCCATCACCCTCTAGCTTTGCCACAGCCCCACCCTGGCCAGTGCCCAGAGCGGTAGGTGACAGAGGGGTGTTGGGAGTGGGGCAAAATTCAGGTGTAGACTGAGTCTCCGCAGAGTAAGACTCAATCTTGGGCGAGCTGGTATTCGAGGGAGCCATCTGGGACAGATGTGTACCTTGAGTGAGAAGATGTAGGTTGTGGAAGTTGTTGCTAGGCTGGGAATGGCCTCGGGAGTGGCCGGGACCGCCGCTAGGACCGGATATGGACGCGGCCGGGGCAACGTGCTGTGCCAGGTGCTGCACTGGCAATTCGGGTGCGGAGGCCATGCGATCTCTGAACTGTCGCATCTGAATGGCAGCCGCAGTATCGGTGGGCATCTGAGCTTGCTGCATCGTTTGCTGCTGCCACATACGCACGGCCTGGGAGTCGGTTGGTGTCTGGTTAGGAGTAGGGACCTGCTGTTGCATATGCGTCCAGCCTATATGGTTCCAGGTAGGAGCAGGTGTCTGTGCTTGAACAACGTAGGCTGGGATCTGTCCCGCGGAGGACGCCGCAGTGACCATGTGAGATGGATAGCCACTAGAGCCATCCATGCAGTTCATGTATGACTGGGCGTTCGGGTCGAATGTCGTCGTTGGCGACATCAAGTAGCCTTCTCCGGTAGTCGCGGGGCTAGTCATTGAGTTGGAGTTCATGCCCTGTGGGAATGGAGAACGCAGATTCGACAGATCTAAGCTCATCTTCCGTGATGAGCCTCCCTCAACGGAAGCACGCGGTGTCAGGCTTGCCCTACGGCTAGCAATAGAAGAGGCCGCGGAGTTGGAGTTGGCCCGGGCAGCAAAGGCAGCCAGGAGGTGACGATGGAATTGCTCTTCAATCTGCATGTTCTGTGCTTGCAGCATACGGATGCGCTTTTCTTGATAGCGCTCGTCAACTTCTTCGTACATGGCTTCTTTCTCGACAATCTCCTTGGTGATGTGGAACGCCTTGCCGGTGCGCTTCTTGTGCAGCATCGATGCCCGGTTAGCTGATTCCAAGCGTGCATCTAAGCTACGGTCCTTGCGCCGCGAGGCAGCAATAAAAGCCCTGGAGGTACGTTAGTCTTGGGTTTTCTTAGATCTCTCTGTATACCTCGGATAGGAGGGCTCGATGGAAGAGGTAGTCCTTCAATGAGAAAGGAGTACTTACCTCTCCTGATTCTCCTCCCGAGACCGGGGTACAGGAGAGATATCCTGATCGAGATCTGGCGAGGCCATCTCGGATAAGGAATAAGAAAAGTGGGTAAGGATGTAAGTGATTGCTCGGCCCAAGGAGGTGGTTTGAGTGTCGATCTGAACTAGGATTATGATATAATGCCAGTGCAGGTGGAGAGGGTGTGGAATACCGTGAGGATGAGGAGGAGGAGGGGAAGGATATTAAATAATAATAGCGCCCGGAGCCGTCCCAAGCGTTCCCTGAGTGGTTCAGTACCCTGGAGAGCCGTTCCCCGATTTGACTTTTTTGGAGGGGGGCAACAGCAAGCTGTCAGGACGAGGGCAGACTCGCAGAAGCTTGCGAGAGCGGATCCATGGGTCCCAAGGCGATCGTAGTTGGGACGCCGAGAAAAGTCTCGTTCGACCTTGAGCCATGGAATCGCCGCACCCACTGGGCCCGCCGTTTGGCCAGGATGGTCTGTCGGGCCTCGATGGCACGGTTTTTCTTTGCACGGCGAGTCCGTTCGATGGCGCCACAGTGCCGACCCTCTCTCTCAGTAGTAAATACTAATCATGCCGAATGATAAAACGGGGGATGTGGGTTGGTGCTAGAATGGTATCGGTAGCGGGGCTGTCATTCGCTGCTTCCTAGGCCAAGCCAGGGCCCGGATACTTGTTCCCGATTTCTGCACTTGCTGGGATCTCCCCGTACCTCCTGCTAGGGTTCCCTGGGGCGGATCCCTGGGTTTCTGGGCCATTTGGAAAAGATAGGAGAGCCAGGCGTGTGCTACTGGCTTTTCCTGCATGCTTTCGCTGAGCCTAGCGGAGGAGACTAGGCATAAGAGGCCTAGACCGGCATTGGTATCACTGGGAGTGGAGACAAGGTCACTAAAGTCACTTCTCCCCCGCGATGCGACTGTGGACTGTGCAGATCTTCCCAACGCGTCGCTCGAGGGTTAACTGGCCTCGTTCGAGTTGAGTGGTATTTGCGTCTCTCTGAAATCACCGAAGGAGACTGTACGGAGCACCGGCAAGATCCCACGTGACCGAATCCGGCGTGGAAAGGAAAAGAATTCCACGCTCTCCCTTGTGTGTAGACAACCATTCAAACCACCCAGAGAGAGAGAGGGGATCAACCACGCCATCCCAGAAAACGATAACAATTCCCCCGTCCAATCCAACCAACACGAGGGTTCCTGCAGCCCCGATCCGCACGGGGCTCTCTTATCCTCGCCGCACGGACTGAACGGTCGATTTTCGGAGATTTCGTGCCTCTAGAGGACAACTCAAAAAAAGCAAGGCAACGGCGATCGATCGGCCACCGCTTAGCGTCAATTCGTATCCCTATCTGAGCTCAGATTTGACCACCGATCGCTTTGCCGGATTTTCTGTGCTCTATGACGGGTACTTTGTCACTGCTACCCCCGTGAGCCACAGCACCTCTCTGCCGTCTCGCGCACAGCCACTCGTTTTCGGGGAGAAAATACTGAGGAGACCAGAGCGCTGGCGTTGGCGCTAGCCTGAGCGTGCTGAAGCTGTTTTACTCTGCAGGAGCCTATCGGAAGGGCTGAATACGCCCGTCAGCCCCGATAGCCCCGAGCTTCGACCGGTACTCAATTGGAGTATCAGATACCGTGCACAAATGGAGAGGGAAAAGTCACTTATAGTCCCAAAGTATGAAGTATTGGCCTCGTTTATCATTTGCGAGAATTGGCTATCTAGCCTGGCCGCCATGCAGACTTTCCCGAGCACATACCAGACTAACACGCAACTATACTGTAAACAGCCTCGAGCCCTAGCGCTCACAATAAAAACAAACAAAAGCCCCGTCATCTTATGCAGCGGTAGCGTCTCTGGTCAATTCCGCGGCAACAAATTGCGGGATGCTCTCCTCGGCCCTTGGAACTTGCCACCCTTCGGGGGCTTCCATGGTCTGCCCTTTTCAAACCTGCCCATCCTAGACATCCGTTGCTGGCCGTTGCATTATTCGGCCGGTCGAACCTAATCCCCTTCAAGAAGGCCAAGCTGCTTGTCCCCTTGGTGTATTATCGCCACTGATTCGTTTTGGGCAGGTCGGATGTCCCCAAAACTTCACATGTTGCGCTGCAACATGTGGAGCGCCGGGCCGGGGGGTATACAATCCATACTTTTCGTAGGGCTGGAGTTGTGGCGTTGGCTATTAGCATCTAGCCGAGAGTGGATGAGTATGGGCCCATAATTAGAAGGCGTTTAACGTGAATTCGTGGTTCTACAGAGTGGGATTGCGCTCTTAGCTGCTATGACCATCGCCGACTTCAAAGTCTACAGTACTAAACCCCGTAGTAGTGTTCGAGTGGCGATGTAGCTAACACGAACTCTCTACCCTTTCAGGCCTGCCAGCGCTTGATTATAGACTCTGGCCTTTGAAAATATTTTAAAATCATCGGCTAGTACTCTTTCCCCTCTCCGCCCGCTATCTTGGAAGCTGCAAAGGTTCTTGTCACAGAGCATGATTCAACATTACTACATTTTCAAAGCAGTAAATCCTTTCAATTACCATGAAATCTAAACGACCCCCACGGATTACCAAAATCGAGACACTTCTACAATAGAATATAGATTTACCAACGCCCGGCAGAGACCCGAGATCTCACGATCCATTTACAGGCGTCATGTTCGGGCGAACAGTGGAGCCTCTCCACTGCGGATCAGTCGGTTTTCGCAGGAAAGACAAGATATATACCCCCCTCGCACATTCTTCCAACAAAGGCAGTCCGACATGAATCAACACCTGCAAAGCAAACCTCATAATTGACGCTCGCACTGTTTCTACAAAACAAGAATTCCCCCCCCGCGATCGCGCGATGTCGGAGAATCATCGGCGTGCCAGAGAGCGAATGCACCCCCACCGAACCAAGCATGGAAATCTGCTGTAGAAGTTGACGAACGACAAAGTGCCGGAGATCGCCGTCCACAACGCCCTTTCACCTCTGACTGATTGCTGATACGCAGCTCGGAAATGGCGCGGTTCCTTCCGCTTGACATATCCGCGCGGTACTACGTCAGTCTCTTTTCGCCCTCTCCGATGGAATATGGAGGATCTCCGAGGAGACCTGCCGGATCGGCGTGATCGACATAGCGCCTTTCCAGGAACGACCACACGTTCCTGGGGAGCGAGCGCCACGGTGACGCTTCAGATGTGCCACGAGCGACGAATCCCTGCGCTCATCAAGTTCTTATTATGCTTTAGGCTTTTGGGTTTTGGGGGGGGGGGGGGTTTGATGCATCTAAGCGTGATTGGATTTGGGTGCAAGGATCGGACGGAAGGAAAGGCTTCAAAAGTTTATCAGTTAACCTAGGTAATTGTTTCAAGGCGTGATGAGCCGGAGTACACGGAGTGCGGGATTGGGAAATGAGATTGGAATTTAGCTTATTCCAGGTTGTGGCGAGAGAACTATGGTAGATGGATAGGCACTGCGGCTTGGTTTTGCGGCGTAATGGCGAATGGCATTTGTATTCGGTGAAAGCAATTCAAGGGGCATTCCACGAGGTGATTCTTTATAAACAGCATGAGCGAGGACGCTAAGATTTCAAGGGGTTGAAATGAAGAGACACGGAGGGGGAAAAACGCAGAGAACAGCACGAGGGCCTTGTAGATCAGGGCATAGACGAGTAGAACAGTGCCATTACGGCTCACAAACGCGCAGGACGACAGAGAATGACCGACTATCATAGGTCTGCAAAGAAGACTACTCAAGGTTGCAATGAATGGAAAGCCGTGTCTCCGACTGACCGAGCAAATACCATCCCCGCCCCAACGGCAAACGTGAGACTGAGACACATCGGCCTAGGAGAGCCGCCCGAGTCAGTCCTCCCATGGCAGGTTATCCGCCTTGGGGGACCGGTCTCTCGGGTCTCTCGACCTAGGATCTTCTAGAGAAGACAATATCCAGACAACTTGCAGGCGTGCTTATTCCTAGGCGATTCCCAAGGATGGCACCATGCCTTGCTCTTCGCGAGCCTCGGCACCAAGCCTGTAGGAAACCTTGAATCGAATTTTCACCGAATTGCCCTTTCCGTTGTCGACGCCATCCAGGACCATCTCCTGCTTCACACCATACTGCTGCTGCGGCGCAACCTCGCGGCCGGATTGTGGGCGGAGCTGGAGAGAATATGACTAGGAATACCAATCAGTAACGCACTTGGGATCAAGTTCAATATTCGGCAGGTGATAACTTACCTTTTCCACTGCGACTTGGAAGTGCAATTCACCAATAGGCTGGGCGGTGGTATTGGAGAAGACGGCTTGGATGTGAATTTGTCGTGGTGCACTCGGCACGCGACGAGCGACGAAGTCAATACGGAGTTGCGAGTTGAGCACCTGCACTTTGTTCGTGGCAGGCATGGCATTGCTCGGTGGAAGCGAGGATGCAAAGTCCCACTCGTCATCCTCGGGCGCCGGCGCATCCCCAGTCGGTTGCTGCTGTGGAGGCGGACTGACACCACCTGCCAAGTCAAGCAATGACGAGGATGGCGCAGGTGGCTGAAAGGCCCCAGATGTAGGCCGCGGGCTGGCGGATACCAGCGCTGCAAATGGGTCGGCTGCCTGTGGAGGAGTCGCAGTCGATCGGGGCAGGGGCGAGATGCCCGGCGCTGGGGTGGATGACTGAGAGCTGGGTCGGGACGAGTTCATAGATGCGAGAATATCATAATTGGGCTTGAATGCAGCAGGCGCTTGCTGCGAGGGTTGGGGAGAGGCTGCATGTAAAGATGGGCCAGTCTGCAGAGGAGGGAACCCCACTAGAATTGTTGATTAATGACTGCCAATCCCCCAAACATGGAATCATCCAAACTTACTGCTGGAGGCACCCAAAGATATTCCACCGCCAAGACCTGGGCCTTCTTCGCCAAGGGAGAGCCCGAGAAGGTCATTCTCCAACGCGCTTCCACCCTGGGACGAGGACTCGCCATTGCCATTGGAACTCGGAGCTGGCTCAGGATCAAAGTCGATCAATGAGAGTTCATTGTTTGCGTTCTTCGAAACACCGGTCGTAGTACCCAGAGTACCCTTGGGAATTCTCGATGCCGCATCAAAGTCGCCCTTCCGAACCAGCTTGTAACGCTCAATGGTCCGGTGTATGCTGTCGTTGATTTCCAGCAACTTGTGAACAGCTTCCGGGTCTTCCGATTCCTCTTCACACATCTTCTGAATCTTGGGATGCGCGCTTTGCAGAGCATTGGCAAGCTCCTACAACCGAGCGAGTTAGTAAAAAATACGCCATCGGACCAGAGAGAGGGGTCGCGGATCACGAACCTCAAAGACATCTCCTTCAGGAACGCCGTCGCCAGGTTGCTGGCTTTGCAACATCTCCTCCAAGATCTTAGCTTTCTGCTGCACCTTGGCAACTTCTTCGGCAGCCTTTGCGCGGTAGTCGGTTTTGTGCCGGTTGTCATATCCAGCCATAACCTTCATTAAACGGTTAGCTTCCTGTAGGTCGGCCGGTGTGCCTCTCCGAATCAGCTCCTGAAGTTTAGCAGATTGTGCTTCTTTTTCTTCCTCCTCCATCTCCTCGGCCGAGCGAAGGTTCTAATCAACAACTTATTAGTATAAAGTCTTGGATCTCTGCGATCGTGGGAATGCGTACGTCACTCGGATTCAACACCGCCGCATCTTCCCGGCGAACCTCCGGAAATGCGTAGCCCTTATAGAGAAGAAGACGGTGCATATCCCGGATAAAGCCCAGGTCCTCCTTGTAGCGCGATGTCTGGCAAATGGTCTGGCGCCACTCCTCAATCGACTCCAAGATGCGATGTTGGACCCGCGAAGGGCGCATCGGCGGCCGCTCGGGAAATCTCCGCACCAATTCATTGAGGAACTCTTTTGTGCTGATCTGTAGATGGAAAGGGTACCCGCAGTTCTTCACGCAGATATCGAGGAGCTAATTGTGTCGGTAATGCGAGCTGTTAGCTTGGTCCCGCGCGCCAGCCTGTCATCACCCCCCGAACTCGGGTCCACGTACCGCCAACGCCAACAACGCGATATTCTGGTTCCGGGCATTGATAAGATGAACAATCTCAACGGCAGCTTCTCGAGGTCTGTCAAAGAAACAGTAGGATTAGCATTGCGCAATCTCCTGAGGTTTCGGCACTCCCGACTCACGCATTGCCTTTCTTGGAGTTGACCAGGTCCGCGACTTCGAGGTTCAGGGCCAGATTGGGCTCGTAATTTTGGGGATCGCAGGCATTTCCTGTGTAATTTTGAGCATTAGAGAACTGTCATTATCGGTGAGAAATATCAACGATGTCGGGGGTTCAGCTCACTGATTGCCCGCTGTAGCGGTGTTAGCCCCGGCTCAGCATAGGCACCGAAGCGGTCCCTAGCCGCCATACGTGCGGAAGCAGCCTCCAGGATGACGGTGGGGGAATGGACAGGAAGGGTAATCGGAAAGTTTGGATTGAGGAGATTCTCAAGCGCAGTTCGTTGTGGTAAGAAGGACTGCCCCCCGCAGCTGTGGGAAGTGGTGTAGTTTAGATGGAGACCTGAGGAGGGCGGGCGGAGTAACTTGCACGTGTGGCGCTTGTGCTTCGACTGGAATTTTTTGGAAACTCCAACACCACACAGCGCCAACGCCCTCAACGAGACCAAAGCTTCCTCTAGTCTTACCTTCAAGATCTCCCGCAATGGTCCGTCATAAGAAAGATAACTTCTCGCGCGGAGGCAAGAAGTCCTCGAACCCCCGCCCCCGACCGGCGGTGCCCCGCGGTGATGGCGATGACGCTGCGCCCTCCTCGCGCCCAGCATTCAGAGCTGCCTGCTGGGACATGGGACACTGTGACCCAAAGCGATGCTCAGGAAAGCGTCTGATGAAGTTGGGCTTGATGCGAGAGCTTCATATTGGCCAACGATTCCCTGGTGTGATCGTTTCGTATGCGCCCACCCCGCCAGTTCTTCTCGTGCCTTCCCTTACTAACATGTGGATTCTTAAGGCCCAATGCGAAGAAAGTTGTATCACCTGCCGACCGAGAACTTATGGAACAGCATGGTGCTGCAGTGGTTGAGTGCTCTTGGGTGCGAGTCAAGGAAGTGCCTTGGTCCCGGATTGGTGGAAAATGCGAGCGATTGCGTACGTCTTTGCGGTCGCGCCAAAGAATGCACCGAGGAATCGCTTATGACTGACAGTGGTGAATATATAGTGCCATACCTTATCGCTGCGAATACGGTCAACTATGGTAAACCCTGGCGTTTGAATTGTGTCGAAGCGCTGGCAGCTTGCTTTTACATTTGCGGACACCCGGAGTGGGCACAGGAAGTCTTGAAGAACTTCAGATATGGAGAAGCATTTTTGGAAATAAACTCGGAATTGCTTGATCGTTACGCCGCTTGCCAGACTGAAGAAGATGTGAAGCGAACGGAGGAGGAGTGGCTGGCCAAGATTGAACAAGAATACGAAGACAGCCGCATTGAGGGGGCCGACGACATTTGGACAGTCGGAAATACCAATCGACAGCTCACGGCCCAAGAGTCTGGTGATGACGATGACGAGGGCGAGGACGAGAGTGGGGAGGAAGGTAGCGAGGAGGAAGACGAGAGCGAAGACGAAGCAGACAAAGACCCGTTTGCAATTTCAGACGATTCGGAAGATGAAGAACAAATGGCCGAGATTCGACGTAAGATTCTTGAGTCTAAATCATTCAAGAACCCGTCCGCCTCAGACAGGGAGCAACCGGAGAAGATTGCACGGCCAGAAAAGCCGGTGTATGTGGACTCAGATGCCGAGTCTGGCTCTGCTGGAAGCGAAGATGAGGATTTTGACAACATTATCAACGCAACTACGGTCACGGATCGCACTGGTATCAAGGATATCCAGCGACGGCGGGGCAAGGAGACTGTCAGTGCTTCATTTTCGCGAACTGAACTCTCCGCACCAAAGAGATGGTGAGAGAGATAAGCTTGATTGAAGTGCTGCTTTCTAGCCTACAAGGAGAAATAAAGTATCAATATGTCAAATTTCTGGGATATACAAAAGTTTTCTAGGGCCCCATGAATCAAGGAGGCGTTGCCGAATGGCAGCAGATGCGGAATCCTAGCTTTGCTCATCATACTGGCATCAATTGCGAGACATTCTTGCAGCTCAAAATTGGCCATCTATCATCACAGTTCCGCGCTATTCTTGAAAACCCGGCTTGATTGAATTGATGATCAATACCACGCATCTCTCATCAATTAGGTGCACCAACACATCGACACCCTTTTCTACCTCTGGTCGAGGTCTCATCGTGCAACGATTTTCAATGTTGAAGGAACGATATCGTTGGGCATTCTACAGCCTCGGTCAGCATGTTGATAGTCTTTTGATATGTTCAGGCAAAATCCCACCTCTCTTCTCCACAGGGTTCAATTTGGGCCATATGAATCGAACTTATGATTCCCAAGAGACTCTGAAAATTCCATCGCACAAATGAAAGACTTCTCCGTCGACTCGAGTACCATCCTTAGAAGCCGCGTGATCCCCTACGCTGCTCTCTGGTTATACACTTTGCCCGATTGCCGTTGTCCGGCGTCCCTTGACATCGTGTGCACTCTTTAGTGCGATGCCTTGGCCATTCATGTGTCAATGAATGCCCGGACGAATTGTAAATGAACGGATTGATTTCGTTGTAAATGGGAATCCCGAGGGCTTTCGTTCGGCGATCGTTCAATCGGATCCATGGTCGTGGAGATGGTAGTAGTGTTGTTGGTCGTTGGTTGTTCATGTTTAGAGAGGGATGGAAAGAATTATTATGTTATCGCCTGATTCTGAGTGTCCAAAAGTATAGAGAAAATGAACACTATTCTGTCAGTCTGCTGGAAGAGGGCTTCTATGGCATTGGGAGATAGCAGGTGGTAGAAATACTGTTGGATGAAGGGATAGTTTCCATCCCAACGCCACTCGCCTCATTGAAGGCGATAACCAACCACCACCACAACAATCAGGAGTCGCTGCAAGGGTGGCGATCGGTGTGTCCTCACAGATTGGGTTCATGCAAGGGATAACCCTATATAGACCCTCGTGTGGTGATTGTCTCAGACCATATTGATTCAAGAAATCTATCTAAAACGTCATTGAACCTGACACGGACAAGATTCCTTCTTGATCCTATGCTATATCAAAAAGGTCAGCGCCGGTATCTAGAGAATTTGATCTTTATTCCTGCGAAATCCGTACATCAAGATTGGCTGGCTTATTACTTGCACTTGGAAACGAACTGTATATGTCAGGGGTTATTGCCGATATAATACACGCCTAGGTATGCCAAATTCTGGAGCTGGCAAATCAATCTTCCGTTATGGTAGAAATTAGGCACTCTAGAATCCTTCCTATAGTTTGGGAAGATTGCTCGATTAGAGCATTCCACCCACCGAAAGGGGACCAGGTTGCTCCCCGATATACATCTACCAGATGACTTGGCCAACCCCTCTGAAACTGCTTCGGGTGAAAACCTCGTTCGTGAGATAGTCAATTAGATAATTAGCCAGTCACGTAACTGGCGTTTGATAGATCTCTTCTTTCACTCTCAGACTGATCCCTTTCCCTTTCTCTTTTCTTTCTACAAGATTGTCGCAGATAGCATGTCGGCCTAGTACACTTGAAACAATTCTGCTACAGGAGGTTTGATGCAAGATGGAGGAGGTTGGGCATGGAAACAAAAATGACAATCGTGGGCAACAATTCGGCAGGAATCCCCCAACGATCCAGACATCTTCTTCTTTCTCTCTCTAGCCAATAATTTCGTCAGTAGGCACGGAATGGACCTGTCTTTGGATTGGCCCGTAACAGCCAAGTATATCGAGTGATACACGCAACTGGATAGAAAGCCTTTAACGGAGCGCGTTGGATCTCTTTTCGATATGGTTGATGAAATCGCCAAGAAGTTTGTGATGGCACGATGGAGATGGAAGCGGTTTTTTGTGGAGTTGATATTCTAGTATGATAGAAAAGGTAGTGGATACAGGGGTGAATAGTTGAATAGACGACGAAGGTAAGAGGGCATAGAGGATAATCTACAGAACTGAGGCTCCTTGTCGCAGAATGTCATGAAGCGTTTGCGATATTTAAGAGATAGCCTTAGTCATAGAGGGTAGTCACACACTAAATAGGGACCAAATTAGAAGAATGCCGTAGTGATCTTGCTGGTGTTATTAATGAAAGGGTGCCTAGATCGCGTGACTGTCGTAGAAATAAACCTCGTGGTTGAGCCACCCGCGTTTGGGCCCTGTTGTGTAACTAATAAACCTTGCGAAACAGCCTCGTTGACGATTGCGGGGAATGCTCCCACCATCTAAAACTACCAGAGTGTGACATTTACGAGATAATAGATTGACGAGTGAGGTCATGGGTGTTCGTATCCATTTTGTTAATCCTCTATGATGCGTCAATACCCCCGGGCGTGTTGATATCCAGTCGACCCTGCCAAGCCACGTCCGTTCGCCTGACGCGGTCGAATGATGGCAGTCAGCGGGGCACGCAACTGACAGAATGGGCTTGGCTTAAGGGTTCACAGCCTCAAAAGCCTCCCTCTTGCCAGCGAAAGAGCGATCATGCGAGGAAAGAACCAAGATTTCAGAGAAGAGGTTACGGGGTGATCCTTGGCGCTAAGCAGATCGTTGCCCACTATATGATCAGCGTCGCTTCCCCTCATGAAAGACATTTATTTTTGACATGTAGACAACCTTTTACTGGGGATAATCTGTCGAAAGCAATTGTCAAAATTCCCCGTGCATTGATTGGATCTCCTACTCCCAACTTCTACCCATACATCAACAAATAGCCAAAACGGGCCACTCATTGCGCAAGAGGGTTCGAGGCTGGAAGCGCATTATTATGGCGCAAGACCAGCCCGCCAAAGGTTTGGCCACAGCTCCCAAGGCGAGTGAAAATGGGAACGCAGATACGAATCTCGCACAACGACCAGCAGTGAAGGAACGTCGCGGGTCTGCGATCCTGAATTTCCTTTCCTCCTTAATAGGCTCAAAGAACCCGCTTGCCCATGCGGCGGACCCACAGAAGAACACAGTCTGGTTGCTGGATAACACGGCCTATCAACCTGTCTCGGATGCACCGAATCGAGGAAACAAGGCGCAATCATGGCAGGCCGAATTTGTTGTTTGTATCTTCGAGACAGAAGGTCGTAAAGATGTCGGTAAGCTCGTTGCCGCCATCGCTGATCATATCGGTATCGATGGGGAGTATGGCCGGGATGATGAGGAGACACGCAAGCGTATAGCGAGGCGTGTACAGCCCTTCTTGGACCAAGTCTCTCCCGCACGGACAGTCAAGCTGGAAGTGATCATAAACGGAGTCAAACGGACGCATTCGCTGGGCGGCTCGGACCGAAACGGCATCATTAGCCAAATTGTTGACCTCGGCGCGTCTGGCGTGACAGATGGCACGGTTATTCATCCACGAGTTCACAATTTCAAAGGACCAACGGCCACGAGGGAAACGCACTTCGCCGCACCCAAGGGCTGGATGGTGATCTCGGACATCGATGACACGATCAAGCGGACGATGACACTTGAACCAACGGGAATCCTTCGCACGACCTTTGCTGAGGAACCCGTTCCGATTGCCGGCATGCCGGAGTTCTATCGGCATGTCCAAGACCAGCTGAATCCGACGTGGTTCTACCTTTCAGCATCGCCTTACAATCTGTACCCATTCCTGCACCAGTTCCTACATGAGAATTACTTGCCAGGCACACTGATCCTGCGTGACTATTCCTGGATGGATATTAGCGGGCTGATCAAGTCGTTTACCGAGAACACCCAGGAGTACAAGGTTGATCGGATGGAGAAGATTCGGAGCTGGTTCCCGCAACGGAAGGTGCTTTGCATTGGGGATTCAACGCAGAAAGACCCCGAGGCTTATGCAGAGATGTACAACCGTTATCCGGAGTGGATTCATGCTATCATGATTCGGAAGGTTACTGATGTGGAGCATATGGAAGACAAGAACAAGCCCGAGAGATTTGAGGAGGCATTTAAGAATGTTCCGGCTTCCGTGTGGACTCTTTTTGAAGATGCGGAGGAGCTGTATGCTTTTGTTGATGGGCTGGGAATGGAAGATCGAACCGTGTAAATAGCATCCTTATCCTTGTCTAATTAGGTATACCTTGCGCCTGAAGGGCGCCTTCCCAACAATTCTCTCTAGCATGCAGGGCGTTACATAACCAGAATACAAAGTAGATATGTATGACCTAATAACTCTCGCATGTGAACTCCGAGCAGCTCTGGTGACAGTGGCAAAGCGGGCCTCACTTCCGTCATACGTAGGTAAACATGAGAACAATGGACTGCTATGTATACATAGTCTAACGAAAGGACCGCTGCTTTGAATGAGAATCGAGAGAAAACATGAACACCTATTAGGTCGATCTACGCTAAGAATGGACCGAAGATCATCGCGCAACGATTACGCCCCTGCATGGGAAGACAGCGAAATCAATCTGATGCCAGAAGACAATGTATCACCATCAAGCTACACGAACAGCCAGGCCGCTGATATCCCCACGCCATCCACAAAAACAGACAAGCGACCATCAACGGCAAGCCTGCGTACACCGAGAAGCGGCAAGCGGACATCATCATCTCTGAACACCCAAAACTTCGTTACGCTATCCATGCGAGCTCTCTATTACTCAGTCGAACCAGCAACGGACCCGTCAATGGAACCAATCCCCGACGGACCAGCTAGTCCCAAGCCCCGCCGTTTCAGCAACCCGGGCACACGACTCGTTCTCGATCCGAATTTCCCGACGCCCCAACCCTCACCACAAGAGTATCTTCTCAAGGTTCGGACGGGAGCGTTTTGTCACGACGAGATACGTCTATCAACGGAATTGAACCCGCCAAAGACCACGCCACAGATCCCACTGCACAGTATCTGCGGGACGGTATTCAGCACTCCAACGCAGGACCTTGAACGGCCCGAAGGATCGAAGTTCAAGATCGGGGATACCGTCTGGGGTGTGACGAGTTATACCCGTGACGGCGGTGCAGCTGACTATGCCGTCGCCACGGAGTCAGAGCTTGCGCTTAAGCCCGCGAATATCGGTGCCCAGGAGGCTGCCGCATTGGCATTGCCTGGGTTAACGGCCTGGCAGGCGCTGTTCCGGTATGCGGAAATTGATCCCGATGCGTCTATGAATCGTAATGAGAATGGAAAGGAAAAGGAAAATGAGACTGAATACCTCAACGGATACGGGAATGGGAACCATAATGGAAATGGTCAGAGAGGGAGTCCTTGGGCCAATGGTAATGGCAATGGTGGTGGTAGTCAACGGCAGAGCATGTTCAAAACGGACATATTTGGCGAGAACAACAAGCACGGCAATGGTAGCAGCCAAGTGAACGAGAATGGAAACGGTTATCCAGGCGACTATGCTGGAAAGAAAAGCATCTTTGCCAATGGGTATGGCAACAGCAGAAGCAACGGCAATGGCAACGGCAACGGTCATACTTGGCTGAGGAAGAGCGTGGATGGAATCAACAACCTCGTGAGGACCGCAAGTACGATTACCGGTGCAAGCAGAAGTACAAATGGCAATGGCAATGGCAATGGACACGAATACGGCTACGGCAGACGCCGTAGTAGTTGGCGAAGAGGAAGCGGACTACTAAGAAGAAAACGAGGCTCGGCGATGCAACTACGCGTGTTGATCACCAACGCCCGAGACAGCGAAGTCGGTCGAATCGCCGTGCAGCTACTTCGGGCAGAGAAGCTCTTCACGTTACCCGAGCGGCCATGGATTTGTGTGACCTGCACACCCATAGAAGCAGATATTGTGCGTGCGAGGTGGGACGTTGACGAGGTCGTCGTTCTCCCCAATATCCCTGACTATGACGAGTGCGACTTGGGGAAGGTATTTCGAGCCCAGCGGTGGGAACCCGTTGATGTGGTCTTGGATTGCGCTGGAGGGGCTGTCTTCCAACAGGCTCATTCACCTGCAGTTGTTCAAGATGGAGGAGCAGTTTTGACGGCTGTTGATCCCTGGCCGGCGAAGCACCCGGAGGTTTCTGACCGTCTGGATACCCTCGGCCGAAGAAAGCGCGGAATCAAGACGATGTTTGTGCCTGTGAATCCCGATGCAAGCTCGCTGGCCGGCATTGTAGAGCTCGTCGAGAGCAATATGGTCCGAGGGAGGCCCGAGCAGGTCACAGATCTCATGCATGCGGACTGGTTGTTGAAGGACCATGCCGTGGCGGCTGGTGCTGCTCGCCGAGGAGTGATGATGGTGGTTCGCGTCAATTGAACTATTCAAGGCTTTGCTCTAAGGTGGCATGAAAGAGTTAAGGCTAGATTCATTTTTTAAAGTTTAGCTTGATCTTACTCAGCTCAATATGCTAGCAATCGATTCATCAGATTCTTGTACGGCCACGATATGATGGACGCCCCACAGCCCTGATGAAGCAGAAAAAGAATAACCAGGCAATAATACCAAAAGTCAATTAAAGATGGCCATGATAGAAGACAAGATCAGAACAGAGAAAAGAATCTTCAAAAAAAAAAAAGAGAAAAAAAAAAGGCTCATTTGAGGGTTTTTTGTGCGTGCAGGAAAAATGATCAGCTGCATCAAGCCAAAAGCAACAAAACCCGCGAATGTTCGAAGTCGAAGGGTCAATCAAGTGATCAGAAAAGGTGAAAGGATGACATAGATCAGTCCGTACCAATAGGGATCTTGAAAATCGTGTTAGCTTCAGCCTCGAGACCTGCGATGTCTGGAGTTATCAACGAACACAGCTCCACCAAAGAAGGCAAATTGAGTGAGAACGTAAGTGATGAAGAAGAGAAGGACTAGTGACCAGGACGATAGATCGGAAGCCCAGAAATATTCCATACAAGAATGAATTTTGATCAGACAGTTCAATATGACAAGGAAAAACGCTCTGCCCAATTCCAACCCACATGATGACAAACTACATGAGTGAACAGAAGAGAAGTAAAATCCCCATGAAAAACGAGAAAGCCAGGACACAAGGTGCAACCCATGGAGAGACGGTAGAGAATGGAACGAGGTGGGGAGATATAGAGGGGATAGACGAAGGGAAAAGAAGACTGCATTAGAAGCGACACGGTATATCAGTTTAGAGTAGGGAATCAAGTCTGGTGAAAACGCTCAGACACGCCGCAACGATCTGAAGTATATGTTAGTGAACTGGGTTAGATTGAATAGAGTGGCCGAAGACATACCTCCAATTGGAGCTCGCGATCCTTATTGCCGCGGTTGATCTCGTCGTTGATCGCCTGGGCCAGATTGGCTCCGATCGCCTGCGAACCACCAGCCCGGCGACCGAATGGCCATTGCGAGTATTCGGCCAGAAGCTCATCTACCTGCGCAAACGCTCTCTCGCGAGCCTCATGGCTCATGGTCACCAGAGCATTCTCCAGTACGTTGGCTGCATATGCAGCACAGACCATCGTCACCGTGCGAAGATAGCGAAACTCGGCGTCCTCGGGCAGCCATGGGCTCGGAGGAATGATCACTGTGCGGTTGGTGCAAATGTTGCGCACTCGTTTGTGAAGGTCGTCCTTGGCGCCGCCGTCGGCCACCGGGTGTGTCGCCATGTCGAAAAGGAGGAAGTTACGTTTCTCGGTTCGCAGGATGCCCTTATCCACAAGGCCCTTGGCCAATCGTTCGCGTACTTGTTTCAATTGGTATCCGATTTTCATCAAGTTCCAGGTCTCACCTACGGGGAGGAGAATCACGGATCAGCTTATGGGTGCCAGGTTGGCAATACCCCCCTCCATCTTGACATAGGACACGTACCACTCATCAAGTCAATCCATGAGTTCACACTCATCTTCTCGCTCGATTTCATCATCTTCAGTGCCTCGTCCAGCAAGACTTCGCCGGTCAATGTATCATCCACGACCTCGATGATGCGGTCGGCCAGGGGAAAGCGTCGTCGCGACGAATCCTTCTGCATGCTTATCCGGCCGCGGAGCGCAAGTTCGATAACGATACACCCTCGCAGGGCATAGGAGATATTCTCGTTCCAGAAGGACAAGTAGCCCTGGTAATCGCAAAACATTCGCGCGTCAGCAATTCAGGCTCCCCGATGGGCAAGCAAATACCCCTCTATCTCCTTTATTCTCGACTATGCTCACCTGCTTATCTTTCAGTCCCAGCAATAGCACCTCCTCCATAAGGGTGAGCTTAGGTTGCTTGCTTCGTTCTTCGGTTTCGCTAAGGTCGCGGGGGTCGAATGCGATCTTGTGACCATTCTCCGCGCTGGTGAATGAGGTCTCCGGACCGCGCGTGTCCATCGCAGAACCGTTCCTCGAGACAGGCGATGATACGCGGCTGTCATCTTGCTCGTCTGCGCCAGCGGCTCGACCGCCGCCTCGTCGGCGAGTCAAGCCCCCGGAGGACATGAGGATACCGGTTGAGGGGAGGGGAGGGGAGGGGAGGGTGGAGGATGGAGGGTGAAAGAGAGACGGAGGAGCCGTCACGGGACAGGTAATAGTTGTATATCCGTTTCCTCAATCACAGAAAGCCAATCTTCGTGCCGGTGCAATGGTCGTCAACCGTGTCGAAGAGAGATGTCAGGAAGTCACGAGTAGACCGAAAGTCTACCGTTGCCGCTTTCTAGAGTGGGACCGCTCGGCGTCAGGGGAAACCAGGGACCGAGTGCGTTGGTAGGCAGCCAAGGGGAAGTATTCCAGGAATACGGTGAACCAATGCCGGTGATTCTTAGATAGAGGATAGAAATAAAAAAAAATCCCAGGAGAGGAGAGAGAAAGGTCAGCGTGTTAGGGTCGAAGTTAGCTCGGGCCAGGCAATGTGGCTCTTCTCGGGAACATGATTGCGCCCGACAAGCAAGAGCCTCAGTACTACTCTATCCACATTTCAGCAATAAATCCACAATCTGGATGGCAAAGGTCTTGAAATCTAGTAAGTTACTGCTTATTTCATCTGGTGACATTAGCTAGCGTCCGATTTGTAGTTCTAGACTATGTCTCTAATCTCAGAGCGTCTTCGGAAACACTTCATCTCGGTCAACTCCAGTCGAGTGATCAGCTCTTATGTCATTCGCAAACACCAAGGGTCAGTCTAGAGGAGGAATCTGAGTAGCACAATAAGACCCTCCCTCAGAGTATACTTGGTTAGTTGAGACAGAGAGAGAGAGAAAGAGAGAGAGGAGAAGGAAGCGGCAACCCGCTATCTGATACTGCGTCAAAACTGCATTCAAGATGATATACACGATGTAGAAGGATGAGAAAAAAAAACACTGGCATGTATTTCAGCATACAGAGCAGCGCCTTAAGCCACGAAGATGCGCTCTCCAGAGCGGATTCCCCGGCGGACGCCACCATCCCGATTCATTTTCTATCCGACTTCCCAAACAATCGGCCCTCGAGCTTTTCAATTAAGTATTTAGTGAGCTATCCATCAAATCACATATTAGCACGACTCAAACGCAATGGTCAATAGGGGCAGTGTAAATACCATCGGGCTGGGCCTGGATGTACTCGACAGCCTTCTCAACTGCTCGCACGCAATCACACGTTAGCCTCCGTCGCGCGATATGAGATTCGGCGTAAGACACCACGGTCTATACTTACCACTGTGGATCTGGTCAGCCTCCTTGTCGGGGATCTCGATGCTGAACTCCTGTTGGCGTGATAGTTAGCAGTCTGTGTGGTGGTATTCTTTTCCGAGGGAAAGAAAGCGAGTCGCATACCTCCTCGATGGCCATCACGACCTCAACGGTATCCAGGCTGTCGAGACCGAGGTCGTTGGAGAAGTGAGAGACGCCGGTAATCTAGTAATCATGGGTATATCAGTATGTGCCGTGTTACCGAAGGCCCCGGGTTTAGCTCGTGGTGATGCCGAGGGCAACCCAAGGGTAGATGTCGCGTCACCGAAACTGACCTTGCTGGCGTCGGAAACCTGAAAAACACATGCAAGTTAATAAACCGATTCAACAAGAGCTCGTGGATATGTAATGTGCGATTCGAGTTCCCACATTGCGAGTCCACAAAAATGACATTCTGACGCACCTTGTCAAAGTTCTTCAGCAGGTTGACTATCCGGCCCTCGATCTCATCCTTGGACAGACCAGCGGGGGCAGAGTAGAAGCGGATGCTCTGGGAGACAAGGCTAGGACTGAATTGAGCAGCAATGGGGGAGCTGCGGATCTGGAAGGAGGCCGGGGTCTTGACGGCGGCACGGGGGACGGAGGCCCTCAAGGAGCGGACAATGGCGGAGCGGAACATGGTGAATCGGGAGTATCAAACGAGCACGAAGGCTTCGAGTCGAGGAGAAAGAGATCGAGGCGGGATGGTGGGGAGAAAAGAGAGAGGTGGATGAAGGGAGATGGACGGGAAGAGAGGAAGAAGATGGTCGGAAGTGATGCTGCTGCGCAAAATCCTGCCGCCCACCAATCAGCGTCCGGCAGAAATGAATGACCTAAGCCCAAACCTGCAAACACCATCTCCAACCTCAACCAGCACCTCCTCCCCTACCTCCCCTCCCAAGCTGCGACCTCTCTCCTCCCCCCACCCCTCCCGACTCTTCGTCATCTCAAGCGCTTCTCCGCGTCTTCATCATGGCCACCTCTCGATCGGTCGCAAGGCTGGTCGCCTACCGCCGGTCCCCCTTCATGCCCATCGGCTCAACCGCAAACTTCTCTTCCTCGGTGTCCCGCGCGGCATCCCCAGCGGGCCCCCCTCAGCCCGGTTTCCGTCTGCCCCCGCCTACGCGCTGGGATCAGGGCTCGGAGTCTTCTCTCGACAAGGCTAGCAAGTACTTCCTCATGGCCGAGATCTTCCGCGGCATGTACGTCGTGCTGGAGCAGTTTTTCCGCCCACCGTAAGCCAACCTCCCAGCGGCCGTTGACGGCCCAATTGCATATTGGACATGTCGAGCAGCGTCAATTGAGCTGGAACCAGCTGACACGATGTTTCTCTGCATCCTAGTTATACCATCTTCTATCCCTTCGAGAAGGGTCCCATCTCTCCCCGTTTCCGCGGTGAGCACGCTCTGCGTCGCTACCCCACCGGCGAGGAGCGCTGCATTGCCTGCAAGCTCTGCGAGGCCATCTGCCCGGCCCAGGCTATCACCATTGAGGCGGAGGAGCGTGAGGACGGAAGCCGCCGGACGACCCGTTATGATATCGATATGACCAAGTGCATCTACTGCGGTTACTGCCAGGAGAGCTGCCCCGTGGACGCCATTGTGGAGAGTAAGTCTCTTTGGGAAAAAAATGTGTGGCATTAAACAATTTTCTAATGTATTCTGCACTATAGCCTCCAATGCTGAGTACGCTACCGAGACCCGTGAGGAGCTTCTGTACAACAAGGAGAAGCTTCTCGCCAACGGTGACCGATGGGAGCCCGAGATCGCGGCCGCTGCTCGTGCCGATGCTCCTTACCGATAATCAAATCGCCCTTCTTTCGTTACTTATTGTGGTCCTCAGCAACCCAAAATTGCGAATGATGAATTAGGACCCGTGGAAGTGGCACGGGCTCAATATCAGAACGCGCCAAATGGCGTACGTCCAAAATCTAGAAAAGGGCTCTCTACTTGCCCTCTCACATCAGCACACCTTGTACATAACTCACCCTCGACCTTGTGTTATCTCTGTCGTACTAGTCGATTACCAAAGGAAGGTTCCAGCTTCGTTCGGGAACCAAGCTCCTTTGTCATTTTTTTCTTTCCTATGTTCTGGAATAGCAGGTCTCTTTTATTTCCCCCCCCCCACAAGCTCAAATTTGATTAGCGATATATCTTCATGACACAGTAGTTCAGCTACATTGTTCAGTTGGTTTGGGTTTAAGTTGGTCCGACCTCTGGACGAGGCCCTGGCAGCCCACCGCGATATATTCGGTTACGGACCTCAGTACCTAGTTCGTCAACCTAGAATCCAGGAAATAGGGATCTACTTTTAGATCTAGAAAGTGGATAAAGGGAACAGAGTGAAAAAGGGCTGAACAAGCTATATTTGTATTCACAAATAAAAAATGGATCGCTACCCATGCTGACGTACATACAAGACATAACTGCCGCTGAAACACAGCGCAAACACCAAACACCAGAATCCCCGGATGGATATTTCCCAGATCGATGTCTTAAAAACACTTTTTGTTTTTTTTATGTTGTGGGTATTCTCCAGCTCCAGCCATCTTCCGAAGGAAGGAAGAAGCTTGAAATGAAGGATGAAAAGGCACCAAGGCTATGGGCAAGTAACCATAGCTTTTGAGAGAAAGGAAATGTGACGAACGAGATCACTTCTTCTTGCCGCCAACCTTGGCCTTGAAGCTACCCTCAAAACCCGGACGAGCCTTCTTCTTGCCACCGCCGGAGGGCTTCTTGCCCTTGCCCTTGCCCTTGGTGCCCTTCTCGTCACGGCGCTTGCGCAGGTTCTCTTCACGCTTGGTTTGACGCTGTTCCTTCATGCGAGAGACGGTGTCGATGCGTTCTTTCCAATCACGCTCCGATCTCTTCTTTGCGGTCTCCTTGCGCTTGAGGGCCTTCTTCAATAGAGAGGTGTCATCACGAACTCGTTCACCGTGAGCGCGCTTCTTGGCGTTCAACCAGGCATCCTTCTCCTCGAGCTCAGCGCGCTTTTCCGGATCCATTTCGGCGAGACGGGCCTTCTTGGCCTCTGCGGCCTTGAGCAGGGCGGCGGCATCCTTATCCTTGGGGCCGCGGGTCTTGGACTGATCACGGACGCTAGAGAGAGAGGAATCGGCGACTTGACCATCGGCGAACATGACATTACCGAAAGAGAAGTTGTTGCTGGAGGATCCGACAGAGTCGGCGGGGGAGCGAGGAGAGGCGAGCAGAGATCCAGAACCACCAGGGGAGAATCGACGAGCCATAGCCTCATCCTTTTGGCGCTGCTCTTCGTCCTTGGCCTTTTGGCGCAATTCCTTCTTGTGTGCCTTGCGCTGCTCAGCCTTTTGTCTCCGTGAGTCGATCAGTTCTTGACGGTTGCGCGCGGGCTTGCCGTTAAAGCCATCTGCGTGCCTCTTTGCCCGAAGCTCATCGAGACGCTTTTGCAAGCGTTGCTTGAGTTCTTCTGGGGTGGCCTTCAAGGCCTTGGGCTCGGCGGATTTGGCATCGGTGGCGGTAGAAGGGGGGACAATGGAGGATATGGAGGAGCTGCCTGATTGAGGATTCGAGGCATCGGGGGAGTTGCGGGTGGATGAAGCAGAAGAGGGGCCTTCCGGCTCCTCGTTGAATTCGAGTGAGAATCCTTCCTCGGCGACTCCGTCCTCGAGATCGTCGCCGTCCTCATTGTCGGAGGCAGCAGGTTCCTCAGTGGTCTTGTCAATCTTCGACGTTGACTTCTCTGCAGCCGTGGAGGATGCCTTTTCAGTCTGTTGCGGTTTTTCCTTCTTGGCACTCTCCTTGGCCTTTTTCTTCTCCTTTTGCGCAGCCTTCTTCTGGGCCTTCTTCTCTTCCTTCAGCTTCTTCCGAGCCTCAGCCTCCTCTGACTTTGCCTTCACAGCGGCATCTGATTTCTCAGTCTGCTTTTGCTTCTTGGCCTTTTCTCCCCGGTTGAGACCCTCCCCGGGAATTTCGGAGCCGAGTTCTTCACCGTCCGACGAGTCGCTTTCGAGAGATCCATCCTCACGCTTGCGCTTACGAGCATTATCATCCATCACGTCTTTGGCGGTCTTGGCGGATTCGGATTCGGGGTCCAACTTTGCACGCTTAGCCTCACGGGCTTGCTCTTTCGTCTGCTTTTTCCGTTTCCATTGATCCTGCAGGTGCAGACAGTCATTAGATAGGGAATTCTCAGAAATAAGAGAGACAGGAGGAAGACCGGCAAATCGGACAGAGGGGTGGTTGATCAAAGAAGATCAGAGAGCGCACGTACACTGGTATTGTCGTCGCCGTAGTAATATTTGGCGGGGATCAAAGACAGTAAACCGTCAAATGCCTGCGCATGGCTGCGCAGCCGGTCCTGAAAGGAGTTAGCGAGATGGACCGACCGAGAGCGCCGTCTCACGAACCTCGATATCATCCATGTTCCCGTGGAAAATCCCGAATGCTAAGCTGAAGGCGAGTCGAAGTAACCGCTACGAAAAATTTGGGGGTGAGGAAATCTTGGCGTTCTCCGCTCGGCTCCTTCACCGCCCACGCACAACAAATTTTGGTCCGTCAAGTGGTCCGTGCTTGGTCGAGCATATGCCAGTGGAGACGAGGGACCCGATCATTGTAAATCTGATTGATCTTGAAGTAGCGAGAGCAATGTAATATCTGCTATTATTGCTCCAAATTGACCATCATATTGAAACCTCATTATTATCAGGCAGCAATTCACCGTAAGTCATAATGGCGAGCCACAAGACACTGTCTTGATCAATTCGCTGATCCCCTTCAATACTCCGATGCCTGACCCCCAGAAACCAGGCGCGTATACCAAATTGAGGTTACACCCTTGTGAATACAAGTGACCGCGAATATCCACAGTAAATATCCCGCTTGAGTGGAATCGTACCGCCATTGTCTCCATATTGGGGATCACTCAACATCAGGGCCTTTGACATCTTATCTACGGCCTCTCAGCTCCTGCATGGGGATTAGCACCACTCGCCTCTGCATATTGAGCTAGCTCGATCTCCTCTATGCGCAAGCGATCTTCCTCACCCCAACCTTCGCGATTATCCTTGACCAGTCGGACAAATCCCACGTCCAGAATGAGAGCAATGACGCTAATTGCAACGCCAAAATAGAGTGCTGATCGATATCCAACGATCTGGCTTCCTGATCGCTTAGCACTTTGAACCTCAATAGTAGAGGCAAATCCCAAACCCAGGCTGTTGCCATACAGGTTGAGAGTGCCGATGATGGATCCAGCAATGCCCTGTTGATGGCGGCGCACCGAGTTACTGGCAATGATCTGTCCAGCAGTATACACAAAATCCGGACAAAAGGCAAACAGGACAACGGAGGGGAATACCTGAGCCCAGTAGCTTTGACTGACCGGTACAGTCGCCATCAGGGCATTGGATATGAGGATCGTGCAAGTACCGATGGCTAGGATCCATTGCGCTGCCAATCGAGGAACCAACCATGCCGCCAGACATGCGGCTGCCGTGGCGCAGATCACAAAAGGCGTCCAGCCAACGGCAAATTGCAGAGCAGACCACTTCCATACTTCTTGCAACCAGAGGACCTGGTACCAAATCAAAGTCCCGACCGCCATGTAGTTGAGCAGAACCACTAAGAGCACGGTAAGGAAGGAAGGTGCCTTGAAAATCTCAAGTGGCATGATGGGGTGGGAGGTATACCGTTTTTCCCAGACGAGAAATGCTCCGAAGAGCACGATGGATATTATTAAGAGAGCGATCTCATAGGGTGTTTGCCAGCCAACGCTCGGGGCTTGACTATATGTGGGATGACTTGTTAGCTTCTAAGACTCCAGCGATTTTCCACTACGTTGGGACTTGACAAGACTCACTTCCAGACAAAATTGAAAAGTATCAATGAGGTTGTACCAAGAGCAGAACCAACATAGTCGATTATTCCGTGCTGATCAACGGGTGTTTCCCTCATACTCAAAAGCCAAATTGCGAATGAGACAACGATACCGAGACTGGATCTAAAGCTTCGCGGTTAGCAACTCGTGGGACACCAGGTAATCAATTATAGATCTTTTACACACGTGAACACAAAAAACCACTTCCAGTCTGTGTTCTCCATGAAAGCGCCGAGAAAAAGTGCTCCGAAATAACCACCCATCGGGGCTGATGCTGCAAAAAGCCCCAGACTGAGATTCCGTACTCGGCCCGGAGGATTAGTGCTCGAAATCATAGCGACAGCATTTGGCATGATCAAGGCTCCTCCGAGGCCACCGAGAGCTCTCATGGCGAGAAAAGCAAAGAATGCCTTCCCACAAAAGGCACTTGCCAGAGTTGTGATGGCAAGCCATGCTCCTCCAGCAAGGACCAACTCCCTGTATCCGTAGACGTCTCCGAGCCGACCGCTGATCAGAACAAAGGTTCCCTGTGTCAACCTGTTCAACGTGAGCATTGAAACGGTATAAAATTTCAGAGCCACTTTGGAAGAACTTAAATGTCGCTTACCCATAGCTTGCCCCAACCCAGGAAGCGTTGGCCGGCTTGACGCCCATTGACTTAGTTAAAGTTCTACCTCCAGCGATACCGGCAAAATTGACTGTCATCTAAAAGATTAATCAGAGTTTGTATTTTCGAGGAGCTTCATATCTGTTGACCAGTGCACCTACTTGTACAAGGTTCGCTAGAATGAGCAAGGTAGTGACCAGCACTCGGCGAGACTGGGTGACTTTGGCTGATGGAATCCGCTCAAAAACAGTTTGACCGGCTCTCGGGGCAGGAGATGGTCCAGCAAAGTCACTTGGAAATTCACTTGGAAATTCCACAGCCACTTCTTGGGCTGGAGGGGTGGGAACGGAACTCTCGCGCGAAGCCATCACCGCTGGACAGGGCGAAGGTACAGCTGCAGACTTTGCCTCAGGATGAAGTTTTTGCGTCATTGGCATGACGCTGACAGGTTTCTGGAAATGATATAGACTGGATGGAATGTGGAAGAATTTGAGACCAGTTACTGCCCTTGGGGAAGAAGAGATATGGCTCATGTACTTTCTGTTGACTCAAGGATGTACGAGTGACCGCGGACAAGATTCCGTCGTATATAGTTCTCTTAGAAATCAAATTGTGTTCAGGCTAATTGAGCAAGACACTGCAGGAGATATTATCCTGAATCCTGCTGAATGGAGAAGTGACACCCGCAAACACGCTGGCGTTGACGTTGTTCTCTTATGAGTACTTCGTACTCGCCACCAGGTCAGCTGCACTCGACCATTCCACGTATCTAAAGTGGGCCTTTCTGCAGGACTTGTATGGTACAACCATGACATCCTTGCCGATAAGCGGCTCTCGGCTAGATCATAACGGTCACAGCTTCAACCGCTTGGAAATCGTCCTGAGAGGACCCAATGCTCTAGACGTTGACCCCCAATACATCTACAAAAGAGGTTGGTGCAGTAAAGAGCCGAAACTCCATTCGCCGACAACAAAATTTCTGCTTTTATAGCTGAAAAATGGAAGAGAAGACCCAGGTGCTGTGGCTTACAAATGATAAGTACTTTCTCCCTGCATGGACACGTGTACTGAGAATTGAGTTCGTGATCTCGATCGTTGTACACTGACTTATTTGATTTTCTCTCTTGAAATCATTTCCGGGCGTCCTTCCGGCGAGCTGTCGACTCACTAGTTCCAGACCCTCGAAGCGCAGTGTCGGCTGACCTCAGAGACTAGGCTCTGGCCCTTTTGAGCACCGGTAGCACTAATTTGTATCCCACCAACCCAAGCGGCATCGATATCCTGTGGTTTTTTGATATCTTCGATAGGAAAGGTGTCGAGGAGCAGAAAGTCTGCTCGCATACAAGTTTGGTCTTCATTAAGAAATGGTTCGTCACAGCAACCTTAAAACCTTCTGTATTTGCTGTTTCGTTCACGTCCTCGGCATATTCGGGATCCTCGGCCAAATTTATGCAAGACTTGAATATGGAAAATGAGATCTTTATACATGGTCTTTCTTTGTTTGTACTTGAGTTTGAGGTTTGCCATTGGTCCAGCCATCTGGGGTCCTTTGGGAGGTGGTTCGTCAAGTTTCTCAAGCCCCAATTCACGAAGTACAAACTAACAGAATATTGACTTCTTTACTAAGCCTCTGTCCACTTTCCATTGGCAGATATTGTGTGGATGCTAATTATCTACCACACATCCAAGATCCGAACTTTATGGTCGGCGTATTCTCTGGCTAGTTGCTCAAATCGCCATGGTAGTTTTCATGGGAAGTCAAGCGGGATTATCAAATGAGAATGCATTGGGAATCATCTATTCCGGCATTTTTGGCCTTGACTGGCATGCCATTCCGGTTGATCATGCACCACTACGGTGCAGCGCTGAGAATGAAACGCAAATATGCGTTTGAGCTGAATTGATGAAAAAAATGTAGATACAACGGGTTACTGCTTCAAGCATAAAGAAAAGGGGCGAGTCATTCGACTAAGGAAAAAGGCGCCCAGTTATCAAGTGGGAACAGTGGTAAAATATCGTCTTTCCAGGAACCAATGTATGAGCCTGGGGAGAACGGCAGTGAAACGCGAGACATGATGAGAAGCTTTATGCAAATATATAACAGCAAAAAAAAAAAATGAAGTGAAAACAAACCACTCACAGCGTCTCCTGAGGTGAATGAAATCGGAGTCGATATTGAACAGGTCAATGTTGAGGGAAAGTCCAAATCTGGTGCATAGGATCAAGCTCCTGGCTGACCCTGACTTCATCTACTCTGACGAATTGAGCTGGATGGCCATCTTCGCCTTTCAGACATGGCTCCAGTTTGTCCCCGTGGTTGTTTTTGGGAGCGTATGTTTGAAGCTCCTTGAGTCGGTACAAAAGTGACTGGTGGAGCTTTGCGTCGCGTGGGATATCACGGTAGGACCCTTTGTTTAGCGGGAACCGGACTTTTGTCCATTTGTCATGGACAATCTCCCACCGGGTGATAAATGGAAATATTTCTGGAACGCAATCAGGGTGAGAAAATGTAAGAAGCTTTGGATGGGAAGTGGGAAAGGGGGTTCTTACCTAGGAATTTCCAGAGCAGTACCTTGAAAAAGCTCGAGCAATTCCCGAAGACCAAGGAATCGTGGATGACTCCCTGCAGAGCTTGTTTTTGGCTTTGTTCACGAGCGAAGGCCCTTTTATACCCATCTTTGCTCTTTGACCATTTGACACCCGCCCGTTCATCAAGAGTTGCGACATATTCTAGCTCTTGTATCATCCACGACAACGTCACGTCGCTCATCTGGAAGGCATCCGTACGAACATCCTTGCTAGCACCACTGGGCTTCACCGAAGTCCAGAACCTCTTTAAAAATTTCCACACCCCGTTGCCCTCGGGCTTATCCTGCTTGCTGACATTGTGAGACGCTGGCCAACCGCCGCCAACGTCACCGTGGCATCCCGGGAACCAAACTTCTTCGACATTCTCAGTGGTGTCCGGAGTATCTTGAGAGAGTAAAGCCGGTTTGAATTTGACTCGCCGCTCATCAGCGGCCACTGCATGTCGAACGAAGTGCGCGGTTCCTGCAATGCTGACCGGCATGGGCGGAACCCGCTCCAAAACCGCAACCGAATTCACGCAGTCCCAGATACCGAGGAAGTAAACCTTGACATTGGCCTCGATATATTTATCGCCATTCTTGATGGGCTCCTTTCGACAAAAAGTATTGCTAAATGCAATGATTTCGTTGCGGGCCGACTCGTACGTGTCGCTATGAGATTCGTCCAGCTTGTCCTCAGCTAGTAGTGGCTGTGTGTCTCCGTTCGGCTGTGGAGTATCCTGGCTGGAATCCGCGTTTTCGAAGTCCTCGACCTCTCCTGCTAGGTAACGCTGATAAAGACGGTATGCAAACGGAACCATTTCTTCATTTCCTCTGCAGAGCAGCCCGACCGTATGGACCATGCGTGCCAAGAACTTTGCAGTGAAAGCTCCACGACTGAAGCCGAACATATAGATCTTGTCCCCCTGGAAGTGAAAATCCCAATTAGTGAGTATTTTATCGCGTTGTCTGATATGAAAAACTAACGGCCTCGTAGTAGCGCATCAAAAATCTATAGCCAGCCATCACATGGGCATCGAACGTCGTGCCAACTCCTTGATCGATAGTCTGGGAAACGCTGCTGCGGATCTGTCCAAACCACGATTTGTTGACAGACGTTTCATTGATATCATATGTACCGAGGCCCGCTATGATCTATTAGATTGAGCACCAGAAATATACCCAAGTATCTTACTTTGATAATAATGGTATTGCTTCGGATGATGCCGGTCTAGCTTGTTCAAGATTTTGACCACGTTGGTGTCAGCACTTGACCCGCTGAACTGGTTACCTGTGCCATCGAAGCAAAGGATGAGCTTGTTCGGCTCTTTGATAAACTCGGCACCGCCCACGGCCATTTCAAGTGGCTCAAAAGCAAAAGGTTTGATCAGAGATAAGATGGAATGGTCTCAGGCTTGAAAGTGAAAATTATTATTGTTGAGACCGAAGAAGTTGAACGGGGAGATTATCTGCTTTTCTACTTGATCCCCAGTATCTATGTTCTTGTCATTGAAGAAGCGGTCAATGAGGGGGCCGACCTGTCGGTCGAAGTGTCACAACTTTACGTTCTGATTAACATTCAGCTGGCATTTCAAGCCACCACTCGACAAATATAAGCGCCGTTTGCGAACTGGTCGAGTAGGGACGGCCACTCCGTGCGAGCCATGCTCTAGATCTTGTGATAATCGTTACCCATTGCCAAAATTTGTGATTAAATCTTGTTCTTATCCTCCCTCAGCTGAGTGGTGTCGGCAGTTTTCACCTGGGGCAGAAAACGCCATGACCCGACCCCCGTCGGGCTATAATGTGGCGTTATTCTTGCAGCGAACCCCGATCGGCAACTTTTGCAAGTATTACTATCGATTCAGTAGCAGCAGTCACCAAGGGCGCCATTGTTTTGTGAGAACTCTGCCAACTAAGGTATCATCTCGAACATTTGATCCCTGTGCTGTCAGCCTTTATGTTCAGCACTGACCTAGCTTTTCTTATATGCGCCTATATACACAGGATAATGTCCGCCGGGTGGGGCTTTCCTGTCTGGGCTGCCGCCGCTTTAATGAGGGCGGTCAGGCTCAGGCTCACTGAGTAAATGTCAGCATGGGCTCATGATCAGTGATCTGGTCAGTGCAGTCATGTGATCGATCAGTGACCAATCATGGATGATTAGTTAACTAACTAGTTAGTGATCATCGGTTACTAATCAGTGATTGCTCAGTGATCGCTCAGTGAACGGTCTGTAAGTTAGAAAGGTATTGTCGGATTTTACGGTCGGTCCATAAAATCCTTATGCGCACAGAAAGAATAGTGCACAGGGGGTCATGCGATCTAGTAATAGACCCACGATTGTGGAAGAGAGACTTAATCAAGAGAGAACAGAAGTGGCTGGTAGATAGGAAGGTTGAGCAGTGAAGGTCAACGCAGAATGGTCAAAAGTGCCTGAGAGTTCTACTCGAGATCAAAAGGGGTATCAAACTTAATTGATTGTTGTTAAACTTATTTTGTTATACTAGGAAAAGAGGCAGTCTTTATAACATGAGGAACAAGACAGAAGATTATGGAGGAAAATCAAGAATATCCGAAAGAATAGAAATGAGAATGTGAGGATTTTGAGTCTCCTGCCTATGTAGGCGATTCGGTGTAGGATCGTTGAAGATCAATCTGATATGTTGATGCAAGAGAAGAGCGGTAAACATGCAGTTAATTCTTCTGCAGTGAATGAAGGGTTTTCGGAGGATAAAATTGTTGCCTTACGATTCAGGCACTAATCTCATTTGCGGGGAAACACCCACACATGCCGACAAGAGTTTCATTAATAAGAGTAAATCTCAGTCTTCCGACTAGGTCACGGAAAAGTCATAGTCGCTTTCACTCTCTTATAATTTATAGCCGGCGTTACCTCCTTAACCTACTACTAGTAAGCAGGATGAAGGCTACGCTAAAATAGGATAGATAGTAAAATTAGTACTATATAAGAGGAATATACTATTTCCACTCCTATCGACTATTAAGTTTATAAGACGGTAGTACCTCCCCCACCTATCTTTACACCCGTCCACCAAAGTACCGTGTTCTAAACACTAATGAACGGTGACTGTATTATTTATAAGCCACGATCAGCAGCTAACCTGAATATTCACTAGCGCATTTTAGGACAGGGTTGGGGAATTACGTTCTGAGCGGACGCAGGGGAATCTGATTTCGAATGTGGCAGTCGTACTGGATCTACTTTACACTGGAATGATAAAGAGGAAGACTGTCATTCAGAGATTCAATCTCTAAATCATATATTGAAGGCCTCACTAAGCATAATCATTTTTGAAAATATGGAGATAACTGTGAGTGTATGCTTTCTGAACGGATGCTCTCGTCTCATGAGTGTTTTTGGGCGGGCTGTTCCCTAAACACACCCACGGTGACACTAGGGACTCTGTTTTTATCTATTATGCAACGCTATGTCTCTCTCTCGAACGCTACAAAGACTATCCTTTTTACTTTTTCGTGTCATCAAGGTACCTTGTATATTTCCTCGCCGTGATACCAATAGTTCCTAGGATTTAGGTATATACGATCTAGGTGGAGTCTTGAACATGGGAAACAAATATCAATCATGCTAGCAATAATACCTAGGTAAGTTGTCCGGACCTGACACCTTGCTATAACTACCTTACTCGGTAATCAGCTTCTTGGTCTTAGTATTCACCCACTTTTCAATACCATCGGCCATTATGAAGACATAGATATCATCCATAAGACCTGTGTACGAAGGCTTCATCAATGTCAAAGCCGTGTAAGGGCCATTGAATCCCTCCTTTTTCAGGATCTGATCTGCCTCGTCTGCATCCATACCAACAGGCCAGTCAACGTTTGCATTACCCACAATATTGCCTGGCTTAAAAACCGCTGCCCCAAAGCTACCAAATCCAGTAGAGTTTATGGTAACTGTACCCTCATCCACACGGAAAATAGCGCGCAAATGTCCAAGGGCCTTGGGAGAAGTCACTCCCTGGCGCTCTGTGGTGCTAGCTTCAGCCTTGTACAGAAGGGCGTCCGGGTAATGCTCCAGTACCTTGCGACGGGCAATATTGACACGACCGAGATAACTGAGGATAGCCGACTCTGCCTCAGCTTCATTCTTGTCCTGTGTGATCACCGGGCCGGGCTCCAGGATCTCATCAAGCACAAAGATGCGGACGTCCTTGACGACTCGATAAGTATACTGAGCGATTCCGCCGTTGACACTGATGATGATTTGAGTGTTGCCGGTTTCGAGAGAGTTGAATTTCCAGACGATTTGTCCATTGTTAATTCCAGCACTCTCGAGTTCGAGGAAGCGCTTGTCGAAGTCGATATTGATATAGCCCAATTTGGGGACCTCCGCTGCGTGCTGAACTTCGAACGGCCACTTGTACAAGATATTAATGGTGTCCTGTGGCGGCGCCGGAAATTCCTGGACGGCCTTTCCATCACTGCTGGACGGCGCGGCAGCAGCATAATTGCTTGCGGGCTCTTTAAGACCCCCAAAGTGGATTTCAACTGGAACTCCATTGGGATGATTTGCATCAACAATGATCACATCCTTAGGAAACGGGACCATGGAGACCTTGAAGCTCTGATCAAAAGCGTAAGGCTGGATCCCTAATGTTACTGGGCCAGACCAGGCTTCAAGATAGAACTTGAAACCTCCCATCCAGGGAACCTGTCTGAAGCGGAAGCCGCCTGTATATTCCTCCACAGAGCCTTCAGCTGACAACGTCAGTTGTTGGGTCTTGGGGTCGTAGAACGCAGCGAGCTTGTTTGCTGGAATGATTCCAAGGAAGCCCATTGTGTTTGTATCTCGTGGAAGTTTCAATTGTTCAAGTAAGTTATGCGAGGGGCATAGAAAAATAGAATGGTCTGCTAGGCTTTTGTCCAATGCTTAGGAAACCTGGTTCAAGGTTCGACTGACCAAGGTCATGTATTTATAGCTATCTTCCTGTGGTAAGATGCGGGGCGAATAATTCTGCAAGTTTCGGTCTAAAAGCTCGAGGACTGTTTGGTCCACGCCACAAAGCGAGAGTGCATATGGCATTGGGAGTTGAAAGTTCCAGATAGGGGCCACGGCCCTAAATTTTAAAGCGTAAGCACTAATCAGACAACCAATTATATTACTTTTTAGGTCTAAAACCTCACTTGTCTACTGCTCGCTCTTTTTCCTTTCAGGGTCTTCGTATTTTTTAGATGATGCGTCTTACGAAGGCCGCCTATGAAAACAAGAGCCTAGGCCCAGACTTCCACTAACACACTCAAGCCGGTCAGCCTTATGAATTTCATACCCGGATTAACGAGAGACATAGATAATGGCTGGATGGCTTCCTTGAGCCCTGGAGATAAAATGCATCTACTCATTGCTTCTTTATGATTGAATAAATACCAAGGGCATGCCCGAGAATTATCTTGTCTTTCTCTCCGTATAGAAGACAAATATCTCATGCAAAGAAAGAGACCCTCTTTTCAGAGCTCTCTTCGTTCCCTGCCTTGAAACTTTGAAACTCCTGGTCCAGGAATGCATGTACTTGACATGAGCTGAGAGATGGGCAGGTAGTAAAAAGCAAAGATGCAAGCCATAAGTCTGATCATAGGCTTGAAACTTTCTCAGCTGAACCATGGAGATCAGGCGTTTGTTCACAAGTCAACCTATTTAATGTATTCGCTAAGATGTAGTAAACTTCACCTACCTCATGCACCCTATACGGGCGGGAGCACTACGGAGTCATTGAAGAGAAATAAAAGCCGATATAGAAGCAACAAAAGCAAAATAGCGATTTAATTATTTAGCACTTTAGCTCGAGCGAAGAAGAGGCGCCGGGCCTAATAAAGTCTAACATCCCACTCAATCCCACGTCTCCATGATAATAGGTCGAAATTCAGCAGAGCGTGGCATTCCCCGCCTCGGCTCCATATGCCCCACGAGGGCATGCTGGGATGCCAGCTGAGAGGGGTGCTCGTAAGCCACGTTTTCATTGCTCCTTCAACACATGCTCAAAGTACTCGACTGCCTTGCCCAGATGCCAATCTGCCTATCGGCTTCATATACCACGGCGAGTGCGTACTGGGGGATACGAGCTGATCAAGCTGCATTTCAGCAAAATGGATGTCTTCCAGTCGGCAACTCTATTTCAGGTATTTGACAGATTTCTATCTATTTTCAATCGCCTGGATTCAAGATGGGGAATAATTAATACTGAATTGCTTCCGTATATTAATTTCAAGGTTTACGTGTAAGTGCTGTGTGATATCTTTTCTAAACTCTCTATCTAGTACAAACCGACGATTAGCTGAATCCAAAAATACAAAACTTAGAATAGCATGTGCGTAGAGATTCTTCGCACGGTCATGTAGTCCAAATGGATGGATGTATGTGCCAGGAAGACGGGTTTTATCAAGTCCAACTGCCTTCGGCTTTTAGAATTATGTACTCCGTAGAGCAGGTCAATATCCACATATCCGAGAAGGTAACTTAATAAAAATATATTCAATTTCGATGAAAGTCAGAATCTCAGTAGATCGTTCGAACGGGAAACCTAAAACAGGAAATCAAAGGGGAAATGCCATGGAGTTGAAGTATCGCGAGGTCGTACGACCCAAGGGGGACCTAGAATTTAATCATGACAGACACCTCTGCTTCTGCTGTCAGCAGCACAAAGAGATAAAAGAGCGAAACTAATCATTTAAAAGAAAAAACGAGAGAGCGAAGCTGTTTAGAGCCGGGAGGGACGGTACGGTGGCTGCGAGTGCCCAAGGAGCCCACGCCTCAGCAATTTCTTGCCATCCACCCAAATTTGCGTAGTATTATTGTTCACGATGTCTACCTTCTCCCTGTCTCGTGTTGTTCCAGAAGAGTCAATCAGCTGGCGATAAATATTGCGCTTAGTCGCCGCTCCATTAGGATCGATGGGGATTGAGACTTGGGGGGCCTCCCCTGTCAGAATACTCGCGAACCCACTACCGGCGCTGATGGATGATGGTCCATTGTTGTTGACAAACTCGACGAGATATTGCACCTGTTTTCCCTGGAGGTCTGGGTCCGGGGCTTGTTGAAGCCACGTCTGGACGTAGTGATACATTAGTACGATTCAAATACGAAGATAGATAAAGAGGGAGACTAGTAGCGCGGGAAGGAAAACCTACAGAGATAGTAGGAGCGGCCGGCTGTTTTGGAGGCATCATCGCTTTAACTTTCCCTAGGCTCGCATTCCACTCGTCAATGGTCTTGAAGTGATCTGCATATTTGACATTCAGAGCCTTGTCAAGGTCCGCTAGGTAATTGTTGCGAGCTGCATTGACCTGGTCTTCAAACGTATCTATGGGTTTAATTTGCAGTGAGTATTTCTGCAGTTATCTATAATGAGGTTATCAAGTCGGGACTTACCACAATGGTCGTTTTGGTGGCAACATCCGCTCGTCCAGCGGTTGTTTGGCCTGTAAAGTTAGTCAAAAGGTAGTTCTATGCATTGTACCCAAGCCGGAAGTATATGTGGCTCACGTTTTCGCAGGTGTTGTGCCAAGAAAAGTATCTTCACAGGCATAGCCATCGTCACCCGATGTGTCGCAGCTAGTTCCGCCAGCGGGCCCACCATGACTGTGGCATTGAGTGCTCCTGTTGTCGTAATAATGGACGGGTGTCACACAATCTTTGCGAGCTTTGACTAGATCATCGACTTTTGCCTTCAGTGTGTCGACCCAGGTTTGGAGGGTTACCTCAAATTCGGTTGTGAGTATGTAGAACTCGCCAGCATTGCGGTCATATTCATCCATTTGTTTCTTGCTTTGCGCGAACGAAGCCAACAAGGAATAGAGTTGACAACGAAGGCGATAAGAGAAGAAAAGGGAGCTTGCTGCCATGAAAGCGAGGCTGATGACCTCGTCTCTCTGAATAGTGCATAGCTCCGGGCTAGTGAGGGCGATAAGATCATTCAGTATGTTTCCCGTGAAACTGGGATTATTCACGTCACCGAGCGTATCGAGTGTTTGGTTCTATGGCCAAAATGGTAACAAGTCAGCTTCTGCGCTGTGACTTGGCTTGAGCTAGTCATATCCATCAACTTACAATCCAAATTTCGTTGTCTGAGATCAGGCTGTCAAGCCCAGTTGTGGCAATGGACACCCACTCAATGAAGGCGTTGATGGAATTCGTGGCCTGGCGAACGGCGTCATCCAGTAAGAGATTCTTCATAGCTTGCACAGTTTCCTCGAGAAGGTTCTTAATGACTAAGGCGAGATTAGGGCCGCTTCCGAAAGAACCAAAGATCTCATCGAGGATCTGAAACCCTGCAGCACCAAAGACATTCCAGGGCGGAGGCAGAGCAAACGCGAGCGTCTGTGCAACAGGGCCTATATACGTCTTGAAGAAGTCGGCTTCGGTCAGGTTAGACTCGCTGAACCGCACCATCTTGGTGATTGGCGTTTTGAAGATCTATCAATTTATATCAGGACTCCGAGCTATTACCTAAGTATACCAGACAGTTCTTACCTGCGCGGCTTGGTGATATACAAGTGCAGGGTGGCCAGTAGACACATCGAACCGTACTTGATGGGCAATAAAAACCGTTTCCGCCTCGTTCGTTGTACGCACATACGCAATAGCTCCTGGTACAGCATAGCGATATGGCGCAGTAAGCATTGCGAGGTGATTTTCAGTGATGGTTTCCCCAGGGAGTAGAGGATACGTCGTTGAGCACATCGACAAGAATCGATCAACGACTTTTTGTATTTTGCTTCTGACAGTAGCATCAGTGAGTTTTGACAAGACCTTACTAGCGTCATCCATTATAAGCTCGTCATTGATGACATCTTTCGGTGAATTGTGAAGGAACAGATCGCGCGTAGGTTCATCTTTCTGCGAGATGTGCATCGTAACATTCCAAGCCTTGGTAATGAGTCGTGCGTAGTCCCGCAATTCCAAATCAGGATCGAAAACCTTCTGAAACACGAAAATGGGCTCGAAGTGTTTGGCTGGGCGATCGGTGGCCTCAAGAGTAGCTCCGGCTACATTAGAACGCAGAAGAATTGTATTTCCGCTTTTAGCCTGCAAGTGCTCGATAACCAGCGCGAGTGCAAGCGACACACACCCTAGAGCAGCGACTCGAGGGATTGGCTTGCCCTCATGCTCGTATGAGGTCACGGAAAGATACATCGCTCGGGATCCCTAAAATTACCTAAATGTAAGCTGAAAAACTCTTCCTAACGAACCAACAAGGAGCGTACGAACCATGTTTAGGTACGTCTTCGATAGACCCTGCACGATAGCCAGCTTCTCGGCTGCGTCCCATCGAATGACAGGATTTAACTTGGAGCTGTTGCCGGCGACATACATCATCATTTGGGCATTGTTGATCTGCGCCATCAACGAATACTTGGTCTTCGGCACGTAGTAATCAGCTTGTCTAAAGTCGTCAAATTCTATCAGCAAGAAGCAAATAATGTGTAAAATGAGAGACACCCACGATTTCCAGAACGAATTTTCGTCCTGGTTCACCCAGTCAATTACTGCCTGCCGAGTTTTCGCGGCCGGGTCGTCTGCTTCGTAGAGACGCTCCATGGTTCGCAGAAAGAAAGAGCCTGTCACAGCAGCTTGTATGAAGCTGACGATTTGGAACGTGTCCGACGTGAACGCGTAGATCCCCAATCCTGCGGCAGCAATATACTTGACCCTTTGCCAATTACGAGCTGACATACCCAGCCGGCCCTCGGGCTGCGCCTGGATCTCTGCGCGCAAACGATTCACGGCATCAGTGAGTTCCTGTATACTCCCGCGGATGACCTCGTTTGAGTTGTCTTGTTGTTGCCGATCAACGACCACTTCGACCTCGGCGGCCTCAGAAGCACTGACATCTCTTTCGAGGCGCTGCCGCATTCCTCTACATCAAGTGTCAGAATCAACACATTCAAAACGGAAAGGTGAGAATTACGAAACCTCCTCCTTGATCTCTTCAGGATCAACCAACCTCGACTCGACAACGTCAATGACGTAATGAAGGTTCTCAGCCTCATCATCGTCATTTTCGTACTCCTCCGGATCATCCTGCCAGGGGATTTCGTCCTCACCATCCATTTCTGAAACTGGGATACTTGTGTTCTCGAACAAAGCTGTAATTGGGGAAAGTTATTTCAAGGACGAAATCTAGTGCAACGAGAGTATGAGTCTCCTTATATGTGCTTCCTCTGGCACATCAGTCTCGAGTTTTTAACAGAGCTTATCGCTTGTGGTATCGAGAGAAGGCGCGCTCGCATCTGTATTCTCATAGGCTGGCAAGGGTTGCTACATGCTTCCCATGCGGGGTTTCAGCTTGCCTGGCACCCTAAATTCTCACTTTCGTGTTTGGAGGAAGTGTGTGGGATCAATCACAGGAGAAAATCTCAATACGAGTCTAGGCCCCTAAATCCACATCTAAATCCTGTTTTACGGAGGCTGATGTAAATAGTAACGCCCGGGCGGTTTGCCTGTTCCATGTCACTAACGACACCTATAATTTCAAGTTATTACCCACACCTCAGGTCCATCTATATTACTCGCTGGATTCAAAGCGACATATCTTCCTGGGTATACAAATACCTTGACCATTAGATCTTGAAATACAGGAGAGAGTTCCTGTAACTGGTGAGAATACTATACTACTATCTTAAGGTACAAGGAGGTACCCTTTAAGTCCAATTAAGCTTTCCGGTCGGCTAAATTACCGTGTCAGAGTCAATCTCAAAAGTCATGCACAAATACGAACGCCAATCGCTGACGGCTTGATGAATGCATGAGAGCGGGTCTCAAGTGCTCTGATGGGGAGTTACTGGCTATCATCTCAGCAGAGAACGAGCTGACACAGAGACCACCACTAACCCCGGTCGGCGCAAGTTGCCAGCCTCACTATTGGTTTAAAGCAACAAGCTTGCAAACGGCACCTCGTACCACTCAACGCCGCCAATTGGACATTCCGTATATTTTCCCATATTATTCCCTTTTCAGTTGGTATGCTCAAGGATTGGGGTTTGCATAACCCCCATAAAACGGTCCTTCACAGACATATTTATTTGATTGGCATAGCTTCTCTATTGTTGCATAGTAAAGCTGTTTCGAGCTCGACGGACGTCCCTGCATTAAGGGTCTTATAGCTTTCGTCACAGTATGGGTCCAAGTTGCCGACAGCGAGAACTTCAGGTGGAACAATGCGAACCAATAGAAATACACCGTCGTTCAGCTGAGGGGGTCTGTGGGGTGGTTGTACGACTTTGGGGATGCTCACTCTGTCTACTGCACACTCCATAGGATGGTGTCTACCTGTCCGTACCGACCGACCGCCTTGAGATTTCCCACTTTAATAGTTGTATTATACCTTGAGTGGGCCCGTGGTCTGGACAGGATCACCTGGCCAGCAAAACGGGATGGTTGGGGAACTGTTGGATCACTCTTGCGCCGCCGTTGCCCCTGTCGGCCCGTTGCCCACCGGGTCACATGATTAGATCTGCTGCATTTCCTCGTCGCTAGGCAAATTCAACTGTCTCTTTCTATCCGATAATTTGCCTCAGTGACAATCATGGCAGTTCATAGACCTCGTCAGCTTCAGCTGGAGCTGATTCTGATGGTTGCGGACTATCTGCGACCTTTAGATCTCTGTAATTTGGTTCAGGGCATCCCTCACATCGCTCCCCTTCTCTCCTCTCGACATATACAGGCCCAAGACGACAATGGATTCACCATTTTGCATCTGATTGTGGAACAAGGGCTTGAAAGCCTAATTGAATGCCCTGCTAAATGGATTCCGTAGGGCTTCATTCCCGACAACGAAGGGTGGACACCTCTTCATCAAGCAGTCAGGAACGCTAATCACCGGATGGTAAAAGCACTGATTGATGCTGGCTCGGATTTGTCAGCCCGGGCTAATAATGGAAAAACCGCCCTTCATCTTGCCTGCGGTGGAGATGCAGTTGGAATTGTCCGGTTGCTCCTAGACTACGGTGCAAACCCGTCTGCGACGGATTTTGAAGAAAGGACGCCCCTGCATGATGCATATTCAAAAGGAATTCGCGGGTGGCACGGCGGGTGTCTACCTACATACTCTCAGCGAGCCAAAGACGTGGTCAAGGCTGGTCAACCTTGGGTTTTACGGGTGGTTATGTCATTTCACCAATGACTATAGCGATCTTCTATCTCAGAAGGATCCGTATGCATTGATTATCTTTGGATATGCTTGTGTCGTTCTCAAACTTGGGGAGCCTGCGTACTGGATCGGTACGTGTCCTGAGAAATTGATACGTGAGATCTATAAACATTTGAACACATCACTCAGAATCTGGCTTCACTGGCCAATGTCAGAGCTCGGTTTGGACTGGTGATATACCACTTAGTAACTTGTTGGACAATCAAGGAGTACTTGTCAACTTGATGATGACCGCCGGGCGGGAACTATAACTTTAATCGAACGAACAATTCAGTAATAGCGGCGGCTAATAGACCTTCAAACTTTTGCGGGCGAAGAAAAATCGTCTGGCGCAACCTTAGAGAGCAACAGATAAAGCAGATATCAATCAGTCTAGAGCGCTATGTAACGTAATTCCCACCGAGTGAAACAACCCAAAACACCATATTAAATGCGATAAAATACAACATCATATCTCAACAACTAGAATTGATATCATAATTTTGTAGTAAGTAACCTGGAAATACTCCTGTAGAAACGTATATGAGTGTTCTTCATGAGGAACAATTTCAGAATTTATATTCTAATCAATTCAGTCAAAATACAGTGAAATTTACTGTAATGGTATAAAATAAGCAGCATAGCTGTTAGTAGTGCAGCCAATAGTCAACCTTCCAAATCTTCAATGAAAAAAAGTCGTGATGGCTGAGATAGAGGACTGCAAAATATCGCCTTCAATATGGTGTTTTGGAGTGTTTCACTCGGAAAGCCAGTAGTAATCAAACGTAGCCCAGACCTACCTTATTTATAGCAGAATTACTACTCAACTCTAGCAGTCACTGGTTAATATTATGCTACCGGCTACTATCACGGGCCGTTATTGCATAGGTAATGGGTGCGGTATGAAACCCCATGACGGACACCAAATGTTTACCTTACTTTATTTTATTGATTGACCTCCTCTGCTTCAGACTGGTAAAGGCACATAGATACATCGCCGGAGCCCCCGCATTCAATGTTCGGATTCACAACCCAGTCAACAACCACAGGTCCCAGCAAGCCGTAAGATTGGCTTTCGGCGGAAGCGTAATCCGGGTACATCAGGGAGAGCGGATAGCCCATGAGCAAGGTTGAATTCACATCTGCCTTAAGGCAATTGTAGAGAGTCGTAGACACCTCGACCTTGATAGCATTAACTTTGTTTCGGCGTATAATTGCTGATTTCCACCTTGACATTGTCGGCCCCGAACGGGCTCAGCTGGTGGTCATTGACCCAAACGCGGAGGGTGTTGGAAATTGGGCCGACTGAGAGATATGCACCAATGTTCCCCACGTCGGGAACCGTGAAACTGGCGGAGTATGTACCAATGCCGCTAAAAGACTCAAGATCGGCTGAGATCTCTTTCCACGGCACCAGGGACTGATTGCTGAACTTGTGGACCGTGATCTGCGTTTCGATAGATGTGGTGTAATTGGGACTGCCCCTCCAATTTTGGATCTTCAGATCCCAGAGGCTGATTGACGACGATTCCGGTACGGTTGCCTTGAGAACGTGTTCATCCCTGCCGCTGACCGTCACCGTCGACGAACCCTTGAGGCTTGCATATAGCTTCCCGTCGACAGTGTAGCCGACTGATTCAACTTGGCCTGTGGTTTTTGTGACATAGGCGGGTCTCAGTCCTCTCAAGGGTTTGAAGCCAATGATCGTTGTCTCATGGGGCTGAAGACTGAGAGGAATCTCCACCTGATTGCCCGAGAAAGAATAATGTGCTATGGGCTGTTCATCCCCTGTCCATGCGTCCAGAGAAAAGGGTAGGACCTCTCTGTCAACCTCGAACTCGGCAATGGAAGATGCGGTAGCATTACCGTCGTTCAAAAGCCAGATGTAATCGATTTTGGATTTGGCCTCGGTGCGGTAGACGCCGAGGATGGAGCTGTCCATTGGTGTGAATTGCACGCGTGGTGTAAGATAGGCTCTTGCTAGAGCGGCCGGAAGGTCATCATTCGTGCTCACACGGTGAATATTCTTCCCGCGTGAGATGAATTCATTCACCATGTCGGCACTATTGTACGTTTCATTAGGCTTTGATGATATCGGTTGTTCCTGGACTTCACCGACAAAGAAGATGGGTAGCCCCACGCGGTTAAACTCCCGCACTTTGGAGAGCACATCGTTGTCAATTTGGGTGTTGTTGAGGAATATCAAAGTCTTGTAGCCGGGTCCGTTAGGAGCGAGAAGTCCGTCAGAAACGACCGCTTCGGGGAGTTGCAGATTCTCAGGACCAAGGAAATTGTATGTAAAACCTAACCGGATAATCAGTTCAATGCAGGTGAAGATATAAAGGCCGAGAGTGCAAACCTTGTGCTTGTAAATTTTCAGAGTCGGAGATTTGTCCAGGGCTCCAGCTGCTTGATGACTGGTACATTGCAAGGTCGATGCGAGGCGTACCTGCCTTGAGAATGTGCTGGTTTCTTCCCAGATACCTGAGGATGTGATCCATATGCTGCCATGCTGGCTGAATCGGACTCCATGATTCCGTTGTTCTATAGCTGAATGGCTGATATCCCGGCCAGGAGGTCTTCACGTATGGTCCACTATACGCCATGCCGTGGATGACCATCATCGTGAGCCCTCCGGCATATGATCTTGTGATCAGGTGCAGCAGATCGGGAATAGACTCGCTGAATGCAGGGCGGAAAACAGCTCCAACTTCTGATGAGATATCGCCCTTTCCTGAAAGTTGAGCTGGCCCGAGAGGGATCTATAGGCGTCCAGGATGTCTTTGAAGGCGAGAGATTCTCCCTCTGGACCATCCACTGAAGGGATTTCGTTTAGCTGGAGGTCAATGCAATTAGCGCATGGAGGAGGGAAGAATGGTGAGGAGAGGGAGAACATACAAAACTCGAAGGTAAGTTATATGACATTTGGGTGGAAAACTCGATTCCATGCAACCTGGCCCAATGAATATGGCAGTCCAGGTATTCTTGGTAGCATTCACTCAAGGTCCAGCGATAATTAGCGTTGTGAATGCTGACACATACATGTCTCGTATATACTGCTATTCCTGTCACATCAGACTATTTGTGGCTGGTGGTAATATATTGTGGCAGAGTCAAGGCTGTAATTACGTTATATCTGGTGAGTAACGGAGTAAGCCGTGCTCCACCTACAAGCACAACACATGAGGGCAAAGCTGTCCGTCCGGAAAAGCTTCGCTAAGACACATACTTTACGTTCATTTGTCTCCTGTTGTGTCGGCAGTATAAATCGCCAAAAACACAGTGATTTGTGAAGGATTCATGTTAATATGTGGTGGCTGACACCCAATTTCCAGCCCCCAAGTCGTCAAACTCAGAGACAGATTACACATTCCGGACCGTTAAAGTCTGCACTATACTGTATTACGCATAACTTGTGTTAAGATTGAAAATTAAGATTGAAAATATCTGGCTTCTCGCCAATTTCCTTAGGTGAGAATAACAGGCTGCTGACCACCGTGACATGCCGCCACCGTTTAGAACTACGATTCTGAATATGTCCTTAATTGCGCGGGAAAAATATGAACTAACTCTGATGAGAATGGGATAGTATTATTTTATCCACTTCAAAAAAAGGGCTTTTTGCTTTGCATTGTCGATTTTCGCATGTTGCAAGTGCAGTCGTGTACACACTGCGCATTGGCTTCCTGTGTTTGTCCGATGTTGAAAACGAAGGAAAACTGACTTATTCCAAAGGGACCAGCGAACCCCTTTACTCGCAGCCTTTCTTTTATGACAATATTTCCGACCCGATATTCCTCAATCCGTATTTGGGAAACGGCCACTGGGACTCCGTAAATGCTGACCACCATTGTTTGTCTCTCTGTTGACGAATTTTGGATAAGACGCCGTAACACACGTTTCGAGTGTATCGAGATCTTTGATCTGGAGGCCAAGGAGGTCCAGTGCCAACAGTAGGTCCTCAAGTTGCTCTTCTTATTTAGTCTTATGATTGTCGTTCCTATATCATTTTCTCGTGCCAAAAGTGCGATTTCCGTCGCATTTGGTAAACAGTGTCGAAAACCTGACCTGAGGTTGAGGCCTAATCAGTATGAGAACATGTAGAGTATGTTGAATATCACTTACAGTGTTTCGTTCTCAATTTTTTTCATGGATCATGTGCACCCATATGGGTAAGCACTCCATTAGCTGCCGCTGCTTGCGACTCCACGAAATATTGGGGCTATTCTCATCCATCCCGTATATGTGACAATAATTGTCTGAACATTGTCTGAAGCAGGTAAATTCCGCCTCAAGTCAAGACATGTGTGTCTAAGATTTCTGAGGCAAAGAAATTCATGCACTTCATGACCGCGCTTGAAAGAGGAGAGTTTTGGGCATTCCAGTCTGGGTATGGAACTCAGTATGATGTTTTCCACAGCAGGTAATCGATCGTATAATTCTATCGGGAGCTCACTGTTGAGTCGAAAAATTCAACCAGTAGTTTAACGCTGTAAAGTGCATATTTAGCGTCTTGAACAGTAAATTCGTTTGTGTTGAACGGCTGAAAATTTTCCATCTGAAATTCGGTCAGTGACAGAAAGATGAATAGATTCGTTGTGCACTCACTCTCACTCGATTGAGTAGGCTCCCTCGTGTAATACGTTAGGTCAAGTTCTGAGGGGCATCGATGTAGGCCGCCATTGTTTAGATTTATATCTCCATTAAGAATAGACCGCACTGGCATCATGCTCTTAGAGGTAAGTTCCCGGGAACCTGGAGGCATGTTTATCTGAAAGGATAATTTTATTGGCCCAAGCACACCGTGCATAGATGATGCCCTGAGATATTCCTGGGAGCACCACAACGCTCCCAGGAAATATTGATTGGGCATACGGTTAGTAGATCTAACATTCCCATTTGTATCCACTCAGTATGGCGAAAGGCATGACAGCGGAACCCTAGAAGATCTCTGCCTATGGTGACCGTAAGAGGGCATGAAGTTTCCACGGAGACACCGGCGACGTGGCCAGGAGAAATGCGCAAAACTCGTAGCCTATCTAGGAAATACACACCATCACCTTTGCTTCTGTCATTTTCCCAAATCTGGCCAATGAACTTGGGAAAAGTTAAAACGGAGATTGCTCCTAGGAGCGTCTAATCCAAGATAAGGCGAATTGTCAAATTAAACAATGTCCACTACGTACATCCTACCCGTAAAGGGAAGAATCACCAAGTAGGTGGCAAAATCAGGAGGCCCACGCTTCCTTGTTAGGATGGAGAATGACAACTGAAAAGGGAAAAATCATGCAGGGATCGAGCTAGCGTGTCGCGTTTTATTGAGCTTGCTTACTCAGGTCACTCCTCTCTGGGTAGGCTTAGTAAGCAAGTCGGGATGTCCAGATCAGGCTCAGTGAGCGAATCATGTTGATTACATAATGATCACTGATCAACTCAGGCCGATCAGGCCCGTACTCACTTCTACTCAGTGAGCAAAAGCGGCGAGAGGGTGAGCACTAGAACGGAAGGAGAACGCCAAGAATTGGCGGACATTATCCGGTGTATATGCATTTATCCCTGTCCTGGACACAGGAGGACCTTAAATGTCGCAGGCATCGTGGGAATTTCCCAATAAGAGTAATGGCTCAGCTGCCGAGCATTTGTAGCCAATTGCATGCTTCTTCAAGATAAAGGAGACATAGCGAGGCTGATTGGAAATTTCAAGGCTGAAGGTGAAACCAAAATCCGGAGAAGAAAAATACTGCACAGTGTTGTTGGAGGGGCTGCTGGTATTTAATTAGGTGGGACAGGGAACATTATGTTGGACGTTCACTGTGCTGTAGTCCAGTTTTGGCCCCATCTACGGTGGCCCCGTAAGATGTGTTCTCTAGGAAGTAACGTAAATTGGCCCGCCCTAGGGCTGTTGTCCATAGCACGAAACTTTCAGGGGTCCAACCTTAATGTATTATTCATGCCTGAGGCTACAATGGCTCCAACGAGGTCGCTCGTCTATTGTTCATTGTAAGCGAAGGGGTCGAATATACTGAATAGATATACGATCTGCAATTCATCCAAGAATACTCCTCATCATCGGCGCGGCGAGCTCATTAAAGTACTCTTCCCAGACTGAGCTCATTTGGGCAAGTGCGGCGAAAGACACGCCCAAGTGGGTAACTTTCCCCGCCACCTTCGATGCGGGGAATACCCAGCTGCCCCTCATCCCCCAAAGCTATTCTTGGGTAATGGTGCTCCAGTCATGCGGAGAATAAGTGATTATATGGCGGCAGGACATTCCCCGAACCACTTATGATCCATGAACTCGACTGACGTCGGGGGCGATTGTTACGGATTTGGGCGCGACTGCCGGGACTAAAAGCCGCGACCGAACCTCCGAATATGATTGCTTTCAAATAACCCACGAGCGCCCGACACTTGTTGATTCTTTCATACCGGTCATTCCATTGTCCACTATCTTCAAAATGTCGTCAGCTACTACCATGCAGGCCTTGAACTATCTCGGACCGTACAAGGTTCGAGTAGAGGAGGTTGAGAAGCCTAAGATAGAGCATCCGGATGATATTATTGTCAAAGTCACCACCGTGAGTAACCATTCCACAGGAGAACTCTTGCTTGCGCTGTGGAAGATTGACCGGAAATCAAGGCTGCAATCTGTGGCTCAGACCTGCAGTAAGTATAGGGTGTGCGGGGTGAATGCGAACACCGAGAAAATGGCACATGGAACTTATTAGATTGCAGCATGTACGAAGGAAGAACCGCTGCTGAGCCGGGCATTACCTTTGGTATGTCTGTCTTTATGTCACGCGTGAGTAAAATTTGCTGACCAAAGTCAAGGCCACGAGAACATGGGTATTGTCGAAGAGCTAGGCGAGGGTGTCACGTTGTTGAAAAAAGGTGATCGCGTTGTCATGCCCTTCAATGTTGCGGACGGCCGATGCCGGAACTGCGAGGAAGGAAAGACCGCTTTCTGTACAGGTGTCAACCCGGGGTTTGCTGGTGGTGCCTATGGTATGCTAGAGGAATGGAATGATCATTGGGGTTCTTGCTGAGAATTCGACAGGCTACGTGGCAATGGGGCCCTATCGAGGAGGTGTGCAGAGCAATGATCAAAAATTCCCATTGGATTCTTGCTAATCAAGATGGGATGCAGGCCAAGCACAATATATTCGCATTCCCTACGCAGACTTTAATGCTTTGAAACTGCCACCTGGCAAGGAGCACGAGTCTGACTTCATTCTTCTGGCCGGTATGTCTCCCTCTATATCTCTTCAGGAACAAAGTGCTGATTTCAATTCATCGCGAACAGACGTCTTCCCCACCGGTATGCTTGCGTTTTTATTTCACGGTACTGCTCGAAGGAGAGGATTGATCATCTGATGTTCATGTTACAGGCTGGCACGGTGTGGAAATCTCTGGCTTCCAATCGGGTGAAAGCATTGCAGTTTTCGGAGCTGGCCCTGTTGGGCTTATGGCTGCCTTTTCAGCAGTTCTGCGAGGCGGGTCCAACATTTATGTTGTAGATCGTGTCCCCGAGCGATTGAAGGCTGCCGAGAAGATCGGCTGCATACCGATCGATTTTACCAAGGGCGACGCTGTCGACCAAATCATTGCCCACAACGGAGACATGGTTGATCGTTCAGTGGATGCCGTCGGTTACCAGGCTGTGAATCCCAACGGATCTTCTGAGAAGCCCAATATTGTACTTGAGAACATGATCCGCGTCACTCGGGCTTGTGGTGGACTGGGCATTGCTGGTCTTTATGTACCTAGGTACGATATTCTCCCACTAGCCAGCGATGATTTGATCTGACTGACCAATTTAAACAGTGACCCCGGCGCGTCCGATGCCGCATCTGCAAATGGCATGATCAGTTTGAGCTTCGGAAAGCTCTTCGAAAAGGCAAGTGATTTTCGCCTGATAGAAAAGGAGGTTCATTTTCTCACATGCCTCAGGGTCTCTCTATCGGTACTGGTCAGTGCAATGTCAAGGCATACAATAGATACCTACGCGACATGATCATTGCCGGAAAGGCCAAGCCTAGTTTCGTCATCTCGCACGAAATTGGACTCGCCGATGCCGAAGATGCATATGATAAGTTTGATAAAAGGGAAAATGGCTGGACCAAGGTTATCATTCACCCCAATGGAGGGTTCTGATCAAGAAAGATCAGAGTCTTTACAGTTCTATGTTTATATAGAGAATATCGAACAACTTGTCTCTGCACAGTGTCTCAGTCTACGTGTTCATACAAGGCGGATTGCAGCACGTAAAGTTGACCTTGGCATTTGCCTCATACTTTGCTTTGTAGACGTTTTGCAACGCTAATCCCCCACCAGAATATTGCAGTTCCATGGGAGTCAACCCCTCCATAATGACGCGATAGAGAGTGGGATGCCATTGAGCTGATTTTCTTCCCCTCATTTTCTGACATCAGGGTAGATCTGTCGTGGGGTTTTCAACCTTACACGGTAGCGTTCGCCGATAGTGGATTCCCATTTCAAACGCGTCGAGCAGTCGCAGGCAAGTTATTGACTGCTAGCCAATGACACGACGTGACATCGTTGTGTCTGGTGGATCCACTCTGGCGGGGAAAATTGCCTTCTTGAGAGAGGGAAAAAGTGGGTATCCTGCTTGGTGCGGAGAAGTGTACATTACACTGAAGACAACAATGGTAGAAAGATATAAGGAACTTGTTAAACCTTTGTCTAGACGTACAAAACAGAAAGAAATAGATTATAACCGACGCAAATATGAAAGTCAATCGCCTTCGTTCTGTCTGGGGTATTGCGCCAGGTCCTAACCTCGACAATTGGGCGCAATTGTTCCCAGATCTGAAGAAGCAAGGCTATGGTGTGTTTCGTGGAATTTCGCCCTGAAATGTCTTTGAATTAACAAAAAAATTGCTAACTTGACCTTTTCTCAGTCGGCGTCGAGGTAGACATCCATGGAATCGTTCCCGAGCGCGACTTTCCACGTCTAAGGGAAATATGCGATGAAACAGACCTCGAGATCGGCACGATGTGAGCACCCGGAATGAAGTATTGCTCAAAATATACGAATTGGAACATTCATTGATATGGCTTAGGGTTCACTCATCGTGGTTTATGTATGCTGGGCCCCGTCCCGTTGGCCTGAAGGCAGAAGACCACCTCAGGAACTATAGGGAGCTGCTTCAATTGGTCAAGCAGCTGCGACCGATAATAATCAACTTTCAATCTGGAGAGTGAGTGCAGACAATGCATGAAAAGTTTGAAGGAGCTTTCTTTGCTCATATTCAAAACTATCAGGGATGCTTGGGATATCGAGGAATCCATCAAATTCTATCAAGGGACGCTCCACGTGGACAAAGAGCTTGGGCTTACTGGCCGTGTTACCCACGAGACTCACCGCAACCGCTCGCTATTCACGCCTTATGCGACTCGGAGAATCCTAAAAGCCGTCCCCCAGTATGTGAACTTTACCACTTGCCTGTCGAAGCTAACCTAATTTCCAACCACACAGACTCCGAATCACCGCCGACTTTTCACACTGGATGGTTGTCCTAGAGAGACTTTTGGATATCGGTGAAGGCGACCGTGCTATGATCGATGAAATCATCCCACATGTGAGTTCAACATGCTGGCTGAGGAACTCGGAAATCGAAATTAATAAGTTATGGTCTCAGGTGTATCACATTCATGCCCGGATCGGAACAACACAAGCATCTCAGTGCCCAGAGCCGCTCAATCCCGTCTTCGAACAAGAGAGACTATGCATGGAAAGAATTTGGACGAAAATCATCCAGAGCCGGTTTCAGAAAGACGGTCCCGATAGCGTGATTACTTTTGTTCCCGAATATGGGTATGTCTTGTCCTCTTTCACTGCTATTCGCACAGAGACAGAAGCTGACCTTAGCATAGGCCATTCCCATATCACCCAATCGGAAGCTCTAAGACGCACGGGCAAGTAGCGGACGAGGAGGGAGTGCGCTTGCAAGGATATTTCGAAGGTATTGTAGAAGGTCTGGTAAAGACTTAAGCGATCGGGGCGAGAGTGAAACCCGTGATGACCTTGGCGCTGGGTCTGGCTGGGATATCACCACAGAAAACCTCGCGTGGAGCAACTCCACATGCCTCTCACAGCAATCCATTTATCATCTCCAAAAATAATGACTAAAAATAAAAGCCATATGTCCACTTAATGGGCGTGTCAATGAAGAGTAACGCAAATCATGAGTGGGCTTCGAGGTCATGATCCCTAATCAATTCTCATTGAGGCGAAGTGACAATCTGCACAAATTGATTGAATTAAGGGTTTCGAATGACTTTGTTGGCATTTCTCTATGAAGAGACTAGCTGCCCTTCTACCTATGCCGGGCACCAGTATTTAAGTTAGTGCCCAGGAACTACGAGGGTACATGCTCGGCCGAGTCGGATCCGGCCAAGTCTCGAAAAATTACCCCATAGTCGTCTCAAAATTCAGAGGTGATTGTCTCAGGGATGTTGAGCAGCTAGCAGCGAATGAAATTTATGAATCTCGCCATTTTCCGTTCCTGTGCTTCACCGGTAGCCTCAATTGTGGGGCCAGTATGTCTCAGAATTGCTAGGCGATGCAAGCGAGTCCAGCCGACGTCGCATTTGCCCAATACTACGGCAGGTGAAATCGTTGTTACTAGGATCCGTTTTAGTTATCAAATACCGAGCGCAGGCTAATAGGTCAGGGGGAACGCCTCTGATAGGGGATCGAATCATTGCTTGGGATTGGTGCTTAATGAAGGGAATTATGATTCAGGGGCTTAATGTTGAACCTAACAAAGGAAGTTGATAGTTAGTTATTGGGGATGATATGTTATATCTTCATAGGAGGACTTCCCAGAAGCGACGAATGATCTAGATCTAGATCTGACCTGTCACTGATATATCAAACTCCTGCCACCGCCCACATCCCCGACAAAAAGGGGTTTAGCACCCAGAATGAAAGTCGTGATCGCACCCAAACAAGGCAAGTCCTGATGCACATCGGTCCGCGGCTATTGGCTCCCGGTGCAATCCCGGGGAAAGCGGGGAAACGCGGTGCGGGCGACGGGGACCTCCTTCCGATCCCGCGTCTCCCTAAGTCACCCTAACTCATGTTTTAACCCACACCCATCTCACTCCGATCTGCCCACACACACCCCAGCCCACTCATATATTTGAACTGCCCTTGCTCGCTCTAGAAGTCCCGATCCCGATCGGCCTTGCCGCTGCCTTCGGCCGGCCTCTACGACTCTACTCCTAGAGCACCAGAGACCATGGTTCTGAAGGCATGCGATCGATGTTACTCGAGCAAGGAGAAGTGCACATTTACTGGCAATGATCAGCAGTGCACAAGATGCCGGCGCCTCAAAATTGTATGCTCGACCTCGCGGCGTAACAGGCGCATAGGGCGCCGTCCTGCCGCGAAGGCCTTTCCTCATGGGGAGATGCAGGTCTGGAGCGTCGATTCAGACCAGCAGATCGGGACACGGCCACAACAGCGCAGCCAGTCCACATCCAGTGGAGGCTCATCTTCACAGTCTACACTCACTCGACGGTCCAAATCAATATCACCTTCTAATGACTCGGTGGAAGAAGTAGGGACGCCTCAAAGTCGAGATACGGTAGTCTTGGCACCGGAAAGGCTGCTGGCATCCCCTCTCACCCTCAAAACGGCCTCCGATGCTTTGCGCACGGTAATGGACCCCGAGCAGTTTTCGGTTATACATATGCCATTCATGCTGGGTCCTAGCTTCGCTCCAGAATCGCAAAAGACTGTCTATACCATCTTATGCTTATCTGGCCCGACTCTAACGGAGGGCTACTTGGCTTTTCTGGGGATGATGACGCGCTATCAAAGATCGCTTGTCTTGCGCCAACAAGAGCCGGATATGGTAAAAGCTGCAAAGGGCCTGCAGCGCTTGCGGGATGCAAAGATTACCCAAGACTATGATGCGGCCTGTACGCTCTTTCTGGGTCAAACGATGTACGTGTTCAATGTACTTACGGCGCCCGAGTCTTCCATGGCCCATTCGATTGTGCGAAGTGCTCTCATGTCGACCAAGGCCTGGATTCCGAGGTTAATTCATTTTCCGATCATGGACACGATCCTCATGACACCGCTGTTGATCGACACGGTCGAGTGTTTAGTACGGCGAGAGGTTCCTATCATACGATTGCCCAGTACGGACCGCATCATCGTTGATCGATATGCGGGTGTTTGTGCAACTCTCCTACCTCTGCTTTATGATCTCTGTGTGTGTAGCCATACCATGAGGACCGGCGTACTTGCCGTCGGAGAATCACCTTCTGGAATGTATGAGCAACTCGCCGATATTGAGCGAGTGATTCTCGACTGGAAGCCGCCCAACACGCCCGAGATTCTCCTCAAACATGGTCAATACGAGGTGTTGGCGATGATGACGCAGGCAAATGCCTATCGCCTGGCTGCATTGTTGATCATCCATCGTCTTCGATATCCTCTCGGAGTGGAAGATGAGACTGCACGGGATCTTGCAAATAGCATATTCTCCATAATGACGCATTTTGCCGAGTCGGCCGTCCAGCAAACGACAGCGTTGCCCGTGGTGTTCCCTTTGACGATGGCAATGATTGAGATTGAGGGACCGGGCGAGAAATTGTGGGAGAAATTGTCGCTGTTTGCCGTTCAAAGCAGGAGTGCAACACGACTCCAAGGATTCATCAAGCAGGTTCGAGCTTGTAGGGAGACCGGGTACGAAGGACTTTGGTTTGATGTGGTTGATACACAGCTCCATGTTGCGATGCCTCCATAGCCCGCGTTTTGTATGGTTAGCGACTCACATAAGTATGTTTTTCTTGTCAATGAGAGGACAAGGCCCCGTTACACAGTGGCATGCAGAATGACGATTCACGATCAGTTCATAGTCGCAAATGTGCGCCATTCTCGTTACCGTCGTCTCGTATTTTGGCCAGGCTCAGATGCCTAACCTTAGAGGAGAATAAATAAGTGTGCGAAGAGAGAAATATGGAAAAGGCAAGAGTTTCGTCACTAGACTGTAGCTAAGGCCACAGGTTCTCTTTCTGGCGCGGTAAAGGTCGGAAGGATGGGGCAAGCAGGGATTATATAGGATTCGGGGGGCGTACAAGTCAGCTCTATATACTCCATCGGACAACCCGTCCGTAAGAAACGCAATCTGTTTGGCCACAAAATTGGAACCGGCGGTGTTACTTGTTAAGAACAGGCATGGCGAACATGAGGTGTTTTTTTGACAGTACCCCACTACACAGAGAAATTCCCCCTGGCTCGATTAAGTTGACCAGCCAGAGCGCGTTCCGCCCAGCCCACTCAAGTGCCGGTAGACTCCATCCACTCAATCGAATCCATAGAATGGCGTTCCGGGCCCTCAATAGTCCCCGTGTTGAGGCGCCACGCGTGTGGGCGCAACCGGAAATGGTAAGAAGACACCGGGTCGGCCACTGGACACGATCCTCCGCTAGTCGAACGCCCTCCCGAGTCCCGAGTCCTGGCCTCAACGCCGCGCTTAACCCGATTGAGCAGAAACTGTCCGGATTACGTCGTTGTTCGATGGCGGCCAGCCTTTATTTTGCATTCTGAGGTCCATTGAGTAATAATCCTCCGATTGTCCAAGTATACGATCCTATCCCCATCGCTTATTTTGATCTCTGGATTTTGTGACGAGATAGCCCACCTGATCCCCTGGAAATTGCGGGGCCCCAGACTATATATGTGAATGGCCTCCCCAGAGCCCATTCTTTTGGACCCGTCTTTATTCTCTACTCCTATGATACTGTTCGGGCTGACTGCTAAATTCCCTAACCCTCGAATGGAGACTCTTTGACACCTATCCCCACCAAAGTAGCATTCGAATACTCAGCCAATATGTCTGCCACAAGACAACCATCCATGTTCCTCTCTGGCAGAGCTCAAAAAGCCTGCCAGTCTTGCCAAATCGCCAAAGTACGCTGCAATGCGGTCGCAGGATCTCCATGCCAAAATTGTACTCGGAAGGGCATCCAATGCGTAGTCAATAGGAAAAGCCGACAAAAGTAAGTTTCATGCCATTTGATTTCTGGCCATCTACTCACAAAGGGCCAGGCCGCGGCGCATGTCAACCCCGCCATCGAAGCAATCTCCATCGATAAAAAGTGATAATTCGTCCCCGTCATGCGTCTGGTCAAGCTCTCGTGTACCGGAGAATCCTCCATTCACAAGGTTCAGCGAAGAGGACTTCTGGAATACTTTCACCAATCTGGGCTCTTCGGTGCCCGGCACACCGAATGGTTTCGGTCACCCAGGACTCCTCCCCGCATTTCTCAATCCACTTCCTCCGATGATGACCAGGCAAACCGTTGACTGTCTTCGAGTAAATGGAGTATTAGCTCTCCCGAGTATCCGTCTTCAGAGTGCTCTTCTGCGAACCTTTGTCGAGAGCGTGTTGCCATCAATGCCAATTATAGAGTGGCAGCAGTTCCTGACCGTGATTCGCAATGAAAACGGTGCTCATGGATCCGTGAGCTTGCTTTTATATCTGGCTGTGATGTTCTCTGCCACCACCTTCGTGGAATTGGAACATCTCCTCGAAGCTGGGTATACCAGCAGAAAGGAGGCTCACGAAGCTTTCTTCCAAAGAACTAAGGTTAGTCGTCATTGTACTTGAAAGATTATGACATACGCTTATCAGGAAGTAGCTTTTATATAAAGCAAACTACGAATTGGACCCTCTGACTATCGTCCAGTCGCTGCTCTTAATGACCTACAGACTGGACACGGCGGATGGTCAGGACAGTCGTCACTGGATAAAAGCGGCCATCACTGTGGCCCGATCAATAGGTCTTTTCCAAGACGCTTCGATGACAATGAACTTTAGCTACAGCCCAAAGCTGTGGAAACGCATCGCATGGGCATGCTATATGACAGACTGTGTGGTCTCATTAAGGCTTAGATGCCGAGCCGCCATCGAGCGAGCAGAATTCTGCCATCCACTTCTCACAGAAGAGGATTTTGAAATCTACAGCCTTCCATTGGAGAACCAAATACTCGATCCTGAGTGCACGCTCGTTAGGGATGTCAAGGCGCAAAGAGATCTAGCTCATGTTTGCATTTCCACAGCCAAATTGTGCACATGCATCAGCAATGTCTTGGATCTCCAGGGCAAACAAAATACCCACAATGCTGTTTCACCTAACTCCCCCTCGGCAAGCCCCAGCGACGACTACACCGGCCGAATCTGCTCTTCGGAAATGGAGCTAGCAGACTGGGCAAACACCCTCCCGCCACCTTGTCAAGCCTGTCCACTCGAACCACACAGCATCGACGAAGAACCCACCGTCATCCTCCAGCGCAATATCCTCCACATGATCTTCTACACCACAATCGCCGTTTTCCATCAATCACAACCATTCCCCTCCTCCAAGTCCTGCGTTCAACTGGCCGCCAATCAAATATCTCGAATTACCTCGGAGCTGTATCAGCGAAATTTGCAACACCGATTACCCGTCGTTGGCGTCACGGCGATCCTTGTCGCATTGATTATTCACATTTCCGAAATGAAGACTCCCCGTTCCGAAGAGCGGGACGAAGCTGTACAAAATTTCCAACTTTGCCTGGACGTCATGAGTAGTCTGCGAGAGTTGTATTGGGAGGCGAATACTGCTACTACGTGGGCGTTGAGTGTGATTCAAAAGGTTGCTTTCAATGCAGGCTCGGGATATGACTGTCGTTTCCGGGAACGGTCTTCTTCAAGTGATAGCAACATGACGGAGACACTCGGTACAGCGATGCCACATTTGAGTATCGCACCAACAGATCAATAGCCTGACTTGGCCTACTCAGCGTTGACCCGCGTGAAATTTCAATGTTTATCTTGAGGTTCGATAGTTGTACAAGATTAAACAGATTTGAAAAGACTATTATAGACATTCTTTAGTCCAAAGCTTTTTTGCTTCGACACTTGGATTGGCATTGTGCATTGTGGAGAATATATGAAGCCTCGAATGACCGCCTGTCTTTCCTTGTAGACATTCATAAGCTTTATGAAACGCAGTGCTACCTATAGTGTACCCTCACATAGACAGGGTCTCTTCCAAAAATAGTTCCGGACTACCGTCATGGAGACCTGTACCAAGTAAGCATGTTTACAACGTCAATGCCTCCTTAGATGGCATGTTGTCTCTGCTCTCAATACCTCCAAGCTCCTTCATAAATCGGACGATACAGGACCCTGCCTCAGCCGAGGCAAACTGTTGTTCAATACAGATACGGGGACCACTTTTAAATGATGGAATGTATGCCCTGCCTGCCTTGACTTTCTCCCAACGATCTGGCCGGTACTCATCTGCATTCGGCCCAAAATATCCTGTCGGCGATGCATGGTGTATATGGAGTGTCGAAAGGTGTGTGCAGATCAGGGTGTCTTCGCAGATTACAATCATTTGCACTCAAAATGTGCATTGCCCTGTGAAATGGCTTTATAACATACTTTTCAGAACGGCTGCTCTTTGTGGCTTGTACATGTGTATTGCTAGGGTATATCTGGACTTGTGGAGGGGTATTTAACATAAGCTGTAGCAGAAATCTCCGCTGTGGCGGTTCCCTAGTCATTGCTGGTTCTTGATCGGCATCAAATGTATGTGTGTAGTGCAGCTTTGACAATGTCACCCTCTCAGCTTAGAACTGCAATTGGGTATACCTTCCGTAGGACTTGACCCTTCTTGCTGAAGGTTCCTGGGAGAAGTTGAATTGTGGTAGACTGTTCAGTCTAGCCGCCACTCTTTGCCTGGATCGACTAGAATTTTCGGTTTGACTAATTTCCAGTGACCCGAAAACGTCAGCTTCCTTGAATTTTGGAGCATCCGGGCATCCCAGCCACACATCTAGCTTTATACCAGCGACTTCAGCCTCGCGCGCCAGTGAAGACGGCAGCGTCCAGAGTCCTGCGGGCAGAGCCTCTTCTCTTTCCCGATCATAGATTTGGTCAAAAGAGTAGATAGTCACCGTGCGTAAATTTGGAAGGTGCGCCCTCTTATTCCTGATTAAATCAAGAAGAAAAGTATCGTACGGCTCATCGTCACTCTCCCACAAAAATTGAGTAAGGTCTTTGTCATCATAGAAGACCTCTAACACCTCCAAACTACGAGGTAAGCCTTTCCAGACCCCAGATGGCTCATCCCACCCACAGAGAAAGACATGGTAGATGCGTAGAGATTCGAGGGCTGTGAACTCGCTTAGATCAATGCGAGGTCCATTGCCTAATCCTTCATGATCAAGCCACGGCCTTGTCATCGTCAGTTCTTCCAGCGTTCTCCTTTGTGATCGCAGTGCACGCACAAAAGCAGCACATGTCCAGCTGTTGGCGGGCTCATCTCCATAATGGCCCTCCCACTCGCCTTGCTCGGCATCATAGTGAAGTACTTTCAAAGCCGCTGGCCAGCTTAATACAGTGGCTAAAGCTTCCTCATGCGCCCCACAGTCAACCAGCCTCAGACATTCCACGGGAGAGGTGCCAACATGTGAGTTGTCTTCAAATTGCATGGGCTCCCAATCCTTAAACCCGTGAATGGTAAGGGTCTGTATGTTGGTGAACCAAAAGACTTGAAATATATCACGAATAGAGCGGTCACGCCAGTGGCTGCCACATGGAATGATTGCTGAAACGATGTGTTCCAGGAGACTCGGGTTCCTCTCCAGACTCCACTTCAGCTGCTCCAGCGGGGCCTTCTTGCCGACGCGATAGTAGTAACGGACAAAGATATCACGATAAAATATTGGCGTTAGAAGACTGTTCAAGCGGCGGGAGGCGAGCAAAAGAGAGTGCAGGTATTTGACTCTCTGTGATGGATTATGTTCGATCGCATAGCGGTAGGCGTCTCCAAGCTCATAGAATGGCAATTTGATTTGCTTAGTCGCTGTTTGTAGGTAGTCAATGATCTCTAGAAGCACCTCATCTGGAAGATCCAACAGGCGTGCCATGTTTCTCGCTCTTCAGGCAATGATTCTAGATCAACTCCACCGCTTTGGTAATGATGTTCACAAAGGCTGCCTTGCCAGATCTCCCAAAATGTTTGGACTGTTTGCCAGGAACATTCTACGAGATTCTGTGGAGTTTAACAGTATCCATTCGACACTAACAGGCGATACGATACCACTAAGCAGGAGTGGTTGAGAGGCTAGCCAAATATAGTTTAGCTCGTTTTAAGAAAGGGTTCAGGAAAAGATTCGCAAGTGTATATGGGGGAATCTGTTTTCGAATATGGCAGTACGCAGATGAGGGAGATGCGCGCAAAACTTGTCAGACACCATCATGACTAGTTGTCGCCGGATATTTGCTTCCCGAACTGGTATAGATCCGAACTAGAGGGGGGAAGCTCCGATGAGTGAGTCGTGAAAATGACGTGCGAGGGTCCAAGAACTTTGCGGGGTTGTTGCCGCTAAGGAAGCATGATACGAAGGGTATTCGAGTTGGGAATTTTGTAGTCCCGGCTTCTTTCTTGAGTAGCTTTGGCGAATCTAGATGAAGAATTTTGAAAATAAGAGCAAAGGTTGAGATTATCAAATAGCAAGAGTTTCAACACCCATCACCACTCAAGGACGATTTGAAGCCCGCGTGAAAGAATTTCTGGTATTAGTCTACCCGTATATTCATTCAATCCTCACTTTGACCCTTCCTTGAGACTCTGATGTATTACAGAGAACGAAAAAAAAATGCAGCGGTATATAACGCCGTTTAACTCGATAATTCCAAACCCATTCAGACATTGCACATGAAAATCAAGCAGACACTGCAGCTAGCTTTGCCTCATCAATATGCTCAGTCACCACACTTAACTTCTCATCGACTTTGTTCGAGACTTCAGTAGGATAAAAATCAATTCTGCCCCCTTCTTTGATAACCCCGGTACGATCAAGAATGCTACGAGCCCGCACGTAGGGATCAAGCTTCCAATAGTTCGCATTTAGACTTTTGATCACCTCGTCACGGCGGACCAGTGAAGACTCGACATCGGTCTGGGAAATCCAATTGACGGTGACACGGAAAAGTTCGTCTCCAAGGCGCTTCCGCTCGCCGAGGATGAGATCCCTTGTGGCAGTATCCTTCAGTCTGTCGTTTTCTTGCAGCAAGGGCTCGATGTACTCGTAGTCCCAATCTTCCTCGCCGCCAATTTCCTTCAAGATTTGTGATTTTGGAACTAGTTTTTCCAGGTCTTTCGCACCGTTGATGAAGTGCACCTTTGATGCGACTACCGGGTCGAGAATTCCATGGATAATCTTCCAGAATCCTAGATTAGGGAGAAAGTTGTCAGTTTCACATCGTACTCAATGGGTCAAGTGATTCAGAACATACCCGAAAATATCCAGGGAGCATTGTAGAAAATCAGGGCCCCTAATGACTCGGGATAGTTCTCTTGGAAGTTATCGATAATGAATTTGACGGGAGGGAAGTCCTGTGACAATGGGTCAGCAGCGATTTGGCAGAAGTCAACATGAAGATTCCGACATACCCAATTGGAAAGGCTGAAAGATGTAAGGTCGAACACAATAGCCTGATAATTTGCTTACATTAGCCTTGGGTCACCTAAATACAGATGGCGGAGGGGAACGATCAGTAGAACTGGGCCCAAAGACGGAAATATATTACCATTGATTCAACGGGTGGCACTTGCAAATAGCGCACTGACTCGATGCAGTGAATGATATAATCAAACAAGCCCTTTTGCGTTTGTTGACTCGGGTCATGAATTCGGACTCGAACGACACAAATAGGACGGCCCCATTTGTCGCAACCATGCAGGTACCCCTTTCCAGATTTGAGTTGAAGCACATAACCCTCGCCGTCCTTTCTGTCGGCAGAGTTGCCCTCCAGCCGCGACTTTTGAAGGTTGTGCTCTTCTCCTTTGAGCAAGACTTCTTCGTCGACCTTGTATTCATTGACTCGCCAATTCAAGGACGACACAAATTTGATCCACGCTTTGGGGACATTCCATTTCTCCGCACGGAGGAAGCGCAAAAGGAGTGCGTCAGGGTGGTCTTGTTTCAGGAGAGTCAAAAAGGCAGATTGCAGCTTGTCCCCAGGAAGTTTAATCAGGAGAGATCCGACTACCTTTAACTCGCTTGGCCCAGCATCCAGGCTTTTGAGGGTTGATAGTAGATTAGCCGGAATCGCAGCAAGTTCTTCCTCCGTTGGCTGGGCTGGTGACCGACTAAGAGAGAAGAAGCGCCGATGTCCTTTGCTCGTAGCATTTGAGGAGATTGATGATCTGTGGGCTGGATCCAACGGAGGAATCGCCGGGTCCCAGGATTGTATCAGAATCCTCCAGAACTGCTGGAGTTTCTGCTCCTGTGTGGAGTCAAGGTTGCCCACGTATCCGGGCTCAATCTCCATGGTTGTGGTCATAAAGATGTTCGTGAAGGGAGTGAATAATGAATCGCGTAGAGTGCAGGGGGATGAAGGGGTCTTGTAGAGAATTTGAGATTACGACGGCAGGGTCTTAGTTTTATAGAGTTGAAGCCAGAAGGATCTGCCTATGTCAAGGACGACCATCCAGGCATGGAATCACCACCGCGCCAATAGATAGGAATCAAGGACAGTGTCCAGTCGCGTATCCATGTGACTACTTTCATCTTATAATTCAGCTACCTCGGTGGTCAGCGACGATGCTGCTGCCGTCTGCGGGGCTAATGCAGGAAGAGGGGTAAGATGCAGCCTTGTGTGCGATAGTTCACTTATAACGTGACGGACGGAGCAGAGAATGGTCACAAAAACCCGGCCAAAGTTAAACCTTAATCAAGGTGCGTCAACCATGTTGAGCCAAATCAAGCAATGATCATAATCCACGAGGTCGCGGACTGTCAATCCCTCCATTTGGGGCTACTGAGGAATTGACGCTGAGGTCAATAGGGACGATCCGGGGTGAACGAGTCAAAACGAAAAATAATCCCATATGATTGCCCATGGCATTGACGGGTTCGCTCGGACAACGCCTCCCCCTGGAGGGCCTGGGTCCCCTTCAAAATGGTTCGAAGCCAGTTCATGATCGCTTTCAAATTGCACGCGGACCCGTGATGGGGGTTCCTAGGTGACAAAATTCGATCGAAAATGAACCTGTCTTTTGGATAGCAAATTGCTTGTTGCCTTCATAGCCCAGCCAGGACAGTCGCATTTGGTCTTCAGCTGTGGGTCGGCAAACAAACACCAAGGTCGAAGGAAAAGCAGGAGGCTGGGCGGCTAAGGCTGATTTTCTAGACTCGACTCGGTAGACCGCCCACAGCACGTAGACCGTAGACTTATTCTGTGAAAGGAGCTGCATTAGCTCTCATGGTGAACAAGGAATCAACCCCGTCATGACTTGGTCGTTCTAATCGGGAGGTGTTTCAAGCCGGCATCTCCACCAGAGGTCAGGCGTGGAGACGAGAAGCTTGTTGTAGGAAGTGCCCCATGTCGCCGGACACACTCAGATATCTGGATAGTGAATAAGTGAAAGGTTCGTCGAAAATTCTCGTTTCGAATCGTTTCAACAATCATGAAGATCCCAACAATCATCCGGATCTCTCGACCTTGACGATTGAGGCTTCTCTCGACTGACACGAGTGGGGCCGCGAAACACGACAAATTCTACCGTCACGTGCGAGCAATTTCCCAGTGCCCATCCTGCACGCTTCATCACATCAGTGAACTTCCAGGTCGGGGCATGGAAAAGCGGAGCAGGTTCAAAGAGCTGCCTATCCAGCCCCAGGGCATCTTTTGGGAAGATGACTTTATCGACCCAGACCACGAGCAACGGCTCATCGCAATCTTCCATGGGCTAGAATGGGCCGATCGCCCCGGCCGTCTGTCACTCCACTACGGCTACACATTCGACTACAAGACATTCGGCATAGATCCGGAGATCCCCTACAAGGAATTTCCCGAATGGCTTCAGCCGCTAATTCCGACTACGGAATGTCGACCTCCGGATCAAGTCTGCCTGCAGTACTATCCACCCGGTGCGGGTATCCCGCCGCACGTGGACGCACACGGTCCGTATGACCAGCTCTACGCGTTATCACTCGGCGGGCCGGCAGTGATGCAATTTCGAAGGGGAGAGGAGCGAGTGGATATTGATTTGACTCCTCGAAGCATGATGCAGATGGCGGGCGACTCACGGTTGCACTGGACCCATGGCATTAAGAAGCGAAAGAATGATATCCTGGCTGATGGGACACAACGGCCGCGCACCAATCGCTGGAGTCTTACTTATCGCTGGCTTCGAGATGGAGGCGAATGTGACTGTGGGAATATAGTGCATTGCGATACCGCCCAGCGACGACTGGGCGTTGAGAAAGAGAAGAGGTCGGTGCTGGCACAGGCAGCAGAAGCCGGCCTTGCGGATAAGTCCTCTGAACAGGGCTAGATCCTTTTATTTGTGCCCTTGCTGAGATGGTCATGGCCCATTCGATGACCGTCCTCCAAAAATAACAAATAATTTTACCCTCGGTGCATTTGTATCGAGGACTCAATCAAATAATTTCTTCACAGTCTGTCTTGGACATGATGTCCTCCCATTCATCACAGACCTGTAGTCTCTTTTGAAGATCCTCGCGCATGATACCGAATGTGTCTGATCCAATAGGCAAGCGCAAGGGGAGGTCTCTATCGGAACAAGTCCCTTCGCCTCGAACAGCGTCCACCACCAGCTCACATCCCTTCCTCGCGTCCCCTGGCCAGCTCCCATGAGCTTTCTTGGTACGCTCTTGCGCGACATTATTTATCTCTTCGTAATCGGACACCTTGTTGGGTGCACGAGACTGTCGTTTGTTTGGTAGTAAAATGCCGGTGCGGAAATGACCAAACGTGAGGATCGAGGTGCGAAGTCCAAACGGAGCAACTTCCACTGCGAGGTTGGTCGCCAATCCCTCGAGAAGGGCCTTAGATCCAATGTAAGTGCCGCTGGTCTGCCTAGTGTAATAGACGCTGACCGAGCCGACAAAGAGAAGGGTACCCGTCTTGCGGGCGCGCATCATAGGAAGAAAAGACCTCGTTAAATTGATAGGCCCGAGGGCATTCGCGCGAAGGGAACGTGTGATTAGCTCCTCGCTGGTCAGCACTCAGCATGATTCGAATAACTGAAATTTGGCTTCAATCTGCAGTACTGACCTCATCTCTTCCAAAGCTCCACTTTCAACGTAGCCAGCGTTGTTGACTAGTACGTCGATGTGCCCATATACTTCCCATGCTGTTTTGGCTATCTCATCCAACTCTTCCTGAGGAGAGGTGACATCCAACTCAAGTACCGCAGCACCGGCTTCTTTCAATTCGGATAGACGCTCAGAACCACTGATGCCTTTGCTCGCGCGAGCAGTAGCGATCACTCTGTCTCCCTATATTGAAGTCAGATGAGATGTGGGGATAAGGGGTTTCCTGCTTATACCCACTTTCGATAAGATAGCCTTGACCATAGCTTCCCCTAGGCCAGAGGAACATCCTGTCACAAGCCAGGTGAGTTGTTGAGTCATGTTGAGTATGAAATTACCGAAATATCTGCACTGTGTGAACATTCAATGCAAACTGCGGGGGTTGCCACCTATATTTATTCTCAGGTCCGGCGCCCAACGCACATATCGGTATGTGTTTTTTTAAATTGATACAGTGGGTGCATCACAAGAAGCTCATTGGGCGAAGTGGGAAGGTATTGTGCATATAACCAATCATCTTGTCTTAATACGCGTTGGCAGGGATCCAGTTCTGTCTTTTATTATCCCTTGCTGATTCCAACGGGAAAGGGTTTTCCATAATGCAGTAGTAAGTTGCTTGAAATTGATGACGAATGGCTCTGAGAGGTTTAAGAAAGACTCCCGGTCTCTTTCTGATTGGCTCATTTTCTTCATTTACGCTACATTGAGGTTGAATTCTCAAAGAATGAAAAATTACTATCTTATATCAGGCACTGACATTTGAAGACCTCTATTATGGGGTGAAAACATCTGAAGGTCACTCTATGTCTGTATCTATACACACATCTCCGTAACAGGTAATGTTAGCACTATCAACATACCAAGGTCCATCGTTTCTCCATCGACGGCCCAGTGTAAGAGTAGATTTAATTGAACGACCACTTTATTTTACTCCAAGTCAAGGCGAACATGGTGGCGGCGCAGGTGAGCAACCTCCCGGCGTCTCTTGGAAGCAGAGATAGTCAGAGTCTCAGAGATACCAGCAGTGCACTCGGTGCCCTCAGCCATGCTCTGAGAAGCATCCCACTCGCCATTGACGCAGCGCTGGAAAGCCGTTCCACCATTGCAGTACCAGTAGTCTTCCTGGCTACACGCACCACTAAGGACCCCAGAGGTCGCAGCGGCTGAGCTAGAAGTAGTGGTAGTGGTGGTGGCGGCGGCGGCAGTATCAGAAGCGCTGGAGAAAGCACCGCCAGTGCCGGGGCGCTCATGCTGGTTAGGCTGAGTTTGACCGGTGGGCTCGGCTTTGGAAGTAGTAGCCAGCGTGGTTTGGGAGACGGCGGTAGTCTCTGCGGCGGAGCTTGTAGAGGCTGCAGCGTCGCTGGTAACACTGGTGGCAGCGGTAGTAGTAGTAGCACTGGTTTCAGCAGCAGTGGTTGTGGTCGCACTGGTAGCTGTGGCTGTACTTCCGGCGGTATACAAAGTGGGTCCAGGAATGATATAAGTGCTGAGGGTGTTCCAGATGTCGACATAGATACCAGGGTCAGTATCCTTGTACAGTGCGGTACCGAGGGTGCCACTAGGAGTTGCAGTGCCGCTGCCGGTGACCTGGAGGTTGATGCACTGGGGGTAGTTCTGAGCGCCATCCAGGTCCTCGGCACCGTGAAGAGCGATAATCTCATGGCGAAGAACATAATCACCGGCCTTGATATCGGTGGGAATGGTGACGGTGCGACTGTAGCTATCTTCGATGAGCTCATCGGAAGCCCAGGTTCCAGGGACTGTAGTATCGCTGATCAAACCACCGGCATCGATCTTGAAGAACTCCAGTGTGGTCATATCCACGTCGGAGCAGTTGCCGTTGCAGTTTGCCATGTAGGTAATGACTGGACCGTGATGATCGTCAGGCCAAGTGCTCCAGGTCAATTTGACAGAACCCCCTGGGGCAACTGGAGCAGAGAGGACTGCTGGTGCCGAACCACGATGACAAATGATGCTGGAGTCGTCGTATGCAGTAGGAGAAACGTAACCATCGTCGGTGGCGGTCGTGGACCAAGCAATCAACTCGGGAGGATCGGACTCGTAGTAGTACGTATCAATCAGATAGCCTCCATAAGTCGTGCCATCGACGTCAATACTCGTGACATATCCATGGCCTGCGACCAGCGCAGCCGAAGCAAGGAGAACACTTGCAGTTTTAGAGAGCGACATGGTCAAAAGTAGTCAAATCACGCACGGCGGAATTGGTTTGAATGGGGGAAACGAATGAAAAAAGTACTTCAATCAATGAAGTCCAAAGAAGCGAAGGTGGGAAGCAAATTGAAACGACTTTTTGTCCTGAGGAGCTCAAAGTCAAGGGAAGAGGCGTCTATTTAAGGCTTCTCAGGTCGACTCTTCCTATCCGAGCACTCTCGGCAAAGCAGAGCTGTTTTAAGGCCCATCGGCGCTAGGCTTAAGCCACGAGCGACAATGAGAGGACAGGGAAATTAAAGGTCCTCGATTCTGTACACTGGGGATGATAATCGAGAATGCATTTGGTCATGGAGGCATTAGCCGCCAATCTCGCCTTGCATAGTAGTGTGTTTCATAACATCTTGTGGCTCCCGCATGCCCTTCTATGGCAATAGCAGAGAACCTACTATGCAATTATTACTGTCATATATCATCTCATCATCCGTTTAGTCTGATTGAGCCTGGTAAAAGGCACAGACGTTTCCCATGTGGAACAAGGCACATAAACCTTAGGATCTATTGTCCATGCACTTCTCGAATTCGCTTGATTGTTAAAAAGCAGAGCATTCACATCCTTCCGTACATTGATTGGGATACCTCCCCACTGTCATAATCGTCATTTTGTCAGGCATACAAGGCTCGAATCGAGCTAGTTCGCGGCGTCAGAGATTAAGTGGTGGCATGGAGTTCGCCGCACGATCCGAGATCTTGAAACGCGCCAAAAGCTAAGCGAGCGCAGCGATCGGGAGGAACCACGATTGACGATGTGGGGAGTCATGATTCAATTTCGGCACATCAACCTTCGGCATATCCAAATCGACGTGTTCTCCATTGAATCGGAAATGACGGTCTCATTTAGATTGACCAGCCGTGCATCAAGCTCGATTTTCCATAGCTAGACCGGCCAACTGGATGAGCCCCGAACGGGTTTTACTGAGCACGGCAAGGATAGGACGTGGTCCTACCGCCCAGCCCCACCAACGCTTGCCTTGGACTAAGAGAGGACAACAACAAGCGGTTGTCAGAGAAGAGAATCGTTATTTGGGTGGGTCTATGCCAATAGCGGATGAAGCCGAGTTCAGACGATCGAAATGACAGCTTCGGTAACAACTCGAGCTGGGGATGGGTCCTTTACCATCGGTAAAGAGGGCCGCCCCTCACTCATTTTGCACGCTTCGATACACGACAGCCATGATTTTGACACGATTGTGTTCCAACTAGCCGATCTTTTTTAAACAATATAACTCGACTGGCCCTGTCATGGGGCCTCACGAGAATCCACGACCAAGTCGCGAGATCCAAGCGTGATTTTGATGGCAGAGGTCCTCGGCGATTTCGTAACAGCTCTTGATCTACCATCTGCCATTATCATAGGCAACTCGGTGGGTGGTTTTCCGGCCGCCAGACTTGCCATGACCTTCGAAGAGATGCACAGGCTATACGTGTGCCCACTTTAACTATACGGGGAGCCAATGATATCGTCCCAGTTGAGAATGCACATCTCGTTCAAAGCTCTATTGCAGGATCACAGCTGGAGCTTTCTGAAGCCGGATATATCGTCTTCTTCCAAAATGAACGAGTTTCTTGATGTAATGAACAAACTTCTGGAATAGTTTCATCAATAGTTTCTTATTGCGGGGAAAAGATTTCATATTTAATAAGGGAATGAACCCTCCTCCTTTTGATCCACAATCCCTCGCTCTTTCTGCAGTCGATCCTGCTCATCCAGATATGGGAGTAGAATTTTGTCCCAATGAGACTTTCCCTTGTAGAAGGACACGGTCTCATCCCAGTTCCGAATAGCTTCCGCTAAGCGACCGGGGATATGCGGCTCTTCAGCGATCCGTGTTACTGGCTCGAAATATGTGCGAACTGTAAATAGCACAGCCTTGGAGCGCGGCAGTCGACGAAGAGTCTGTCGCTCAGACCGGAAGTGAATTTCATCAATGGATAGACCGTGACTATTTGCAGTAGCCCATGCTGTGTGAACCGAGGTCATTACTATGTCGTTCGTGTCTTGTGAAAGCGACTGACTTACATGCAACCTCTGTGCCTGCTTGATCACCCATGCGATGCGACCAGTGAAGTCCGTCATCAAGCTGAATAAAAAACTAGCGAGACAGTTAGCTTTATTGCGGGTCAGAGGGCAAAGACCCCGTAACATACATTGTTTCTCTCCACTGGCTTGTCAGGCGTGAGATTCTGAAAGAATCGATTCATTGACTTTTGAAGCTTAGCAGCATAGTGTGGCACGCCCGCCTCGAGGTGCAGTGTGTCTAGTGACATGCGGAACTTTTCCCTGAGACGCCAGAAGCCAGGAAGGCATACAGCTGCGGCGTCAAGATGATAATGCCCATCTTTAACAAGTCAGATCCTGATATACATGACTCATGGTGATGGAACTTACCATCGTTCTCGACCATAATCACCAAATCGTCTTGAACCAAAAGAGCTGAAGTTGCCAGCGCCTCATTTGGGGTTGCTATATGGCAAATTCATTTAGCTTTTCCGAATCAAGCTCAATGAAAGAAAAGGAGATCAGACATACATGCCGGGAAAGCAAACTTTTCTTTCGTCAGGCTGTTGTACACCTTATCACCCTCCAAGCGGTAGCTCTTGGGATAGCGATGGGTCAAATATCGGACCAACTCCTCATAAAGCTCAAAGCATGCATCTCTTGTCATTGCGTTATCGACATACTTCACATGAGCATTGAAATCCTTCTTCAATTCCGATGCCTTCATGTTATAATATCGAAGGAAATATGAGTCCATTTCAATCCAATTGTCCCAGCTTAGTTTGCGAATGCCCATTGTGATGAAATTCGTGCCATGTCTGAAGGGACGATATAGCTTGGGAGAGGTGCTTGAAGGACTATCGGTCTCTGGATCAGGCAGAGGAGTGATGAATGGCTTCTCGTCTCTTTGGCCTTTTATGTCGATGTTTTGTACTTTGGAATGAAACGGCCACCTTATGAACAGCCAAGTGACCACTGAAAATACAAGGCCTAAAAGGGATAATGGCCCTGAAGGTACTGAAAGGCCTTCAGTAGAGATGATTGTCATGATCTTTTTTTCTTGAGAAAAGCGTCTGATCGCGCTTGCTGATATTGTAGCTTCAGTTGCACCAAGCCAGAGGCCCTTTAAATAAGAAAGTCATAGACTTCATCTGGGTCGTTACTTGGTCCCTGCACTAACTTGATCTGACCAATCTAGACCACTTTTGGCAACTTTTCTGGCCATGACAAGCCACTAACCAGACTTGGGCATGTTAAATAGCCTTTGGCTGGTGAGTCGGCACTTGAGCGGGGGATGCTCGGGACGACTGATAAGAGCCTTGAGCTTCCTAGGCTATTTCCCCGCATTTACCACAAAGAAGCTAACCTACGCTTTCTTGAAGATTTGTCGGTAATCCGGTCCTGCCAGATATATGGGAATTCGAGGCCTTTGCGGGAATATTGGTCCGACGAAGTGAGAAATGGTCGAGCCGGTATACAAAGGAAAAAGTCTGTGAGATGCTGCAACCTTTCTCGAGACGTCGCCACTTTTACTTCGTGTCGCCCGTCCTTATCAGTGGCTGCTCCTAACAAGCCTATCGCCAATCTTGATCCGGTCTTTTAGGCCCATCTTACGGTGAAATCTGCTCCAATCTTCCCTCACGCCCTTCCTGAATCAGCCTCTCAACCGATCCGCTCTACTGCACCTAACAACAACGTTGCCCCTACCGGAGTCTACACTATCCACAAAAGCACAACGTGGAGGGAATGTGAAGAGATGCCCCCAAAGCGCCAAAGAACGGTTCAGGGGTCCTGCTGGCCGTGTAAACAGCGCCGTGTGAAATGTGATCTCATTCAACCGCGGTGCCGCCGCTGTATTCTCACTGGAGCCAAATGCAGCTTCGATAAGATTCTCGTGCGTTGGAATTCACGTCCCACCAAAGGTGCCCCAATCTCCTACCAGACGCCCGCGTCTCCTCCAAGATTAAGCCTACCCAAACAAATCTTTGATAGCACCGGCCTAGCCTCGGGGGAATTGAAAGCCCTTGACTACTTCCAAGCAGCACTATGGCCATTGCTGTCGACAGCGACCCAACCTTGTCCGCCACCGATCTCACTCGCTCTAGAATCAGAGCCCGTTCTGTTGGCGATGTGCGAATTAGCAGAGGCGCACCGTCTTCTGCGTCAGGATAATAGTGCTTTTCATCAACAAATTATCAGCGATAAGCGATCGAATTGCCTGGGGTCGGTTCGAAAGCAATTACGCGAATGTCTGTCGAATAACGTGTCACTTTCGCGTGTTCTGGTCGCCGTTTTGCTTCTCTACTTTCTAGATGGCTACATTGATTGCACAGAGCAGTCGGCATCTACGACGAGTCACCAGGTCGGAGTACGTGCTATCGTGGAGCAGTTAGGCGGGTTCAGTGCGCTACTCGATGAGAGTGAGAAGGAGATCCCACACATGTTGCTATCTGAGTTTGCGTCAACGGATCTTACCCGAGCTTTACTTGATGATCGACCGCCAAGTTTTCCCGCAAGTATTTGGCTTAACATTGAGCGCGGTCCTGTTTGGTGGGAGAAACAGACGTACGGGATCAGCCTGGCAGCCGTTTTCCGCACCATGGCACAGCTTGCGTTTTATCGCCATTCAACACAGAATGGTGAAGAGGAGCTTGATATTGAAAAGGTCCGAGACTTTGAGAGGTGCCTTCAACCATCCTTCCAAGTCTTGAATTTAGATCATTTTGACTGTCCGGAGGAGGACACCGTCTCCCGGGGTGAACTCGAACGAGTGAACCAGACTATTACGTTCACCAGGGCATTCCAGCATAGCGCATTGATTTATCTGTACCGCGCAGTCTGTGGACTACCGCCAAGGCATAAGCTGGTGCAGCAGCACGTTAATTTCTGCATGGGCTGTATCAACGCCGTCAGCAGCAGTTCCAAAGCACATAATTGTCTTATATTTCCTGTCTACGTTGTCGGTGCTCATTCCTTCACTGCAGATCATCAGAAGGATATCCTTGGTAAGATTGACTGCATCTATCGTACAATTCGGTTCAGTTCTCTGTTGAGTATCCGGGCTGCCTTGGAAGACCTCTGGCAATCCGAGAAACAGGAGGACACATGGGCAGACATGTTTACTCCTTTGGGGAGGGACGTTCTAGTGTTATAGTTCCCTTCAATTATTTCCCATGCTTTTACTTAATCTCATCCAACAATATCGCGTTATGAATAAGAAAAGTTTCACTATGACTCTGTTGTTATTCTACCCATAAACTCTGCCTAGCTCTAGCCAGTCACTCAAACTCCATGGTCACTATTCCCAGGCCAAGCCTCCAACCAACCTCGATTCCATAATAAAACTTGGCCGAGAGATGCGGGGTACATAGCCTTCGTCCCTCACCATTCGACATCTTCCCAACTAGGTTCTCGATCTACCATTGCCCAAAAACCTGCCGTTTTAGGTAGAGTATATCCAGTAGGCCTCCAACAGAATTCAACCCTCCTGTGTAGTCAAATTATCATGTCCTACAGACATCACCTTTCCCCCCCGTTAATGCAAGCCTGATGGCTTTTTCGCCCACGGCAACATGATTTAACTAGTAGCGGGATGCGCAAATTCGGGGTGACTTATTAATTATTAGTCGTGGAAGAACAAAGTAGCTTATTCCTCAATCCATCTCGATCTCTGGCCGATGAATTTGGCTGTAGTATATACAAGAGAAATAATTGAGAAATAAATCTCAGCATCAGGGCCGATGAATGCCTCTATGCATTGATCCACCACAATTCCTAGAATGGACAATAAGCCTCCACCTCAATCTCAATCACCATCCCTTCAATACCCAGCTTTCCAATCTCCACGCAAGTCCAAATCGGACGGTGGTCTGTAAGGACCCTTTTGAAATTGCTGCCGACCATATCGAATGTCTCCCCCATTTTGATATGATAGCTTCGCACCGCATAGACATTTGCCCACGATAGACGTGGATCAACCTCTTTCAAAGCTTTTTCGACGTTCTCAAAGGCGATGGCGACCTGTTTCTCAGCATTGGGTGTGATGTTTCCGCTCTCGTCCCAGCCACCTTGACCGGACGTTTTCACCATTGTACCGATTTTGACGGCCTGAGAGTAGTGGAAGGATTCTGAGTTGGCCTCAGTTCCGGTGTAGTTAAAAAATTGCAAAGTAGTCATGATAGAGGCTTGTGATAAATTTGGGCTGATGAACTAAGTCTGAGTGAAAGTGCCGGGAGACATGGGGCATCATGTTCATATCTATTTGTACTATGACTTTTTGTTCACGTGCATCTTGGGGATCATCTCTATGAAGGACTCCTTCATTCAATTTGGCCTTGCATGGCCTGAATACTTTCCCAAATTGTAAGAGCGTACAATCAAAGTTGGTTTCGATCGCACTTGCTGCAAGGTTGGCCCATTTCTTATCCGCATCGGGAAGTTTACCAAGACATTAGCTGCCCGGCAGAGATGCTGATCATCTTGAAATTTCAAACTCTACTGGACCCTCATTCCTACTGAGCAAGACCAAAGGCCGTTACCCCGCATGAATTTATACTTTCGGTTGGTACATCTGCTTGAGTGGATTCATTCATACCAGAAAGGTGCTAGCAGACTGCGTTCCTTGTACGCGTATAACTATCCACAATGTGGATTGATGTTTTGTAGAAAATATGCACCAAAACAGAATTTGGTGCTTCTCAATTCAATACTGTGCTACAAGGGCCGGGCGGGAGCCCAGTCCCGGACAAAACTCGCTTTCTATATCAGTGACCTCCTCGTATGGAAATGGAATCGTCCAAATGAGATCGAATCTAATCAAGTCAGCGTCCACTTGTCAATTTATTGAAAGGTCTCAAGAATCCCCCAAGACCTTGATTCCCAAGGATGGTTTTCAAGGTCAAGAAGCGTTAGACGACCGAAGAAAGAAAAGGTGTGCCGATCCGAAGCCGATAGCTCCGACGCTAATCTCATACTATGGAGCGATGGCTCCACAAGATCAAATCAAAGTAAAATCCAAACAATAAAATATAACCTACCGATCGTCCGGATACTCGAGTGGATCGTGAGAGCCCAGGTGTTCCTGAATCTGCCCCATGTTCTTGTGCCGCCAGGAAATCAAGATATTTCCCGGTCCATCGTAAGACTGGATTGTATCGGCCACACATTGAGTATCTTTGCGCGAGCAGTGGGCGTCGACTTCGAGACCGAGATCATTGGCGAGAGGGAGCACGGTCATATACGCTCGTCGATGCTCTCCGTCTGTGAAATAGCGTGATATTAGTCCATCGGTTCTTCTCAACCTCATCATGACCATCCAGCTCTAAGAACTGATCGTTCGGATAGATATTACGCGACTCACTCCACTTGACTGTCGGTGCCATTATATGTCCAATATCGTAGCCCGAGTCTCTACCAAAGATATCCCGCAGGCACTGAGATCGTTTGATCCCATCCAATGTCAAACCGTGATCATCCCGGTTTGGTGGCTTCTCCCCGTGCCGAATCATAAAGACTTTCGGGGGGCTCCTGGCTGACACGGCAGCCAAGCAGAAGACACCATATGCGAACGCTGAACGCAATAACATCTTGAGGAAAGTAAACAATAGATCACAAGCACAATGCAGAAGTTAAATCAGAAGAACGATGGAGAAGGATTGTATGAGGATCCTAATCTCCTATAAGGACCTCAGCGAGGAGAAGCAGGTGGACGTCATCTTTTCTTCGCCGATCCGCCTTGCTCCCCTCCCTTTATACATCTAGCTGAAGCACACCGTGATTCGACCTATCACGGCACACGGTCAGGAAGGAAGGTCTACACCAAAAGAAAAGAGAGAAAAAAAAGTAGGAGCGAAGTGGATCAGCAGGTTCCTTTTCTGATATTGTGCAATGACCATCCACCACATGGAGAAGCTGTGCCAAAAGAGGATTTACAATTTGGGCCGAGGACTCCAATAGGCGGGTGACGAGGTGCATGGGAGGGTTTGTCCGATCTTAACAGGATGGATGCGTGTGAGACGTGATTGGATTCTCCTTAAGCCCGCAGTTGCTTGGACTTTTCACCGTCGTGGTTGTCGGTCGCATGGATCCGTTCGTGACTGCCCTGCAGAGAAGTGGCGACCTGATCTTCCGGGATAGGAGGGGTGGGTGGAGAAAATGGAGGTGAGAAGGACCTTGGGGGTTGGAGGTAGGGCACAGCTCTAGGAGGTTTAAATATGTGCTACCTTGGGCTATCAGCACATTGCCTATGGTACTTGCCTATGGTACTTGCCTATGGTACTTGCCTATGGTACTTGCCTATGGTACTTTGGATGTAATGGAAGTCGATCTCTTCAAAGTATTCTGGAGCTCGGTTCATGGCCAAGACGACAAAAATATATATCGAACAACCTTCAGGCACAGAGTTTACAACCACATTAAGCAGTGCTCCAGCTGAAAGTTAGATCTCATACCAGCACAAACTTAGACACCAGGCCCAAGGTAACAAGGCCGGGGGGGAGGGGTTGTGTTTAAACTTTATTGCATCACAAGAATATCAGTGCGATCAGTAGATCAAAAGAAAGAGCTTGACACCGACGCCAGCATTGTCCGAATCAAAGACGGTCATCAGGCCCATCAAGATACGGACATCTCAGCCGAGCCGTGTGACAGGCACGGGCATCTGATCTTCGCAGCTCGTAGGGAAGTTTATTTGGATGCACTGTTTTTGGATGTACTGTTCTTCGCGCTCCTATGCGGTCTTCTTGGAGCATGTATGGATCTCGAACTCTTGAAATCCCCCAGGATCATTTGTTTCGGACTGCTGATAATCACGCTTGCCCCCGCACTATGATTATAACTCAGGTAGGACACCAGGGCTACATAGGCGATCACCGAACGAAAGTGCCGTAGATTATCCGACTCTAGATAGGAAGGGCAGATGATGACGAGGGGGTCATACCGGCATGTCGGCCGATCCGAGCGGCGCATGCGAACCTTTTTTTTCTTTTCTTATTGTTTCGCGGCCACTTACCGCCAGTCGCCGGGACAATTTGTTGGGCCCCACGAGCTTTTGGGAGCGACCACACCATCAAAAAGTCGGAGTGGGGGCGCGCCTGCTAGTGCTAGCCGGGCCAGTCCCGTACTTGTAACTTCTGTATGTATGGTATTGTTTATCGATCATTGCCGCCTACAATATGCACGCAATACGGGACATAATCGACAGGGCTGAGGACGTTACACCGAGCCAAGAATGCGAGGATCCCCGGGGCTTAGCGCCACTAGGCAGCGAGAATAACTCGCAGTGCGGATTGTGAAATAATTACGTCCCAAGTGGAGTCGCACTGCAACGGAATCTTGGCGTTGGGATGGGAGAGAGGGTGATCATTGCGAGTATGTAGTTATAACCTAGGTGAATCGTGTACTCGAATAGATGATCATGGAACTTCTGGAACATTCATCGCCCTGTAAGTACGAGAAGCATACTATACACGGTATGTAATATGTAGAGTCCGTGACCGGGTAAGCCCGTAAGAAGTAGGCGCGGAAATGAGTGTGCGTGCTATTTAAAGGTATTGTAACGGAGTGACGAGCTGACCGCCCCTTCTTATGTTGTCTCGTGGTTTTAGTATGGTTCATGGAGTATGGTATGTGTACGGGCCGCAATCTGCGGTCCGTGACTCTCAGCCTTATGTTGTGCATAGCCACAGGCTTGTTACCACGAGGGGTTATACGCACCGCTAAGTCGCTGCCTGTGGCGGTGCTCTGCAGCTTGGTAATCCTCGAGGATCTCTGAATAGAATATTGAGAGAAAAGACGTCGCTATTCAGGACGAAAGTGGGCAACAGAGCGAGGTTGATGAGCTGCGCCTCGTCGTTTCGTAAATTTGCGACCATGTGGGGGCCCTTCCGTCAGCCCTGTGGCGCCGATGGACAGGTTCCTTGGATTGGCATTACAGATATACGCATTATGCACGTACGAAAGTACCCTCTTCTACGATACCTGATACGTGATCGCACCCTATGATCTCCACTCTTCTGACTCTGAACGCGGTACACAGGAGTATCCTAGATGTAATCGACCGCATTACCGCAGGGACGGTACCAAACTTATAAAAAGGCCACGACCCCTCCCCGTCTCATACCCCTCTCACATCATCAACTCACCCTTTTCTCTCATCACTCGTCTCCCGACTCTTCCATCTTCCATCATCCCCATTTCTACACATATTTCCCACCTCCACACATCAACATCATGTCTGGTTACGGCGATTACAACCAGGGCTACAACCAGCAGGGCCAGGGCTACGGCCAGCAGGGCCAGGGCTATGGTCAGCAGGGTTATCCCCAGCAGGGCTACGGTCAGCAAGGCGGCTACGGCCAGGACTCCTACGGCCAGCAGCAGCACCACCAGCACCAGCAGCCTGGCCAGGGCTCTTCCGGCGACTACTACAACAACTCTGGATCCCAACAACAGTATGGTGGCCAGCAGGGCTACGGCCAGGAGCACCAGCAGCACCAGTATGGCGAACAGCAGGGCTACGGCCAGGACTACAACCGCTCAGGGTATGTGTTTTCCCCACAACTCTCAGCAATTTTCAAGACTCCACGCTAACTGTATATCCATAGATATGATCAGCAGCAGGCTCCCGGACAGGCTCAGGATGGCGAGCGTGGTCTTGCCGGTGCTCTCGCTGGCGGTGCCGCCGGTGGCTTCGCCGGCCACAAGGCCAACCACGGCTTCCTCGGAACAATCGGTGGAGCCATCATCGGCAGCATCGCTGAGGATGCCATCAAGAAGCACAAGCGCGACGCTAGCCCCGGTCATGGCGGCCCCGGCGGTCCCGGCGGTCCCTACGGTGGACCCCCTCCTCCCGGCGGCCACCAGGGCGGCGGTATGATGGACCAGCTCGGTGGTTTCTTCAAGAAGTAAACGGCTCGCTTCGCTACAAGATTCACCTTTTCCGTCTGTCTTCTTTGAAACGCTTGTTCTCATCGTGATGACCTCGACATTTTTATGAATTTCCTTCTCTTGTCTTTAACGGGATTGGGCTGGCTTGCGCTTCCGCTGGATTGTTGGAGTACCCTATTCTGCGATTGTCCTATCTTCTTTCTTTGCTCATCCTATGCCTAAATTCCCATGTGTACCATGACTGTTTTACACTGCTATTCAGATTCATTCCTCCTGCTAGAAAACCAGAATTGCATCATTCCAACGTGATTATTGGCCTCTCCGGGCAAAACAATTGTAAATCCGTCGTACCCTGCATGACAACTAAAACAGTCGCCATCCGGACGCGGGGGATCTCGCCCGAGCCCGACCGCCCGACCGCCTGACCGCCCGTGACCCGATCAGGACTAGCGTAGTTTTGCTGTCTTTGCCTCAGGCACTCAGGCCAAAAGACAGCGCATCTGCCAAGCCCGACAAAAGTTCGCGCGGACTGGCAATCTTGAACACGCCGTTTACTCCAACTCAGCAACCATATCCAGCATGATTGTGCGGAAATTATGTATGCGGCAGAGTGAGTCTTTCTGATATTCACCATTGGTGACATCAAGATGGTAATCTAACCTCATCAATTGCCTACAGGTCGCCAATTGCTGGCCCTGAACCGCCAGGCCCCAGCCTACACTCGATACCTCTCGACAGAGACACCGGTCGACATGGCAGTGCAAAAACCCCCCCAGGAGTCGTCCACTGCTGCGCAAAACCCTCTTTTTGAAGTTGTCAAAGCACCAAGAGACGTCTCAAGCCTCGGTCCCCGAAAGCAATGGCGTGAGCTGGAGAAGCGGAGTGAGCCTCTCCCAATCTTCCGAGAAAAAACAGCCAGCCCCAGATAGCTAACAATAGCCCATCTTCCTAGGAGAGAAATTCAACACCCTCGGCTCCTCCGTGCAAGAATCCTACGACCCCGAAGGTCTCATCCGCAATCCCCCTAAGCCCTCCGACGTCACCCTCGAGATGCTTCTCGCGGCCGGTACCCACTTGGGTCACTCGACCTCGCGGTGGAACCCGCAGAACTCGCGGTACATTTTCGGTATCCGTGAGGGTGTACACATCATCTCTCTAGACGTGACAGCAGCATACCTGCGTCGCGCCGCGAAAGTGGTCGAGGAAGTTGCCGCTCGCGGTGGTATCATCCTCTTCGCCGGTACCCGCAAGGGCCAGAAGCGTGCCGTTGTGCGAGCTGCCGAGCTGGCAAAGGGCTACCACATCTTTGAGCGATGGATTCCCGGCTCGCTGACGAATGGACAGCAGATTTTGGGCCACTGTGAGACTAAGGTTGTCAATGCCCTGGATGAGGAGTTGCCTGAGTTCAAGGCCGATCTTGCGGATCGTCCGTCCGTGAAGCCGGACTTGGTGGTTGTGTTGAACCCACTGGAGAATGTTGTCTTGTTGCACGAGTGTGGTCTGAACAATGTGCCTACCATCGGTATCATTGATACTGATGCTGACCCTACCCGCGTCACGTACCCGATCCCCGCGAATGATGATACCCTCAAGGGCACTTCTTTGATCGCTGGTATCTTGGGCCGCGCTGGTGAGGCTGGTCAGAAGAGGCGCTTGAAGATGGCTGCTGAAGGGAAGACGGCGTATGAGCCCATGACGGCTCGCCAGTTGCGTCTGGACCCCCTGACGGGTCTCCCACCTCCTGGTTCGGAGTTGGACAAGGCCTAGCAGGCTTGAGCTTAGAGGCTTCGGTTTGTGTTGGAGGGGTTTTATGGTTCAGGTATCCGATGGGTCTTGTGTGTCGGGTCCCTGGCCTTGTATTGTATAGATGATTCCTCGCCTTGTGGGCGTTAGTTAGCACATCATGTATTAACAAGTTATCTTTTTTTGCCGTTCTATTTTTTTGCTGTTTGATTGGGTCTGAAATATCAAAAATCTCATACAATTACTCCTTCTTGGTACTTACCTATGAGATAGGTACGACTCTGGGATTACGCCGTCGGGCTGTGTAGATGAACCTTTTATATAACCTTATGTTGTTGAGATAATATATTCATTCTAACCATCTATATTGCCTAATACCTAGACCGTCTATATTCATCAATGGCCCCAGACAACACAAGGCTGCCAGCCACGATTTTCATAATACAAAAGAAATTCATGACCACGGCCACAAACTCAAGCCTTAACAGTGTACACACCCCGGCCCCGAGAATCAGTGCCCTTGGGAACAATCTCCTGGCCAGAGCTAGTGACGACGCGGCGAGTGTCACCATGGTGCAGGATGATATCCAGCTCCTTCCACGCAGGCACAAAGCCTGCTGTCTCGTCCCGCTCGAAGTGCACCAGAACCGTCTCCTGGGTCGAGCTGTAACTGAGCGTGTACACCGCAGTCTTGGGTTGCTGCGAGATACCATCATCCTCGTACCAGGTGTTGCTGAACACGGCACCGTGCGAGCTTCCCTGGGGCGGGAAGATTTCGACGCCACGATAGTCATCGATCTCCTTGACGCCCTGCGAGGCCGCAGTCTCGTCTTCAAGGACACGGGTATGCACGTTCTTGCCGATGGGGATGGCACCGCCGATCTTAGCGAGAAGAGGAATGCTCTCGCGCCACTGCGACTCGATGTCCACCCACTGACCGGAGGCAAGGTAGTTGTAAGGAGCGTTCATGTTGACGAAGCCGTAGTCAAAGGCATCGCCGGTCTTGCGGGGAAGATAGACCTTTGCACTAGAGACACCGGCACGGTAAACACCACCGACGAGAATGGTGTCGCCGAGCCAGAACTGCTCTTCACCGTCCTTCAGCGTCTTGTTGTCCCATACTTCCGGGTCGGATTCGTAGCCCCAGCCCACCCAGCGCTGCAAGGGTGATGCGTCCTTGTGGCTCTCCAGTCCGAGCGAGTAGATGTAAGGCAGGATCTCGTAGCGGCGCTTGATGGTGTCGCGGACGAGATGGGTGATTTCGGGGTACATGAAGGGCTCGATAACTTCGCCGACGGAGTTGTTGTCGGGGGAGGTCTTGAAGCAGTTGATTGCGAAACGGGCGGACATGCAGCCTAGTTGAATCCAGCGGAGGAGGAGCTCGGGGGAGGGCTGGGGGCCTTCGAAGCCGCCGATATCGTGTCCTTCGCACTGTAGAAGATCATGGTCAGTATCTCTTAATTGAATGATAATCATTTTGGTAAATGGCCGAAGGAGTAGCTTACCTGTAGGAGGGAAATGCCGGCGTTCAGGGACAGGGCATTTGCACCCTTCATGTTCTCCCAGCTGGTGACATTATCACCACTCCAAGTGCTGGCGCAGTAGCGCATGGTGCCGGGAGTAGCACTGCGAGTAAGGACGAATGGTCGAACATTCGGCTCCATACCCAGCAGAGCATCGTGGGAAGACTTGCCCATAAGCTCGGTGTGGAGGGCACGGCCCCATTGACCGACATTGTTCTCAGCGGTCTTCTTCGCGTCCTTGTTGACCATCGCATCGTCGAGAGCCAAAGTCCAATCATCGCTAGGCAGAGTGTACTCGTTGTTGTCATTCCACATGCCGTCGATACCGACCTTCTTCAGGCTCTGGACACCGTCGTGCCACCACTTGAAAGCAGCCTCAGATGTGAAATCAATGTGGCAGCCCTCACCACCGGTGGCACCACCGGCACTCCACAGGCGCATGTATCCGGGCTTGTCGGTCTCGGGATCGGTGAAGAATCCACGGCCGTCAATAAGACGCTGGAAGTCGGGGTGAGATTCCAACAGGAATGGCTTGATGTTGGAGATGAGACGAATGCCGTGCTCGTGCATTTGGGAAATCCACTTCTGGGGGTCTGGGAAACGTTCGTAGTTCCAGGTGAAGACATTACGAACTTTGGGTTCCACGGGAGCAATTGAGTACCCTGACGACATCTGGTGAGCAGAGCAAGGAATTCCGTGCTCTTTCAGCTTCTCAGCAAATTCGAGAAGAGCCTCGTGAGCGTTATCCAGCATGGTGTACTTGTAACCACCAGAGATGTATCCGTAGGCCCAACGGGGAACCAGCAGTGGGAAACCGACCAGTTCGGCGTATGAGCGGACAACGTCCTTGATGGTCTTGCCAACGATCATGTACTGCTCCAGACCGCCATAGTCCTGACGGTAGATCTTGAAATGACCCCAAAGACCATCAATCTCGGCACCAACGGACCACGAGCCTCGACCGTGGGTGGTAGAGAACAAAGCGACACAACCTTCCGGTGTGGCCTTGATCAGGAGAGGAATGTGCTTGTAAAGAGGGTCGGTTTTGTAGACATCGTAGCCGAAGCAGTCGGTAGCGGTCAGCTGGAAGTTACGGCCAGTAAGGTCCATTGGCGCGGCCTTTTCACCCAGTCCAACGTGAAGAGCATTGCGGTCGTGCACCGAGTAGTGGGCAACACCCGGGCCATCAGCGACGTATGATCGCAGAGGCAGATCGCAGTGCAGAGGCTTGTCTGAGCCTGTCCATGAGAGAGACACGACCGGTGTTTGTTCCCATTCCACCTTTGCGGTCACGCCGGCCACGTCAATGGTCTTGGAGGAGCCTTCCTCCTTGGTGTTGACTTTGAGACCCTTGAGATCGGTCTCGGGCCTAGTGACGTTGGGGAAGGGTGAGATTGGACGCTCTGCAGAAGAGAAGGTCACCCGGAAGAGATTCTGGCGAACAGCCTCAAAGGAGAAGTCAAATGCAGTCTTGCCGGAGGAGCTGCGGAGATGCACGGCGGCATCTTGCTGTGCGCTCGAGGCAACTTCTTGGTACCCCTTGGGGAGGATCTCTCTTTGAGGCATGATGGAAATGTGTTACGTGAGGAAACTTCACGAGAATGGAATTGAGATCAGGCAATGCCCCCGGCGGTCCATGTTATTTGTAACATTCCGTGCAATGACGAAACTCGTGAGTCTCCTCATGCCCCGCGTCCGATTGTTGGAGTACTTCGCAAGTGTGGGGCGAGTATACAGTCGGCGCTCGGGGCTGATCTCCGAGGTGCGGCTCCCCCCCCGACTCTCTCCAGACAAACTCCCCCAACGTGCAACGGCCCTTGCCACCAACCGGTCCCTGGGAAGTCTCAAGTGCTGCCCAGGATGGTCCCAGAAAGTTGCTGAGCGCCCGACGGACCGATACCCAAGTCTCGACTCGCCGCACTCGGCTGATTCCCCACTTCATCCAGGCGAACTGTCGAGAAAACGGGGCCCCAGACACGCCGGACCACAGACGGCTGGCGCCGACCGAAGCTAAAGCGCCAACATGCTAATTTTTTTACGAAAACTTGCATCCATACTTGCATCAAATCTCTCGATAGCGTCGGTTTTGCCAGCCGAAACCCGACCGCTAAGCCTTCTTCAGCATTGCCGAGTCGCCCGACCTGCATCCTCCTGGGCTTTTGGCCACTATTGTGAATAGCCTGGTCATTCTCATACCACTTCCCCCTTCCATCACCAAGAAGTGATTGGTTCCCATCTACGGAAGTTCTCCGTGACGGCAAGAGAGTTACCGGTCTGCTTCAAATCGGATATTGGCGTGGACTGGCGGCTAGAGAATGCCACCAGGATGACGCGGGCGCCAGCGAACTTACAGGGAAACTTTCTGGCGATTTCGGACTTGTGGTGCGGTCGTCCGGGGAAACCATAAACTCGGCTTCCCCACGGGGTGCTATGAGGCCTAATCTTTCCCAGGTGTTGATCCTTTCCGAGACGGATATAACTATCTTCTCTCACCCCTACGTTTGTGGGAAGGGTCAGTTGGGTCCCCTCGCTCATCTGAGATCCTCTTGAACCTTACTCCATTTGCTGCCAATTTCAGATCTTATTTGCTCTATTGAATTATTCGCTTTGCGGCCTAGCAATGTCGCAGCACGGAGACGCCACCCAGTCGAAGCGTCAGCAGGATGAGTTTGTCGAGTCTATCGAGTCCATCGAGGCTGAAGAGGCTGGAAGGCCTACCTCATCAGTCCACGTCGATGCTGGCCCTAAGCAGGACCAGGCGCTGCAGTTGATCGAGGATGCCGGATACTCGACCACCTTGACCCCGGAGAACAACAAACGAGTGCTGCAGAAAATTGATATGCGTCTACTACCCATCCTCCTGTCTATCTACTTCCTACAGCAACTGGACAAGTCAACTCTTTCCTACGCGTCTGTTTTCGGACTGGTGGAGAAAGCCCATTTGCATGGCAAGATGTACTCCTGGCTGGGATCCGTGGTCTACTTGGCCCAGCTGGTCTTCCAGCCCCTGGTTTCCTATCTCCTAGTCAAAGTGCCCATGGGCAAGTTCATGGCTGCCTCTGTTCTTCTATGGGGTATTGCCTTGTCCTGCATGACAGCCGCGAATAACTTTGCTGGACTGTTGGTTTGCCGCCTATTCCTGGGTATCTTTGAGGCTGGCATTGGTAAGCTTATTCCCCAAGAATATTCATCTCCCTGGCTCTAACATTGAGGTCTATAGCACCGGCTTTTATCGCAGTGACGCAGATGTGGTACCGACGACTTGAACAACCTGTTAGACTAGGTTCGTGGTACGCAATGAATGGTGTGGTCAACATGGTGAGCTCTTTTTCATTCCTTGGGAGATAGCAATCAGGCTGATCCACTAATACAATCTAAAGGTTGGCAGTTTGATCACTTATGGTCTTGGTCACATCAACTCTTCGGTCTTTGAACCCTACCAGGTAGGCTTTGATCGAGAGAACTTTCGTTGAAGATAGCTACTCACGTCAACATAGATTATCTTTCTCTTCTTCGGGCTCATCACTATTGGTGTTTCCGTCGCTGTTCTGTGAGTAATGCAATGCATCAACCTTATCTTTCAACGTAGCTAACACTACTGCCATAGCTTGTTCATGCCGGATTCCCCCACGACGGCCAAATTCCTCGACGAAGAAGACAAATTGGTCGCTATTGAGAGGTACCTAACTCAACTCGTTCTGGTCATAGTTGCCGCCACTAACCAATACCCAGACTGCGCATGAATCAGCAAGGTATCGAGAGCCATGAATGGAAATGGGATCATGTCAAAGAGGCGTGCTTGGACCTCAAGTCCTTCCTGTGGTTTGCCTTGATGCTAACCATCTCGTAAGAAACACTGTTCACTACCCATAGCTTGCAGGTTTATTAACCTGATTCTAGCATCCCAAGCGGTGGAATCACCACCTTCGGTCCCTTGATCGTCAAGTCATTTGGCTTTAATTCCCTCAACACAATTCTGCTGAACGTTCCTTTTGGTGCAGTTCAGCTTATTGCTACCATGGGAGGCGCCTGGTTGGCCACTTACTGGAAGAAGAAGGGCCCCGTCCTGGCCCTTCTTTGCCTTCCTCCTATTGCGGGATGTGTGATGCTCCTGCGCATTACCCACGACGCTGCTCACAAGGGGCCCCTGCTTGCGGGATACTACATTGTGAGTGCTTGGTGATCTCGACGATTTCCCTGTCCCCTTGCAATTGCTAACGATTGGCTCTTCAAATAGATTTCCGTCTACCCCGGCATAAGTAAGTCTAAGCATAACGCTGACGATCATGACAAATATCTAACAATTTCTCAGCTCCCTTGATCTACTCCTGGTCTGCGGCCAACACGGCTGGTGAGACGAAGAAGAAGGTGACGACGGGTATCCTAATTGTGGGACAGTGCGTTGGTAATGTATGCAATTCCCAGAGAAAGGGCCCTGAAGCTTTACATATGCTCATAATCAAACCTAGGTCATTGGTCCTACCCTTTACACAACCGAGGAGGCGCCCCTATATCACCGTGGACTTCTCTCCAAGTAAGTTTAGACGCAAAGCCACTTTGGAAATCACACTAATACTCTACAGCCTCGCCCTGTTCTGCATTCTCTTCTGCTTAATCCTGTAAGCCGTTTTTGCCCTTCCAATACAAGGTTACCTTTATGCTAACAGCCATGCTTTTCCTAGATTGAACATAGGATACCTTGCCATTCTCAACAAGAAACACGAACAACAACGGGTCGCCGCCGGCAAGGACGCCAAGGTGATCGATCACTCAATGAACGAAATTGGAGCTGCTCAAACCGATAAGGAAGGCGTACCGGTGCAGTATGTGGCCAACGACAAAGCCTTCAAGGACCTGACGGACTGGCGGAATGAGGACTTTGTATATGTATACTAGGAGTTATGTCGTAACGCGGATGGCAGTCCGGCAGAGTGTGTAAGGACTTGAATTGTTTTCACGATCTTGAACAAGAATTTGACTTTCTGGCATTTGTACCAAATTGCCAAGTTACCAACCACAATGGCACCCATGATCAATTCCAATTTCCGAACGCCCTTCAAAGTCTAAAGTGTCGCCCCACAAAACTTTCGTGGCGTCGGCTTCTGCTCGCAACCCTTGCATTAGCCGACATCGGGGCAGTAGCCGAACCCCGCGTTTTCTTCTTCCCCAGTTTCATCACACTCGGGGCAATCGGTGAGCACCTTTGACGAGCGTTGTAGTCTATTTGGGGTCTGAAAATGCAAGAAGACGACTCGCTACATGTTGTCCCCGCACCGATCGGGAAAAAGCGCATCCCTGTACGGGCTACAGCCCCTAGGCCTTCGCAACTTGAAATTATACTAACACGAGGTCATTCCATAGAAGGCATGCAGTGCTTGCCGACAGTCCAAAGTAAGTATGCAAGTGGTATTCTTACTGTGCTTTGGAATTGACACCGCCATAGGTTAGATGCGACGGGGATCGACCATGTGGGAGGTGAGCTTAGCACGAAAAATCATATGATCCAATTGCTAACATCTCCCCAAAGATGTGAAAAGCTGGACAAACAATGTGTCTTCTTCGAAGTTCCCAAAGACCCCGTGTCGGAGTATGGTATCCCCGTTTGTCAAAACAACTTATGTGGATTCTTCCCGCTGACACGTCCGTAGGAGGCTCGAAAGCGTCGAGTCGGAGATGCTATATCTCAGAAGACAACTGGACGATATGCGGGAACTTCTACAGCGAACATGTGCATCCCCAACTATAAACTCCCATCATCTGTCACCCGGACAAATACGAGGGCAGCGCCAGCAAACCTGTGGGGACAGTGCGTGTGCATCATCGTGCTCTCAGTCCGCTCATTGCCAGGACAACAATGGTGCCTTAGTTCCCAACAACGGCTCTGTGTATACGAATGGAGCTATTCATCCTTATCCACGTTCTGTGCCGGATGTCTCCCCAAATAGTATCCCAGTGCAGCCGTTGTACGAATCACCTCAGGCGGAGCGTAGGGCCCTTAAGAGGAAGCGCTCCTGCTTTGAGATACGTGACGAGGCCGTGGCGGATTTTATTGATAAAGGGCTTATTACGCTTGAATGTGCCATCTCTTGTTTCAATACGTGAGTATAGGTGATTATAGATTCTGCTACTGTCGACCGACCTAACATCTCTACTTCGCAGGTTTTTCCAGGGCTGCGTAAGTACCAGGAAGCCCCCCATAGTCTACAGAACCAGAGACAACGATTAATCCGAGCACAGGATCGATATATTCCCATCTTTGATCCCGAGCAAGATACATTTGAATCGGTACGCGCTCGGAGTAGCATTTTACTCAATGCTATCTGCACCATAGGCTGCATGGTGGAAACAAGTGAGTCGATTGCCCTGCCTGCTTTGCAGAGCAAGTTAGGAATTAATATCCAATCGTACAAGAATCTGGCGGGCCAATGTCCGACATGCTACATGCCGAACTCAAAAAGTGGATCAATGTCATCATTCAAAACAAAGGCCTCAATTCTCTTGAATCAGTTCAGGCCATGCTCATAGTTGCCTGCTACTCCGGGGACCGTCTACTGATCCTCTCGTTCGCTACTCGAATGGCCCTTGACCTCGGTCTCCATGAAGCCTTTGAGGAACTCACCGAGCGACTTGCGATGAAGAATGATGAGAATACTTATGGTGTTCCGGATCATGAATTTGAGATAGAGCGCGTGCTCATGCGTAAGTCGAGGACCTGGTTTGGGTTACTAGTATTGGAACATATGTCAGAATTCTTGAGCTCTCCACAGGTGACAACTGCTAATGATGTGAACGATAGTTTCCGCGTGGACGCAGGAAAACCACCGGGAATACGCCTAGTTGGCAATTCCCGGAGATGCAGGATATTATTGAGCAATCCCTCATCCACTATTCTGGACCTGCGATTGTTCTCTCAAGTCGAGGTATATTACTCCAGAGACATTCTTTTGGTCGACAGTCCCTCTTGAACAGTACTGACGATACCGACTGAATATAGCTCAATATTCTCAGGGGTGAGATTTGGCCACATTCTTATATTTCTCTGTTTACTTTGACTGAAATCCCTCACAGCCACGATCAATGACACATTGGGTCCGGAGACTACGCTTGACCGACAAGGAATATCGGACTTTGTGCATGAGATGAAGATCGATCTCGATCTGTGGTTTGAGTAAGTCATCTTTGAGAACGTTTCGCCAAAAACATTACTGACGTGTAGAAGTGACTGGCTGCGAATTGTCGGTACGTGTCCTTCATTGTGTACTTTCAATGCAAACTTCCTGATATCATTACAGAGGGCTCTATCCCAGCTCAACAAGAGAAACCATATCTTCTCGTTGCTCTCCGCGTCCAAAAATGTTGGGCTGAGATGATGCTTAACTGCAAAGCACTTCGGGCGATGGGTGTGGAGAACGTAGCGTATGCATTTTCCTACCTTATTAATTCACAGAGCATTAGAATAGTGGCTAACGTGGGGTAATGATTCCAGTGCCATGACCGTCACCGAGCGACATATTCTCCTCGCCGCCAAAGCCGCCGCCCGCAGACATCTTCGCCTCATCATCGTGCAGCCAGACTTCTACCTGGCCAAACTCAAGTACGCAATGGATTTCGTATGGGCGAAATGTGCCTTCTCCTTTTTGCTCCTACTCAAGCTCTCGCGCCTTCTTCCCGAGCGGGAAGAGGAACACCATGAGCTTCTGGAACACGGCGCTAGACTGGTTGACGAGCTTAGCAAGGCTGGTTCAAACAACCATCAATCTGGAGCGGGAAACATCTATCTCCAAATTCTCAAAGTCAGTATCGAGAAGTACGGGCGTGCGTTACAAGAGTCTCAACACCCCAGTACTGGGGGATCCAGCGGTACATCGCCATTTTGGGAACTGTTCGATGCACAGGCAGATCTGCAGTGGTTCATGCCTGAGCAGTTCGTTTCAGAGTGGGACTTCCCAGGTTTGAACCTCTTCTATTTCCCCACCGCGATGCAGGATTTCTTCGGAGATTTCTCATTGGCTATGTGAGTGGTTGGAGAATCGATGCATGAATTATGAACGAGGACACAATCGTTCAATCTAAGCGATATCACCCTGTATCATTATATCCCTATAATCATCAATTGCACGTCATTGGTTCCGGAACTGTTGATGTCATATGTGATATATACACATTGGAGTGCTAAAATGAACGGCTGAAAATTGTGAATTGGATCACGAAACAGTCTATCCCAGCGCCTTATACTATACCAGATGCCAATTTTTACAGACAGATGTAACCTCTAGATCCCAGGCGAATTTTGAAATGAAGAATTTTGTGTGGCGCTCTACTTATATCTCGTAGTAGCTGGTTGTTGATGGTATCAATCGCTGCAAGTCGCAAATAAGAAGGCACATTTTCTTTTATTCGCTACCAGCGACTTTAACCCAAAGCCTTCATGGCAAGTTCGACACTACGGAAAGTCAGTTTTCAGGTTTCAATAGGCGGCGGAAACAGAATTGGGGACATACACAACGAAAGTACCAGCCGAGACGGGCATGGCTCTCAGCAGGGTAGGGCCAATGCCCTTCCAGAAACCACCAAGGCCCTCGACGGCATAGGTCTTCTTGAAGCAGTCACGCATGCTGGCGAACTGCTGAGTGGCACCGAACCCGTCGGTCTGCATCTTACTCTTGACCACGTCGAAGGGGTAGCTAGACAGCCACAGAGCCTCACCAGCCAGACCACCGTAGGTGGCCACCTTGACAGCAGAGATATCCTCGCGCTTAACATTGTTGCGCTTGGCATCCATGTTCATCATGTACTCGAAAGCCATGAACCAGGTACCGTAGGCCATCGCCTCACGCAGAATTGTGACCGCCTGGCCGCGGTACAGACCGCGCAGGGCACCTCCTTGAGCGGCAAGCTTCTGCACGCAGTCAATGGGACCCGAGTACAGGCGACCAGCGCCGTGGGGCTGGGCCTGAAGACGGATACGGACGTGCTCGATCGGGCCCGAAAGCACGGAGTTGGTTACACCGGCGAACGAACCGGCCAGCCAGTACTGGCCGTACGAGAGTGTGCTGTCGGCATATTTCTTCTTATTCAACTCCTCAATCTTGCGACGCGCCTGGTGGAAAGCGCCAAATTGAACGCTGACCTGTGGAAGGGGTTAGATAGGCGAGACGTCAAGCCTCGGGAAAGGGCCACTTACACAGGCACCGATTCCGATAAGGGGAGTCAGAGTACCCTTGTAGAAAGCGGCGGGGCCCTCCTTCTTGAAGATCTGGGTCGCGCAGTCCAAAGCACTCTTATACTGAGAGGTGGTCTGCAGGCGGACCTTTACGATATCTGCGATACCGGCGTTAGAAAGGCTTCATAATGGGCGGGAGACACTTGTGCGCCGAGAGCCACAAACCAAAAGGTTGGCCTGTAATTGTGAGCGTTAGCAATTGCATACATGGGATGAGTCTGGAGTTTTAGCGTCGAGGCCGAACAAGCATCCAATGCGACTTAGGCCTCATCAGACACTCTCATCCGTTTCCCGAAGCGCAGCCCACTTACCCAGCAGAACTTGAGCCATTCCACCAGCGGCGCCCGCGGCCAAATCCTTGACGGTGCGGAGGGCATCGGTGCTCTTCTCCAGATCGTCGAAAGCTTCAGACTCCATGATTTCCGGACCAATCAGATAGTCGATATTGTCGCAATGGAAAGAAGAGATGGTTTCTCCAGATGTCTCCAGGTTTGTCCGTTTATATCAGGAACCAGGGACCTTATCGTGATGGCGCCATCTGCATTCTGATTCGCACGCAGCGCCGACTTGCGGGAAAGCGGAGGGGCCTTTGCCGTCGGGAAACTTACGTAAGCGCGGCAAAAAAAGCGCCTACGAACAATTCGGAAAAAGTGGAGTCCGTTCGGAGATCCGCTGGTCAACTCGTGCTTGACTACTGGACTCCGCTGGATTTTGCTGGATTCCGATGAGGAAAGCTTGTCATAATTACAGCTATGCACCGCCGAGTAGTCTGGAGGGTATGAATACTTTCCCCCAATTGCCCCCTTTGACTATGTTAGCTGATCGTTGTTCAGCTCTCGCGCCGCGTTGATTTATCGTTATCCACCTCCTCATCCTCGCTGACTTTACCGTGTTCACGGACATTTCGATCATGCGCAGTCCGATCAAATTCTGAGAATGGCGCCGGAGACGGGACTAGTGATGGTGCAGCGTCAAGCTCACCATCGCCGGCGCCCAAGTTCGGAAATCGATGGGGTGCCAGACAGTCCTCCAAGCCAACGGGTCTAAGCCCAGCAGAGCAGGCCTTGCGCGACGCCATCATGGCCAAGAGCAAGCCGCCTCCTCCTCCTCCAGAAGCACCGAAAGGGCCATTTTCTGAAAAGAGGATACCTGGGACACAATTTTACGTCAACAACCAAAGCAAACAATCCTTTGCCCGCTCCTCGAATCAGCCCGTCGACCACCAGCATATGCACAACAGAGTCCCTCGGCACTTGAAGAATCCCCCCCGGGCAGGAACTGGACAACATCGAACTAATCGCGAATGGACCTGTCAAAGCTGCACTAGTCTTGTCTTTGCGCGGCACAAAACCTGCCCGTTCTGCCAGACACCGCGACAAGATCCTCCTCGGCCTCCCAGGCAGGAACAGCCACGAATGAAACGGGACTGGGACTGTCCCGGCTGTGGACACCATGTGTTTGCGAGACGTGACGCGTGTACCTCATGTGGTACCCCGCGGCCTGACACGCAACCCTCGGAGACACGTTCGTCGAGGGAGGATGGTGCACGTAATGGCAAGCTGCGCAGTCTTGGCCAGTCCATTCTTGCCGACGCCCGCGAGGAAGATCCAGCTCTAGCTAGGGGATCACGAAAGACACAATTTGATCAAACGAGTCAGCAAGAGAAACCAAACCGAACACCACAAAGTGAAGGCCGTGAGGCTCGTGGGCGAAACGAGACGAAAAAGGAGAACGAGAAGGAACTCGACAAGAAGGATCAATGGTCTTGGGATATGTCTGCATTGGATCAGCTGGAAGCTATTGAAATGCAGCAGCCACCCGTTGACACGCAGAAGAAACCCAAGAAACGCGACGGACGGAAAGACCGCGGGACATCGGATGAGGGTGATTTCGATCCCGAGGACCGTAACCGTCGTCGTGAGGATCGCAAGCGCCAGAAGAAGGCGAAGGAGGAGGTAACTGCCATCCCTCTGCACCTTCCCGAGTTCATCAGTGTCAGTAACTTGGCCGATGTCATTGGCGTACGACAGGCCGAGTTTGTGGCCCGCATGGAAGACATGGGCTTTGAGGATGTGACCTACAATCACGTCTTGGATGCGGAGACCGCTGGTCTGGTGGCCGCCGAATTCAACTACGAAGCCATCTTCGATACTGGTTCTGAGGATATCGAGGCTGCACCGGTGCCTGTCGACACATCTGACCTACCTCCTCGCCCACCAGTGGTGACGATTATGGGACACGTTGATCACGGTAAAACTACCATTTTGGACTGGTTGCGAAAGTCGTCCGTGGCAGCCACCGAGCACGGTGGTATCACTCAGCACATCGGCGCTTTCTCCGTGGCCATGCCTTCTGGCAAGACGATTACTTTCTTAGACACCCCGGGTCATTCTGCATTCTTAGAGATGCGCAAGCGTGGTGCTGATGTGACTGATATTGTCGTTCTCGTTGTGGCTGCGGATGACAGTGTCAAGCCACAGACCATCGAGGCTATCAAGCACGCCACGCAAGCCAAGGTCCCTATCATCGTCGCGATCAGCAAGATCGATAAGGAAGGGCGTAACCCCGAACGAGTAAAGCAAGATCTGTCGATCCACGGTGTTCACGTTGAAGACTACGGTGGTGATGTCCAGGCCATTGGTGTTAGCGGTAAGACGGGTGAGGGCATGATCGAGCTCGAGGAAGCCATCGGTGTCCTTTCGGAGATGCAAGACCATCGTGCCGACACGACCTGCAACGCCGAGGGCTGGGTCATCGAGGCGACTACCAAGAGCTACGGTCGTGTGGCTTCTGCTCTCATCCGCCGTGGTACCCTCCGCCCTGGCGATGTCATTGTTGCTGGGCAGACTTGGGCTCGCGTGCGGACACTTCGTAATGAAGCCGGTCTGTCTATCGACGAAGCCACTCCCGGCATGCCAGTTGAGATCGACGGTTGGAGAGATCAGCCTGTTGCCGGAACGGAGATTCTGCAGGCTCCGACTGAGCAGAAGGCCAAGGATGTTGTGGCATATCGCCAGGACCGGGCAGACACCCAGAAGCTCGGTGAGGATATGGTTGCCATCAACGAGGCCCGACGAGAGCTCCATGAGAAACGCAGGCAGGAAGATCAAGATTCGGAGGAGGCTACCCCTGTCGAGTCGTCCGGTCCGAAGGCCATCAACTTCATTCTCAAGGCCGATGTGGACGGCTCCGCCGAGGCCGTTCTCAACTCGATCGCCGCCGTTGGCAACAACGAAGTGTACGCGAACGTTCTGCGCTCCGGTGTCGGTCCCGTGACCGAGTTTGATATCGAACACGCTGCCAGTGCCAAGGGTAAAATTATCTCGTTCAACATGCTCATTGACCCCAACATGGCCCGGCTAGCCGAACAGGAGTCTGTGGACATTATGGATCATAACATCATCTACAAGCTCATCGACGATGTGAAAGACGTTTTGAGCGAGCATCTCGCACCTACCGTTACTCAGCGTGTGACTGGTGAAGCCGAGGTTGGTCAAGTGTTTGAGATCACCGTGAAGGGTCGTGACAAGACATCTATCGCTGGATGTCGTGTGCGTAACGGTTTGATCAACAAGACCAAGAAGGTCCGAGTCATCCGCGGCAATGAGACCGTCTACGATGGTAAGAAGAATTTCCCGCGAATCTTTTCAGAGAATGTAACTAACTCTTGTTTTCAGGCACCATGACCTCTCTGAAGAACGTCAAAAAGGACGTTACCGAGATGCGCAAGGACACCGAGTGTGGTATCGCCTTCGAAGGCTGGACCGACTTCGCCGTCGGCGATCATATCCAGTGTTATGAAGAGATCTTTGAAAAGCGTCATCTGTGATCTGAGCCTTGATGCTCTTCGGTTTCACAGGCTTTATACGACAATCAGTCGTTGTATTTTTAGCCTTTGGGCGGCCATTTTCCCCCCTTCTCTCATGTCTTTTAACCTTCATCTTTGTACTATATGCCCCCCTTCTCCACATCGACATGGTTTGCATCCTTCAGGCGTTGTTCGATATACATCACACCATTTCTGGAGACAGTTACACTTGGAGATGGAGATAGATGCAGTCATAATTCATGTACAGTATATAGAGCTGAATTTCATCCAGCAAGCTTCCTGACCCAACGTATATACGCCATTTCTCATATGCGTCGAATAGTTTGTCCGTCGTTATAGTTCTTACTTTGCCTTCCACCTCACCCTACCAACCCACTTGGCCCAATCCTGTACATCTTGCCTCGCCATAATCCGATTGACAGTATAATATTCCCGCGCCAGCTCTTCATTAGTCGCCATACGATGCACAAAGCTATGACAAGCACGGCACAACCACGCAACGCTATTCAGCGTCCACTCATCATGCCACCCCCTCTTCAGCACTTTAGCATGTACCCCTCGAGGAATGAGATGATGATACGACAGCGGGATCCAGTCGCGCTCACAGATTTCGCATTCCGCTGTGCGCGTGGTGCTCCATACCGGCGGCGCACTGGTCACACTTGTAGTGTACTCGCTGAGTATCGGGGAGAGGAAATCGGGGAGGTCGTTTGTGTCCGGGACTAAACCGTAGGCCGAGAGGGTGTCTGGCACCGTGCCGGGGATGATAGCGCAGAGCGAGTCGAGGGTGGTGCGGTCTAGAGGTGTATCTGCGTCTTCGGGGACGTAAAGCGATGCTAGTTGTTGGTCATGCTGGATTGCGGCATACGAGAGGGTTCGAAGGGGCTCGGGGAAGGAGGTGAAGGTTTCCGTCGCGATGAACTGTGGTGAGCTTGCGAGTCAGCTTTGAAGCTTCATTTGGACCCATCTCGAAGCAGCATCTGCACGGAACTCGAGAGAAGGAATACGTACATCAACGAATTCAGCTAGCTCCTCCGGGTCGACTCTCTCGGGTAGCCCAGAGTCGGCTGCGGAGATCACTTCTTTGCTGGCATTGCGCTTGGTCTTTGGTCGCCGTTTGTTCGTCTTCGGTTTCTCGGAACGGGCGAGGATTGCGCTCGAGAGACATTCTCTGAAGACGTTGTAGTTGTCATCGGAGGTCATTGGATAGTACAGTACTCATGACCCTTGACCTGGAGTTCATTCGAGTAGCTCGAGAGCCTGGTTGAAAGCCGGGAGTTGTGGTGAAGAAGGTTGTCCCGCGGCGGGAGCGGGAAGCTTGACATCATCGGATCTAGAGCCACGAATGACAGGCCTCGTGGTCTATTTACGACAACCTTCATAGCATAACCGACATCAGATGGTATTTTATTCAACCAAAATTCTGCGTGGAAAGGAATTCGTGTTCAAGTTGCATAACACTACATAGAGTCCGAAACACTAAGCATGCGTTTATTGTCGCGAACAGAACATCATTGTAAATCACAGTGTATTGTTGTATTAAAGTTCACCTGTCCGTTCCTTCTCGAGTATCATTTGCCCTGTCTCATGTATGCTTTAATGTAGAATTGCGCAAAGAGATAGATCAAGGGAATAATGTAGATGCTCGTCACGATTATGGTGAAGGCTTCCCCACTATCACTCAAGCACGAGATTGCATTCTCACTTGTCGAGATTCCTTCCTTCAATACCGGTGTTGATCCATTATTGATGTCCTTTGCAGTCACATCAATAGGAACTCTATAGCTCATGAACAAGTACGTATAGCCCCAGATCCAGCCGACGAAGAATTGTGCAAGTTGAAGCTTGGTCAAAGAGCGTTTGAAGCTCACAGGGACAGAGATTCCGAGGGTTTGAAGTGTGAAGTATGTGTACTGGCGATAAGATCATGATTTGTTAGCATGGCATTATGAAATCAGTAACGACCGTCGGGGAATATAATACCATCAACGTGTGGATCGCCGAGTTCAAAACCACACCAATAGCACCCAATGGGGACTCATATAGCACTGTTGCCCAGCCACAGATAATCACCCCGGCGTGGTGGTAAGTCTGTAATGTAGAGCTCTTCTTTCCTCGCGCGAGGATGATCAACGTATCTATGACTTCGTAGAACTTGCTCAAATAAAAGAGCCAGCCAACATAACTGCCTCCTGCTTCCCAGAGACTTTTTGAGATTGGCAGCACTGCAAACAAGGATTTTGTCAGTTGATTCAATTTTCTTGTATTTAAGAGGCAGCGATTTCGCTAAAACGAGATTCATACCTCGATATGCACTGGAATCCGTTTCACAGAGCAGCTCTGCCACATGGGCGTAATAATTAGGCCCCGCTTCCGCAACAGCCAAATCCCAAACGGGGAATAAGATGGTGAAGAGTGAGAAAAAAGTCCACGCCGAGAACAGGGCGAGGAAGGCGTTATGCGCCACAACCAGGACTTTGAATGTGGATGTTTTGGTGAAACGCCATGGCCGGTATTGCCGACTGACATTATACTGATTCAAGTAAAGGACCATGGTAACGTATAGCGCGGTAAAGGTGAGAACGAAATTGATGTCAAGAGAAGCATAGAACAATCCAGGGTCGATATTGATCCTCTGGAAAAGAGACTTTGCAAGCACATTGGGAGACGTGGTCGGCGGAGGCCGTGGGGTGGGCTTGTAAGGTTGGCTTGGAGGAAGAGTGAAAAGCTTCAATGATGGAAAGCCGAACTTGATCGGACTATGAGTTGAGGGGATATCCATACTGACGGAGGTTTCTCGGTGCAGAAGATGATCTTCATTGGAGGGGATATTCTCTACTCTATTTCACAGGGCCTTATATACCAGAACAACTTATCAGAGCCCCTCATTTTAGATCAGCTAAGCTGAAAATCAAATAGATAGCAGGATGCACGATGAGGGGCATGCTGTCGTGTGATGTAGATCACAAGAGATGTTTGCGTTACTAGCATTATCAAGATTCAGTCAAGACCGCGAGCAAGACATAGACTTTCGTGACTTGGCTGCATGATCACGTAGGTCTCTACAAGTACACATATGCATATTCAGGAAGCTGAAGAGGTTTTGCTACCCCGCTAGACAACTCACGTAGCATGAACTACATTCAGATCTTAGGTAGTCCTGTCACACTTTTTGCTTTTTCCCCTATGACGCTCAGCCCTCAGCCAGCCATGCTGTAAGCTATTGAAGTCTTTCCAGGTTAGGTTGGAACGTCACGCTCAAACGACGATCGACGATCCGGAACTAAATAATCATAGTACAGGTGGAAAATATGGCCTGCGGCATATTCGTTGTCTAACGATCGGCTATTTTGCCATACTTTGTTCATGTAAGTGTGATGAGCTTGTGTCACCTCTTTCAGCTAGACCCAGTCACACTTCGATAACCTGTTCAAAGGTTTGCTTCTTGTGTCTCGGCTGAGATATGTTGATCAATTGACAAGATGATCAAGAATGAGCGGTTATATTGGGACCATTTACCCTTGCGCAGCGGTGTTGTCAAAGCACCAGTCATTTTCATCAAACTACAAAATCGCAAAATAAGCCTAGCATGGAGCCTGCTATAGAGCATACAAAATTGTTACCTTCTGAGGAACAGAAAAATGTGGCCAAAATGCGTCCTTCTTCGTCAACAACCAGCAAAAGCTCAATCGTCACGGTTTTGCGTTCGCTGAATTGGCCAAAAGCAATCTTTCTAGTTGGCATCCCCTTGGCTGCGACGATCAGTTTGTACTGGATTCCTCTTCGTAAGGAAACATTCTGGGTTGGACTTGTCTATGCCTATCTCCGCGCTCTTGCTGTCACCGCTGGTAGGGTTCCTCCGAATTGTTGCACATTCCATTGAAGACACATCTAAAAAAACATGCCTTAGGCTACCACCGCCTCTGGGCACACAAGGCCTATTCAGCCAGCACAACCCTCAAGCTGATTTTTGCAATCGTTGGCGCTGGCGCTGGCCAGGACTCTATCAAGAAATGGTGCCGTGATCACCGAGCCCATCATCGCTACGTTGACACCGATAAAGATCCGTATAGCATGTCGAAGGGATTCTTCCATGCTCATATAGGTTGGGTTTTATTTGAAGACAGTGACCCTGTTCACGGTGTCCTGGCTACTGGCCGCGTGGATATCAGTGACCTAAGATCCGATCCGATCGTGATCTGGCAGCGGAAGTACTATTTGCTCCTGTTGTTCCTTGCAGGTTACCTTGCACCCACGCTATACTGCGGTCTACTTTATGATGATTACCTCGGTGGATTCGTCTTTGCAGGCTGCATAGCGACCGCCCTAGAACAACAGGGCACGTTCTGCGTGAATTCGGTGGCTCACTGGTATGGCTCTCAGCCTTACGCAACCGACAAAACTCCGAGGGACAATCCCTTGACTGGCCTGCTGACCCTCGGAGAGGGTTATCATAATTTTCACCATGAGTTCCCGATTGACTATCGGAACGGAGTTCGCTGGCATGACTTTGATCCTACAAAATGGGTCATCTGGCTGTGTTCCCAGTTCGGGCTGGCGACTAATCTCAGACGTTTCCCCCAGAACGAAATTGAAAAGGGCAGAATCCAGCGGAAAAGGGAAAAGTTGGATGAGGAGAGTGAGAAGGTGAACTGGGGTGTGCCGCTTGAAGAGCTGCCGGTTATGGAGTGGGAAGAATTCCAGCAACAGGCAAGGACAGGATGCAATCTGATTGTCATCAGAGGAGCGGTGCACGATGTTTCGGCGTTTGTGACAGAGCATCCGGGAGGTGCATCCATGATTACGGGTGCGATAGGCAAAGATGCAACGGAGATGTTCGAAGGCGGGGTATACGGCCATTCGAACGCAGCTTCTAATCTCCTCGACACTATGAGGATAGCTGCGATCAAGAAGGAAGGTGATGTGGAGTAGAGACGTCAGGTTGGATTGGATGGGCTAATTTCGGTTACACATAATCATACTACTACGAATACACACTATTGATTTCACTGCCGAGCCGTCTTGTTAGTAATTTTTTCTTCAGACACGAGATGCAGAGGTTGGGCTTGAGGATGCGCAGCATTGTTCAATCTCATCACTTCGGTCTCTCATACCGGATTTGACACGGAAGACTGAAGTGGACGATTCGTGTGCTGCTATGCATTCTACTTGCCTTGTAAGGGTGATCAAGCCCATAATAGGAAATAGTGATCAGCCGGAGAAGGAACCTAAACTTGCTGACAATTTATCTGAGATCAAAATGCAGGACATAGAGCTGCATGCTCCCAGCTGTCCCGTGAACCTTTTGCTTTTTGTATGCACGGTCTTTCACGTCGGGTAGAACTGTAAAGCTGATAATGCAGGACGGGCTGCAGACTGAGAAAAAGGTGTGATCGTCGATTTTGCCCATTTTCATCCTGAAGGATTTGGGCTCGACTCTTTCGGTGTCACCAGACAATCCTTTGTTTTCTTCGTGTTGATCGGTTTCTCTTTTACATATTGGAGTGCGTAATGGAGATACCCGTGGAGTACCCCACGCCCAGTATACTTTGAGAAAGTTTTACCTGCTCAACCAAGTATCAGCTTCAACTATATCAGGCATCATCTCATTTGCATTGAAGCTCTTTAACTGTATATTCTACACTGCTCTATGGCCTTTATCAACGCTACTCTCTTCTCATATACTCCTGGTAACCACTCGCTATCGGTGTGCTGTAATGGCTTGGTCGGAAGCACTGGACTTTTTCAGGCCTTCAGGAATAGAACTTGAAATGTACGCAGCGTGCCTATTCGGTGCTGTAGGTGCTCTCTATTCTGTTCTTGTTATCAACCGCCTCTTTTTCAACCCTTTGTCCGGCTTTCCAGGGCCACGTCTAGCGGCAGCAACTCGTTGGTATGAAACATACTTCGACGTCCTGTGTGGGGGTCAGTTCATGTATGAAATCCAGCGTCTACATAAAATGTACGGACCTGTCGTGCGCATTGGTCCGAACGAGATACATGTCAATGATCCCGACTTTTACGACGTGTTGTATGCCGGGCCAACTCGTCGACGCCACAAGGATCCATGGTTTCTTTCATCAATCGCTCCCGGTATGTCATTTGCCGCAAGTAATTATGACCACCATCGTGCACGACGCAGTGGTTTGAGTCCCTTCTTTTCTAAGACAGCTGTCCGGGGATGGGAACCGGTGATTCATGAGAACTTACAGCGTTTATGCCAACATTTTGAGCGAGCAAATGAGACCAGCCAGTTACTAGAGCTACACACCTGCTTTGTCAACTTTGCTGTTGACACTGTCTCACAATATGTGTTTGGCAAGGATTCCGGGTTCGACACACTCAAGGAGCCTATACTAACGGAGAAGTGGAAGAAGGGAGTCAACGGTATATTCGAATTGCTATTGCTCGTTCGTCATTTTCCTTGGATGTACTTTCTCTCCAGGGTTCTTCCCGTGTGGTTCTCGCGTATATTCTTTCCGGCATTCGGCCATGCTGCTGCAATCGAGAGGGTACGCATATATTTTTCGCGAATGCAAGAGTCGACAGATCGATCGAGCTGAGTTGCATACTTTATAGGACGTCGAAAAACATACTCTCAAGGCTTACAATCGCCATAGTGCCTCTGAGCTTTCTATCATCGACCATCTTATCCGCAATGACAAACTTCCGCCTGCAGAGCGTACCCTGGCCCGGCTCACTGACGAGGCCAAGTTCCTACTCGTTGCGGGGACAGATGCGCCCTCGCAAGTAATGGCAATTACGATGTATCATGTTTTGAGTAATCCAAAAATTCATAACCTGCTTCGAGAGGAACTGCAGATTGCTTTACCCGATGCAAGTGTGGACGCTTCATGGAGTGATCTCGAGCGGTTACCCTATCTTGTCAGTATCCCCAATCCTGCAAAACGGTGCATTCAAAAACTAACCAAATCCAGACTGCAGTGATATCAGAAGGCTTGCGGCTCTCCGCGGTCGTAACCTCCCGTCTGCCTCGAATTGCCCCGGACGAGGATTTGGTCTGCCACGGGTGGCGGATTCCCGCGGGCGTACGCTTTTCCTCATCTAGCATGGTATTGAAGGGCTGCTAACCGTTAGACTTTTTCTGAAATGGTAGACCTCTATCAGCATGTCAAATCATTTTGTACTTCGTGATGCCACAATTTTTGCCGATCCATTAACCTTCCATCCTGAGCGGTGGTTGTCCTCGTCATCTACTTTGAGCCGGTATCTTGTGCCATTCTCAAAAGGCAGCCAGGGCTGCTTGGGGCCGAAGTAAGTCATTCAGATGGCACATTCCTTGGACTATGATGAAGTCGTACTGACTCGAGCAGTATGGCCTGGTGTTGGCTTTACATTGGGCTTGCAACTCTCCTGCGACGGTTTAGGCTGGAACTCGTTAACACGGACGAGAGCAACGTGACCATTGTCCGAGATTGTTTCAATGGGCAAACATCTGCTGGTAAAAACCGTATACAAGTGAGGGTCTGCTAGAAATATAACGTGAAAGCAGTCCCCAAAATTCGGCTGGACCATGAAGTGCATGTTAAAAAGGTCTGAATCGAAAGGAGAAGACCAGCTAAATAGGCTGACTGTGAGCTTCTTTATTCTGTGGGAAAGCCTTTTCGTATTTCTTTCGAATCAGCTGTGCCGTCGAGGCCCTTTCGCATAGCAGAGCACCTGGTCTGCTATACACTCGTGAAAGGGGAACAACTTGTCTTGAATTTATATATCTTCAGGTAAATCAGGAAATCCCAAGCGCAGCTGGACATCGATGTAGATGCTTGATCATACTTGTAGAGACCAATAAATGAGGAGCTGGGAACTAGGCGATGCTCATACATCTCATTCGTTCCACCTCCGATGTAGACATGATGACATCATTCCCTACTGCTTCTGTAATTATCGCTATTTCTCTTCGGAAAGATTCTGATGGCGAGGCCTGATATGAGCTATTTAATCCCATTTTCACATTTCCAATTGACTTCTGCAATTTTCCCCGGGTGGTTTGAGGCAGTTGTACCGAGGGATATGAACATCAAGGTTGATGCTACAAGCGGGGGAGGGACCATCCGCCCGAATCGATCCTCCAATAATAAATACCCTCTCGGCTAACTCATTCACCGCTAATAACAACCCTTCAACATTACAGCAATACTCGATAATCAGCATGGCAGACAAGACGGTCGTTGCATTTGATCTCTATGGCACTTTGTTGTCCACAGACTCCATTGCCACACAGCTAGCGAACCATTTCGGCGCTGCCAAGGCACAGGTCATCTCCGCACTCTGGCGGAGATACCAGCTGGAATATACATGGAGACTCAACAGCATGGGTAAGGGCAATCTGCCCTGGATGCACGCAGGGTCTAACCGTCCACAGAGCGTTACGAGGATTTCTCCAACATCACTCGGAATGCATTGCTTCATGCACTGGCCGAGAACGGCGAGCAGTTGGGCGACAGCGAGATCGCCAGCCTGATGGAAGCCTACGATGATCTATCTACGTTTCCCGACGTGAGTCCGGCTCTGGACCGAATCGCAGCTGACCCGACCTTCCACGCCGTCGTATTTTCCAATGGCGCCAAAGCGATGGTTTCAAACTCCGTTATGCAATCCAAAGATCTTGCCCCGCACGCCGGTGTGTTCCAAGACCTGATTACCGTCGACGAAGTCCAGCACTACAAGCCGTCGCGAGCGAGCTATCGGCACCTTGCGGAGAAGGTGGGAAAGAAGCCATCGCAGATGAGCGAACTCTGGCTCGTCAGCGGCAATCCGTTTGATGTCGTTGGTGCGCGTAGCATGGGGATGAATGCGATCTGGGTTGATCGAGCCGGCAGGGGGTGGCAGGACGCTGCCGTGCCAGATCTACGACCGTCGGCCATTGTACGGAGCCTAGAGCACATTGTGGACAAGATGAAGGGCCGCCGCAACTGACGAGCGAAATGTCCAATCCTGTCAGGAGAAATCACTCAGCCAAGGGAGGAGAAGGAATGTACAGCTGAAGAAATATTTCCAAACGCTCCACGTAAGAAGAAGAATTTGGGGTAAGCCAGCAATAGATTATTCTATCCTCCCATTTCCCCTCGAAGAACCCATTGCGAGGTGGATTCCAGAGTGAATAGGGAGGAGTTCAGTTTATGTGAGGAAAGAAAAGAAAGCGCGAAGAGCGAAAAATCTCGGAAGAAAAAGGCAGCGCGGCTGGTGGGTGACTAAGCACACGTGACACCCGGCACCTCGGGGAGCTGAGGTTCCACTCTTATCGATAAGCAAGCTCGGTTGCCTGAGGTTGGAGTCGCATTGGCATCCGCACTCGCACTTGCACTCTTTGCTTCGTGCTATCCATCGTCCTTGGCCGACCTTGACCTTTGTCTATACTGCTAAGAAAACTGTAGACTGCAGGTAGCCTACCAACATCATGTCACAGATGTGGGACCCAACTCGAGCAGGCTGGCTCTACCCCCTTCGGGTATGTGTTGATTCTACAGATTCCTGATTCTGCATTCTGCGACGCAGGGCGGATAGTTGCTGACTTTGCGATGGACAGGGCATCTTATACTTTGCGAGACATCGGTTCCTCTGGCCCTTGTTCAAGGCCCGACTTGTACCTATCGTCCTTTTGTCGTCCTTCGTCTATTTCCTCCTCTTTTTCTTCACCTACCTGCCGCAAGTGGCATTCCTCTCCATCTTCCAAGGTGTAGGAGCATGGGTGAACGGTGCATTCCTGGTGCTGGGTGAGGGTGCGGCGATCGTGGCTGCCTTGTTCGAGGCCTTCTTCGTGGATGAAACACTGGTCGATATTTTCGACTCGGTTCTGGTCAATGAAGGACAAGAGGAGCTCGTGCTCGCCTCGCGAGTCATCTATCCGGAGGCCGGTGACCCAACTAGTCGTCTCGGCACCCCGACGACCAGCGCCGTGTATTCTCCCTTCTCATTCCGGCAGATCATCGAGTTTATCTTGCTGCTACCACTCAATTTCATCCCGGTCGCCGGTACGCCCATGTTTCTGATCTTGACCGGTTACCGTGCTGGCCCGTTCCATCACTGGCGGTACTTCCAGCTGCTGGATTTCACCAAACAGGAGCGCAAGGCAAGCATCAGTCGGCGACAGCTGCAGTATACCACGTAAGTATTATATCTACAATCAAGGATTTGAACGAGCCGAGAATCAATCTAACCAAAATAGGTTTGGAACGGTCGCTCTGATCTTGCAGCTCATCCCTCCATTTTCCATGTTCTTCTTGATGACAACCGCCACTGGCGCCGCACTGTGGGCCTCAGATCTTGAGCGCAAGCGACAGGCGGCCCGTCAGCGGCCCACTAGACTGGGGGATGCGTATCATGATGATTTCACGGTATAAGAGATAGCGTTCTTGTTTGTTTCTTGTTTCTCTCAATAAAACCGGGGTCTTTATACCGGACGAACGGAATGGAATGTAGGTCGCCCCTTAATATATACAATGCATGAACCGATGTTTGTGATCGTGGGCCCTTACAAAGTCGGGCTTGTGTTGCCAATATGGGACAAACCCACACGGGGGCGTAGACATGAGCCCAATCAGAAGGAACCGCGGCGCATTTGACTTCGACCCTGTTCTTGAGATGCACGTGACTAGGCCCCGAGCATCCGAGGCAGCGCCGGCTTGCGAGTCTCGGTGGCCATGGGCTCTGCACTGGAATGACACTGCCCGGCTTTTCGGCCGAGCGCATTAGATTTCTGTGTCGGCAATTCTGTCCTGTCGTTGGCTTCGTAGTGACTAGCTACGCCAATTGCTATCCTGGTCTTTGTGCAAAGCCCATCGCCAAGACTGCCCTGAACCGCAGCTCAATCGCCTCTTGCGTGGAGCTCGAGCCGCGAGAAAAAAAGGGTCCTCAGCTGGCCAGGCGCGCTAGGCCGAGCGGGGCAGCATTGCTATAACATTATACCCGGAGTGCGCTCCGACTTTTGCACGACTCTTCTGTGCCTGTAGGCAAGAAGGCTGACCAAGAGTTCACCCCCCGCAGTGCTTGGATGATGGTTATGTTCTAACATTCCCCAAGCCTGGTCATGTCTGCAACACCCTGCTTTACCGGATGGACCACAAAACGAGGCTGCGCAAGGCCTGCGATGCCTGCAGTATTCGTAAAGTAAAGGTAGCTGCTTGAACCCTCCTTGGATGCAATTGTTAGACCACTGATCTTTTCCCTGTCCAGTGTGATAACAGTGGACCACCGTGTCGGTCCTGCGCTAGCTTGGATATTCCCTGCACCTACGAGAGGCCAAGTCGACGTCGTGGGCCGCCCAATCGTCATGCGGAGGCTCTGAAGAAGCAAAAGCTCGAGTCGCCTTCGGCTGATGCATCGCCTGGAAGTGTCACAGACTACCCGCAAGCGACTACGCCCAAGGCCTATTCGTCTCCAGCAACCGTCCCCCAACCAACGTCGTTCGCCTCTTCCGCAGACGCTATCTGCTCTCTGCACACCGTGCAGTTATTACTTGATGACTTTTTTACTTACATTCACCCCTTGGTTCCCATCCCCCACGAGCCTTCCTTTCGCGCGGCATTCGAGCGTCGCGAGGATGCCACCAGTGGCACCTTTCTAGCCTTGCTGGCGTCTATGATTGGATTCCTGGTCGCATCCTTTCCGAGACGACCGAAGCTTCGTCTCAACACCGAGGCAGAACGCTCCGCATTTCCCAACTCGATAGCCCTGGTCAAGCGGTGCCATGAAGTGGCAATCCAGGCCCGAGGTACCGGATATCTCGATCGAAACGCAACGGTCTACGACGCAGCCATTAGCTATTTTCTCGGTGTCTGTTCTGGCTATATCTACAGCATGCGCCGTTGTCGTACCTATCTAGCAGAATGTCGCACTATGCTTCAAGTTTATGACCTCTGTCGTTCGCCAAGGGATCTGCCATCCACCGGAACGATAAGCGCAGGTAGTCCCATGCCAGTCGACCAGCCCGTTTCAAGTCTAACGGAAAGCAATAAAGTGGACTTGATCACGCAAGAGCTAGGCAGACGACTTTTCTACGTCTCCCTAGTTGGGTATCAGACCCTACATCAACTTGGGTCTTCGGATTATAGGGTTCACATAGCCCCAGAAACCCCAACGGACCGATATCCACCGCTCCCGCTGGAGGTGGATGATGAGTTTATCTTCCCAACACACGTCAATCTGCAGCCTACCGGCCGAGTCTCCCAATTGGTCGGGTTCAATGCAAACGTGCGAATCTACAGCTCCTACAACTCTATACTAGCGTGGGAAATCGCCTTCGGCAGCGGTCGGGTATTCGATTGGGAGCACCAACGCTCAACACTGTGGGAATGTCTCGAAAAGACCAAGTCCGCACTCCTCGAGACCCCGTCCGAGCTTTCTCTTCTCCATCCCAAACGAAACCCGTCTGCGTTCATGTCTGAGGATGGATCCGTGTTTAGCTATCCGGATGATCATATCCATCAAGAACGACGCGCGATTCAGTACGAGATCCAGAAGGCCAATATTTATGCAAGCCAATTGTGCACGCGGTCATATCTGGTTGACAAGTACTGGAATCTGTTTGAGATTTTCAGCAAATATGGTAACTCAGACCGAGTACCAGCTGCGAACACACTCGCTCTGAGTATCAAGATGGAGAATCTGCCAGATGCACAAGACGGGGCTACCGGTGCCTCGTCCCAGACTTCTTCAGCTATTCATCATGCACAAACGGATTACATTGGTCGCATGATGGCCGAAGAGCGCAAGTCGGTAATCAAAGACCTTTTCATACTCCTCCGAACAGTCAACGAAGTCAACATGGAACCAAATGGTGCCAGCATAGTACGTGGCAGCCCTTTACTTTCTCAATCTGCACCCTACCTGTCTTCATTTTGCTAATCATTGTACAGACAACCAAAATCCGCCAAGTAGCATCCACCCTCCTCAACATGCCCAGCCACCACCCGGCATCAAAACCAACGATTGGCCCCGACGAACCCTCCCCCAAGTCACATCCACCCGAGACGCCGGCTACCTCTTTATCTGGCCTGCACGTTCTCACGGCCGCAGAAGCCGAATCCTACCTACATGCTTTCATCGATACTCTCGTCCGGCTGGAGGGCCATTCGTCCGCTATGACGGATTCAGGTAGCAACACCGAAGGCGTGAGTCCACACACGAACGGACGGGCTATGAGTTACCTGAGCGACTATGAGCGTGACCAGGAGGAGTTCAGCCAGTGGGCGAACTTGAGGGAGTATCAGCAAAAGTTCGCAGAGGCGGGTGGTGTTTTGTCGGAGCTGTAGGATACAAAAATTAATGATTCCCAATACATGTCTGACGATCGGGCTGAGCCTCGATTCTTTGATTTAGATCCGCTGATCCATAATTCGGCCCAGGTGGCCTAGAGTGTACCGATTTAGGGGAAATTCTAATACAATAGAGTATGATCTTATTGTGATTTTCAGACCACGTGTGATCGATTTTTTCGGTTGCTGTAGACTGATCGAGATAAAACAAAAAGATTATTATGGTAGTTTCAACACAATTATCAAAACAAGCGTCCTCCAGTGATAGAAAGGAAATTCAGAATACAATATTGACTTGTCACGCAAATTCCACCATCGTTGCAGCCACGTCACCAAGGCAATCCGTAGCTCTCAAGTAACAAGCTGAATGCGAATCGCAGTCGTAGTCTCCGTGGTAGTCACAGTTTCAGTCTTTGTTGCTCTCCAAGAGGTCACAGTCTCGAACTTGGTGACAAATATGATACCAGAAGATGGGGTGACTGGGATCACTGTCAACGCGCCCGATTCGTTGTCTGGGTTGTCAATGGTTGTTGTGCCTTTGGGAGCGGTGTCCGCGGCCTGTGTGGTCTGTGGCTCAGCGGTAGTTTGCTGGACGGACGATTTATGAGACTCAATGGCGCTGGTTGAAGCTGTGACGGTGATTGTCGGGCCCGGCTGGGTCACAGTCAGACTGTGCGTCTCGGTAGAGTGGATCGTGTATGTCTGCGTTTCCTCGGGCTCGGGTGAGCTGGAGGTATTCTCCGTAGGTTTGGTTGACGTAGCCTGTGTAGGGGTCGTCGCAACTGCGGGCTCGGAGGAGGCCGCGGGTGCAATGGTGGATGTGGAAAAAGCGGCAGTAGCCCCCTCGGAGACATACACGACCACTGGCTGCGTGATGACTGCTATATAAGATGACGTCGTTGCAGCAGGAACCGCTTCAGGTGAGACAGACTGCGTCTCCACCGCGGACGCTGAGCTGGCTGGGCTGTTGAACAATACAGTTTTAGATGGCACCGTAGAAGACTGAATCTCGCTCGAGCTGGTGGCAGTAGCAGAATCCGAGATTGGACCAACAATCCCAACACTTGGGCTCGTGGTCTGTACATTTGGGGTACTACTGGGAGTAGTAGCTGCAGCTGATGAGGTCGGAATAGCAGACGTAGTGATAGGGGCCACTGACGTTGAGTCCGTAGGGGTTGCAGAAACCACTATACTCGAGCCCGATGATTGGACCGAGTCAGCTGTGAACGAGTGGGTGATACTCGCCCCAAGAGTAGCTATAAGGCCACCTAGCGTGGAGCGAGCAGAGCTAGTGTTTGGATAGACTGGGATGTGCTGTCGTGAATCACTATTGTCAGTAGTAGTGACTGCAACAGGACTTGAAGATGGTACACCAGTGGTCTGCAAAGAGGTTGGTGGCTGGTATGTAGAGGATTTCCCCAGAGCTGATGAACCTGTGCTTTTGGTATAGTGTGTTTCGGAGCTTGAAGCTTGTTGAGCAGACGGAGATAAACTAGCAGCTGTTGACGAAGTAGGAACGGCAGGCACATTTGATGAAGTCTCAAGGGTTGATGAACCTGGCGCAGCCGTCGTAGTAGCGCGAGCTGTAGACAAAGACGAGCTCACTAGTGCCGTGGCTAAAGCGGGGGATGTTCCTGGTCGTGTCGATGAGGTACTCAGAGTGGAAGAGGATCCGGTAACAGCCACAGGGAAGGTACTTGAGAAGGCAGCAATCGCAGATGAAGAGGATGGAGATGGTATCAGGGAAGATGCTTGAGTAGACGTAGAGGGTGATGTAGAAGATGGGATGGATGAAGGAGTTGAAGGGGACGTAGTAGCTGCTCCAGATGGAGAACTTGAACTAAAATTGGGAGTAGAAGTAGAGATTGGCAATGTAGATGAAGGCGGTATGGTAGAGCTTGACTCCTCGCTGGTAGTCGAAGAGACTGCATTGCCAAATGCGGCTGGTGTAAAAGCGGCACTGGATATAGTAGGAGCTGTTGAAGATGGCAGTTCTGTAGAAGATGCCTCGACAGTTGAGGACGTCAGCAGCCACGTGGGTGTAACTGGAATGACAGTCAATCCACCATCATCGTCGTCATCTCCGACGTCTTTCTGAAGAGCCAGAGGTGCCCCGGATACCATAGAGGTAGTCGACGAGACTAAATCTGTCGCTAGTGGTACACTGGATGTTACAGCGTCCTGGCCTGAGGCTAGCGAGCGTGCAATCGGACCAGCCGAGCAGGACCAGGCCAAAGTCAAGAGAGCTATGAAATGAGCGAGCAGCATTCTGATCAACGAGGCCGGAAAGTATTGAAAAGGTTAGACAGAAGAGAAGTGAGCGCCAAACAGAGCAGGAAGGCCAGAAACGAAAGGGAAGAAAATTGAGAGTGATCAAAGAAGATATAAGCGACAGTAGTAGTGAAACGCGATCAGTAACAGGTAGAGAAGGGTATGGCCAGTAGGGCAATTAGGCACAGGACATATCAAGAGACAGGAAACACTTAAGGCTAGTCCAGGCAGAGATCAGTGTATAGCGAAAGATAGAATCAAGAGAGACAAGCAACGAGATGAAGGCAACAGCCACGCCGAAGGCAGAACAAGGAAAGTAGAAAAAAGAATGAGGCAGCCTGAGACAAGAAAAGAGAAGATAGAACACCAAACGGAAAGAAGAGAAGAGAAAAACTAGCATCATCGAGGCATTGGGCCGATGGGGCCCATTATGAACCAGAACCTGTCAACCCGTCAAGCTCATTGTTTTGATGTCGGCCGGTCCAGCCAGTTCCATTTCCCAGCAAAACCGCCATTACCAGGGGTCAAAGTGGAACAATGAGGTTTCAGTCTCGGCGAGAATAGACCAGGCTAAAGGAATGAAAGAAAGTAGAAGAAGAGAAAAAGAGAGGGCGATGGCGCGCGCGAGACAAAGCGCCGTTGCAGTTGACGCCGGGGAGGGACTGTGGATGCTGATTGGCTGTGGAGGAGAGCAAAGGGTCCGCATCAAACATTTGGAGACGGGCTTGCTGGGCTGTGATTGGATGAAAGTCAATTAAAATTAGAACTCGCAGCTCAAAAGGCTGGGCGTTCGGAGGCTCTTCTGGTTTATTTTGTGTCTGCAGAATCTGATCGAAGGCGAGGTGTTAATTATTGCTATCCTGCGAGGGTCCTTTGTCTCCGACGCCACAAAGTTAGGACTAACTGGACGGATCCCAACAGCAACAGTCTCCGAATTCTCATAAACTTCCAACGTCGATATTAATACGAATGTCTCATAACCAGTCAAAGAGAATCCAGGCTGCTAAACTATTAGGCCTCCACGGTGAAAGTCCCTCCAATCCCCTCAAACGACGAAATCTGTCCGAGCACATTCTTCGAGTCCCCGTAGTAATGCATCCGGTACGTGCCACTCTGCACGGGATTCGGGTCATCCACACTGTAGTAGTCATCCTCGATCTGCCACTGCAGTGTCACCTCGCTATACCCAAGCACGGTGTTTGTGCGTGTCCATGTAAACAGCAAGTTCCAGTCACGATCATTTCGAACAACCTCCCAGGCCCCAGAGTCCGTCTGCCGCTCCACAGCAGCATAGGTGGACTCCTGGTGGAGATTGTTGCGCGGGCTGGCGCCGACAAAGGTCGTATTGACGAGGTCTCCGGGCCTGTAGGTCCGTTGTGTAGGGTTAGACACGACGCCGCCGTAGGACTTGCCGATCGGGGGATTGTCGTAGACTACGCCTGTGATAAAGCTGAGCGAGTTGTTGGTGTTCACAGGTGGACTGGGCCCCGTTGGAATCGTTGGTAGCTTGGCAATATCAGAGGCGCTTCCGAGATAGGGTAGGTACGTCAGGGTGAGGTTGATGTAGGCGGCGAGAGTGCTTGGGCCATAGAGGGTGGAGGCACCCTCATAGCGCTGGACATTGTATTCCTCCTCGGTCGCGACGTAGTGCGCGTAGCTGTTTGACGGAGCGCCGAGTACGACCTGTGGGTTTGACACGGAGAGGGTGTCTTGGGCGGCCTGTGCAATAGCCGCCTTCCACCGACGGCCAGACATCGTCGTAGCTTCGCTGGTGGACACGATGATGAAGAGCTGACCGACTCGTAGAACCTGGATATCCACAATGTCGGCAGCCCACGCATAGGGCTGGGTCAGTGTTCCCACATCAAGGAGGATGTCTTTGGCTCCCTGGCACTCTTTTTGCTCCTCCGTAGGCTGGTGGATAAAGGCTCGAGCCACCTTCCATAGCGGGTTCTCCGTAGCAGGGCCGGTCGCATTTTGCGTAAAGTCAAACGCGCCTGGCCCATCCGTCGTCCCCGCAGCGAATGAGTATCCCAGCGCGGCGGGGCACGTCTTCAAAGTAGTGCCGTTGAATGGGGACGGGAAGGTGTAACCGTTCATGTCCTGATACACATGGAACGAGCGTACATCAGAACCACCAGTGAGGGCAGTGCCAGTGCTTCCGGAACTCAGCTGTCCAAAGAGGGTCTTAGCTGCTGTATACTGGCGTTTGCCAATTTCAAAGCAGCTCTTCGCACCGTTATCTTTCTCGCGGAAGAAGGGACCCCGGCCATGGCATGCCTCGTTCGTGCCCGAGGATCCAGAAGAACCGCCGCAGGTGCTATCTGCATAGGTGCACATTACATTCGACCCGTCCTCGCACCACGCGCCCTCGACGTTCGGGCTTGTGTCGCCAACGTTAGATTGGGAGAACCCGATCACGACGCCGTCGGCAAACTGCGAGTCATTCTCCACGCTGCGTTCAAAGAGATATGCTGCGACTCCCTTGTTGTCGCCAGTGACAATGGTATTATTGTTATACATCGACGTGCCATGAACCGGGAACCAGGTCAACACAGCCGTGGTCTTGTTGTCCGACTCACGATCGAAGCGCAAGAGAGTCAGGCTCTTATCCACATTAGCCGAGTACTTGGCCTTCTCTTCATCTGGATTATGATCATAAGAGTAGGGGCTGCGGTTGACGTTGGCATCTTCCAGGTCGACCGACCCGAAGGAAAGCCGTCCAGGAGTCAGACTCTCATGCGCACGCCTGATGGACAAGATAGTGCCGTCCACGATCGCTTGATAGCTCTGCTTGTCAAATCCCTTGGTCGGGATCTGTGGGAGCAAGTAGTTCATCCATGCGCCGGGGCCAGAGTGAGAGTGCGTTCCTGTCAGCGCCACGTTGTGCTCGCCGTAGCGTGCATAGTCGCCGCCCAGCGCAGCGAGTCCCTGCAGGACTCCATGCCTCACGGCGGTATCACCGGTAAGCGTGTCGAGCACCAGGTAGATGAACGTATCGTCGGGGTTGTTCGGGTCTGCGAAGATGAAGGCGCGTGAGTAGATTCGCTGCCGCAGACCCGTACCCAACTGATCCAGACTGGCGTAGCCATTAAAGTCCACTTCTACGACCGGACTATCACAACATGTTAGTGGGGGATTGGTAGATAATCAACAGAACGATATCGAATCATACCCAGTCACATCTGCCTTGCCGGCACCCACCAGAAACAGACCATCATCTGTCGCAGCACCGGCTCTGTTCCTCCACTGATACGGATCTGTGTTGACACTCGACGGCGGTAGTTGATCCATGTTGCGCATCACGGCAAGCAACTGCATAAACACTAACAGGGTCATGGCGACTGCGCCAAAAGCGGCACCAAGTCGAAGATTCGCCATAGTGTAGGTTGGAATGAAGTATAGATTAGAACATCAGACGTGCAGCTGGATTACAGGCTCCCTCAGAGTGTAGATCCTGAAAGATTTATCAGTGTTGTTGCAAAGCAAACAACCAAGGCCAGGGCGACAGCCGAGTACTTATGAACCAGAGCGATAGGCTAGGAGGTGCGAAAAGCCCATGACGGAAGAGGGCAATCAAAGGATGTGGAAGATCATTGCTCAGACTTGGCACAGGTAAGCCTCCGGAGGTAAAGCCTAGTGAAGATAGTGGAAATAGATTGCAGGAGGAGGAGAGAGCCGTATTGGAGCTAAGCGATGAGCGTGTGATGAGTGACGAGGAAGTTGCGAATTGCGAGGAACAGGGTCCGAGGGATTGTGTCCTGCATGGCAACCCTCCTTCACATTCCGCGTACCCGACTCGGTTTAGACTATGAGACTATAGGACAATACATGACTATCAGACTGGCTTTTAGCACCGGTTTCCCCGCTCGGAGGTGTAAGTCTTCCCGATATCCGTCAGATGCATGGGTAGTTGTACAGTGAGTATGTACTCGGTACAAAGGTCTGAAAGCAGACGCCGATCCTCTTTCTGGAGTTGGTCAGGTATTATGAGTAGACTTCTCGCTTACCTGGATCGACACTGCACTCAGGTACCGACATGACCTTGTTCGAGGAGATGATCAACAGGGTTACACCGCTGTCTGTGCGATCAGCTGTCATCGAGTGCCATTCGCTGACCAGCTCCTGGCCGAAAGACAATATTTGGATAGTCGGAGGTCCAAGTGCACCCGGGAATCCGCCAGTCAGCGTCAACATGGGTATAGTCACGTGGTCACAGTCCCTAAGGGATATTCACCGCCTTGGGGGTGATTCTGGCATTCCCATTCAGCTTCAGATTCAGGTGCACGTCGAACTCGAGTATCTGCAATTACCATCCACACTCTTCAAAATGTCTCTCATCAACGAGGTTCACGACTCTTTACCATGTACGTCAACTCTTATAAACACCCAAATGTCAGCGTTCAACCCCACTAAATCCCATTAGACATCGATGCCGAGCCTTCGGCCGTCGCGCGCCAAAAAGCTCAACAGCTCATCAACGCGGAGCTCGCCCCAGAGCACACTTCAACTCTACACCCATCCATTCCCGCCAGCCCAGAATCAAAGTTTTCTGCTCTCATCCAACAAGAACTGGAACGCAAAGCCACGGGGGCTCCCCTTACTGGCGGCATCGACCTAACCCGCTACGAAGCCCCCGAACCACCGACCCGCACCTCCGACACCGAAGCCCCTAACCTGCCCGAGTGGCGTGAGACCCTGCAAAAGGCCTATGTTTCCAGCTCACACTTGACCAAGCGACATGAGAACCTCACGCTGCTGGAGGAACACGGCAAGAACGCGTGGCTAATTGGAAATTCGCAGCTGGAGGAGATCCTGCGTGGTATGGAGAAGGAGTTGGCAGAGACCAAGAGCGCCTCGGAGGAGGTCAATAAGCAGCGCAAGATTGCGCAGGACGCAAGCTCTGGCGAGATGACTAGCCTTGAGGAGACGTGGAAGCGTGGGGTCGGAGCGGTGTTGGAAGTCGAGTTGGCGTCGGAGGGCTTGCGGATGCAGATTCTGGAGCAGAGGCGGTCGGCGGCGCAGCAGCAGGCGCGGTAAATGTCGTCGACTGGAGGATGACTTACAAAAATTTTTCCTTCTCCTCGTCAAGTGGAGTGCTGTTTTTCGAGTTTGGGTGTCACTGCGCGACGCGGCAACCCTTTCTTGATTCGAGCTGAAGTGTTGCACAAGGTTTGACTTGTGTGCCAAATGTGCTCGACATTTTCGTATAGGCAGCTTGCCTGGCAGCACTATTGTCATCCCTAGCGTATCATTGCGCAGGCCGACTGGGCTACTGTCGAAGGCCCTCTCAAGCTCGGGACGCACAATCTCTGTCCGTTTGATCACCCCGGGCTTGTCGCGTGTCCAGCGATGATTCCCCTCTCTACGATCCAATGCCTCATGTCAGTCACTTTGGCGGCATCCGCCTGATAGTAGATGTCTCGCCTTGGCTCGTATCGGGAAGCTCATGACTCGACAGCATGCCATATGCCCATACACGAGCCCTGGGAGTGAACAAACTGCGGGAGCTTGGCTTCTCTCCTGCAGTTCACGCACGGTAGATCAATATTGAGGCCCGCGCAAGCTAAGAATACCAGTGAATCAATAAACCAACCTTGATCTATCTTGATCTGTTTCGATAAGAAATGGCTACTCATACTGTTCAAAAAAAAAAAAACAACCAGAAGTAGTACAAATGCTCAATTGAACGCTCTGCTTTATGCCTGAAAAGAAATAAGAAAAGATCCAAGTAATCCCATTTTCACTCGATGCACGCTATACGAGAGGGACAGCATCAGACCACTCTCTTATTCTCACAACTTCATCTCCGGCGAGACAAGCTTAACATCCACCCCCTCCTCTCCCAACGAAATCGCACCAGTCAGCACCTTCCCCTTCACCTCAGCAACCCGCTTCGCATCAGCCTTCTCATTCCAATGAGCCAATTCCTTACACAGTCCCTCCAACGTCGTAATAACGGGTCTATACCCCAACCCCCCCTCCTCAGCCCCCTTTCTCGCCCGCTCATCATCCGCAATACAAAAAACGTCCGAAATCGCAAACAGCGACGGCTGAATCTGCAGCAAATCCCCCGTCAACTTGGGGAGAAGCCATGGCAGCACCGCATGCTGGACGTAGACATATGCCTCGACCAAATAGGATAGCAGGAGAAGCGGGACGGGTTGGATGGTTGGGAAAGAGACCGGTGTAGAGGAGAGGGTCGTTAGGAGGGTGTAGATGTCGCCGAAGGACACTGCAGGGTTGGGGTCCGTTACGACGAAGGCCTGGCCGCTGATGCTCGGGTGCGTGTTCTGCGGGTTGGATTGTTCGAGGAGGCGGGCTTCGTAGAGGAGGTGTGCTAGGGAGACGTTCTCGGCGTTGACGAAGCTTTGGATTACTGGGCGGAGCCAGCTGGAATTAGTGGTGTTAGTGATGTTTATTTTGCGATTTGACCAGGTTGTTGAATGCTTGGATTTTTCTTGGGTTCTGGTGATGGGGCGTTTTGGTAGACTTACGTTGGACTTCCACCCTTGCGTAGATACTGGCCAGTAACCGTGTTGCTTGTATCACATCCAATCCCATAAATCCCATTCGCAGGTCTGATACAGCCAGTCCGAAACCCGCTGGCGGGGTCATCGGCCGCACAAACAAGACGTTCCGCTTCAATCTTGGACACGGCATAGTTTCCAAAGAACTCATCATGACGCTCCGGCAACTTCGCATCGTCTCTAAGAATCTGCATCACACGGCGAGGCAGCTTCTCCCACGGCGCAATCCAGAATGACGGTTTATGCAGGGTCACCGAGCCAGACGAGGTGGAGACGAAGCAAGTAGCGCCGCATTTCTTAGAAGCATTGAGGACGTTCTGGGTACCGTTGACGTTGACATTGGCGCAGAGCGGGAGGTAGATCTCCAGACGCTCGAAAGGACGGATTATCGCAGCCGTGTGGAAGACGGTTAGAGGGAGATTGGCGACCGTTTCAGGCCATGGTTGCTCGAAGGCTGTGGATACGGCGAGTTCGTCGGTGATGTTGGTTTTGATAAAAGTTACGCCGCGGTCGAGGATGTCTTGTGTTGGTGGGAGAAGATCTAGGATTCGCAATGAAGCTGGATCCTCGCCGCGAGCGAGGAGATGTGAAACGATCCAGCCGCCCACGAGACCTGTCGGAATAGGAGTGTTAGTTGAAGATTTCTATGTAATTTGGAAAATTGAAGATTTCCTTCTTCAGTCTCTTGTTTTCCCAAAGACTCAGACTACACTGCATCATCGAGTCAAAGCAAAAGTAATGAAGAAGACGCAAGGAAAGTACACAAGAGTCCCACGTACCCGATCCACCCACGACGATATAACGGCGCGACTGCTTCGGAGGCAGACTGTCAGTGATATCGATGGGATTATCGAGCGCCTTGTTGTAAGCCGCCTTAACGTCGTCGACCGTCCAGCGACGTGGAGAAAGCTTGCGGGCCTCATCGGGGACTCGTTTCATAGCGGAGTTGACATGGTAGAGGTACAGGGTTGCGACGCCGAGCGAGGTGAGAATAATGGAGATCATAGCTGGAGCCCGTGAGATCTTTACTCGATTTGATGCAGCGTCGAGGCGGACAGTTTCATTCAAAGGGTCGGGTCAAAAAGATTAAGCTTCGGCGAATATGAAGCTCGAGATGGTGCACGGAGCACACTCGTTCTCGGTCCTGGGATTCACAGAAGTATGGAGTAGAGATTCGCAGTTCGACCCCAAGCATAAAAGGTCAAAAGGAAGCGATTACGGGGGAAAGCTCCCGGATCGCGGAGAGTGTCCGACAGCGACGGGTGTCGTTAGCACGAAACACCCCAAGGCCTTGATGGCGTCGATTTCGGTGTTTTGCAGGCTACGGGTATAGTTCGGGGGAAGTGGTACGTAGTGAAGGGAGACAACAGAGAAAGAGACGACAGTTTGCAGAAGTGCAGGATCATATTTCATTTTATGGTCAACTAGCCCCAAAATCCCTTTCTTTGGAGAGAAGCTGTCCTATTTCCCATCATTGGCAGTAACCCAAGCGAGGACCCCATCGTCGTCGCAATGTTGAGAATGAGAGGGGGAATTCTTTTTTTTGTAGGGTCGCTTAGAGCGTAGGCGGTTCGGTTAGTTCTAAACGAGAGTGGTCGTTGGCTGTCATTGGCTGGCCGCAACGTGGATTTCTCCGAAAATACTTCGACGGGCCACGAGGGCGGGGGAAGGAAGCGAGCATTTCTTGTTGAATCGGGATACTGACAGCGAGTGGGAGGATCCAGTCGGTCGTTTAAGATTTTTAAGGTCGAGCGCTAGACAAGTTTCTTAGCGAAGGTCCAATGGTCTGGGCCGGTCCACTTGCTCTGAAGCTCATCACGAATACGATTACATAACCTCGACCTAGGGGCTTCCGTTATGATACAGGGTGCTTGATTCTCTGATAAGACAATAATCACGGCTACTTTCAAACAAAGTATATACTTTATAGATCACGGATCATAGAGGACCACGGGGCATGGGAACAACCAATTTCCTGAGAGCATCGTACGTAGAGCATAGTATGTACAGGGTATGTGATCAGTTGAGAATTGATATTAAAGCTTTCGAATGAAAATATTTCCGGCCTATTTATTTCTCCGAGTATTTCCATGTTGTCATCATTATCGCTAGATCTCGATCCAGCTGATTGCTGAACTGGCCATATCGGAGCTTTTATCCTAGGCAGCGCCACCGAAAGGACTCCGTATGTACGAAGAAATCTCCCACTCCGCCACGGAAAGATTCCGTCCTTCCGCTTCCGATATCAATTGCTCCTTTCCTGGAAGATCGCACTTCTTTTCTTCACGTCCAATCTCGCCAGGATTCGGAACCGGCCATCGGCATGCCATGGCCCACTTTAAACAAACGATGCCGTCCGGAGGGCTCTTGAACCCGAGAACCTCTCCGTAAAGTGGCCCGGTCTCCTATCGACGTATCCCGGCACTCGCAGCCATACCAAACTCTGCTCACTCCCCGCACCCGCACCCTCAGAATTCCCTCGCAGTGAACTCCGAGCCCACCAACCCCGCAGCTTGGCCTTTGCAGGAAACCCCAGAGACTTTATTACACAGTCTCTGCTTTTTGCGTACTCGTTGGGCCCCTTCGCTCCCATGTTTCCATGTTTGTCGTGATGGCACTTGGGGATGGTGTATTCGGCAAACCGGCACGCTCCACCGTACTCCACTCGTGTCCGCCCATCAGGTGGAAAAGGGGGGATTCCCGAGTGCGACTGTCCTCGCTCGGCTTCAACTTGACAGCCCTAATGGGGACTTTCTTTCAAAACCCCAGGTGGGACGTCTCCACGGAATCCATTCAGAAACGGAGGAGAATGGAGATAATAGGCACGATTTGATATTCCACTCATAGAGTGTAAGTAAGATGCTGGGATATACTGAAATCTGGAGATGCATGTACCTCGGTCTGCTTTCCGAGACCGACCCCCCCTTCGGCCCAGCTTTTAGGCTCCCAGTCCACTCGACTGGCCTCCTGCTTGCTGCCCTGCACGGCTTTGACCCTCCTTGTCACCGAATTGGGGCTCATCAATTGCCCTCCGATACCCCACCCGGTTTGGGGTCATTTAAAAAAAATTACTGTCTAGTGTGTAGAAAGAGTGCTTGTGACGACCTCGTCCTTGCAACGGTTTCCACTATCTTTGCGTTTCTTTCTCCGGCCTGCCGTGGTCTTTTTGTCTTGTTCATCTCCCCGTAGAATCAAGATCGACCTTGATCAATGATTGACGAACAATCTACGAATATAATCGCCGATTTCGGAGCATTTTAAGATACTCGTGCTATTCCTCGGCCGTGCTGGGAGCCCGTAACGAGATAGCATCGCTCGGCAGCGGCGTTGACAAGAAAGCAGCAACTACGCTCAAAGCACGTCACGTCTGGGGACAAAGTTCCAATTCACCCTGGACAAGAAGCTATAAGCTTCCACCACTGGGAGACCTCCCCAGATCTCCTTGTATAAGCAACTCGATTATCAGCCCGGGAAAATGTCGATTCCAACATCTTCTTCTACAGACGCCCCTTCTGCCTCTGGCGAGAACGAGAAATGGCCCCGCAACACGGAGCGCACATCACGCGACTCCGATTCTATCCTGTCTATCTCGTCGGCAGACACTGAAGCCGACCATGATGCTTTGGCCAAGACGTTGACGGCACGCACCTCGCGGATCTCGGAAAATATGTCCCTCGCAGAGCGCGTGACGACTATTCCTACGAATGTGACGGCCGATCCGAATTATGAGGTTGATTGGGATGGCGAAGATGATCCTGAGAATCCCAAGAATTGGTCATTTCGGTACAAGGCTATGGGCCTGTTGTTTTTGTCTTGGAACACGCTGGTAGTGTGAGTTCTCCTCGAATGCATTGACGCTTTCATTGTCTCGGTCCGCCATGAGAGCAAAGGAGCAAGCTGGAGACGTTGGAACGCCGAGGAGATTGCTAACACGGACAACTAGCGTCCTTTACTCAACATCTTATACCTCGGGCGTCGGGCTTATCGGCGAGGAATTCCATGAATCAAGTACTATCGTCACCCTCGGCTTAACATTCTATTTATTCGGCCTCGCCATCGGCTCCATGTTCATGGCTCCTCTGAGCGAAGTCTACGGCCGAAAGCCCGTCTGCGTAATCTGTCTTGCCGTGTTCACTGTCCTGATTATCCCATGCGCGCTGGCCAAGTCGGTAACGGCCTTGATCGTAGTCCGCTTTCTGGGCGCATTCTTTGGAAGTGTGATGATTTCGACTGCGCCGGGTATGGTGGCTGATCTTGTGGACGATGACCATCGAGCGCTGGCCATTTCAATTTGGAGTATTGGGCCGTTGAATGGACCAGGTTTGTACCCTACCAGTCTGCTTCTTGTTTGAAACCTGACTGACGCAATGATATAGTTCTGGGCCCCGTTATTGGTGGTTTCGTTACGCAGTATCTTGGCTGGCGCTGGATGTGCTGGATTGCCCTCATCCTCTCGGCCGTGGCTCTCGTTCTCGCTATAATCCTGAAGGAAACATATGCTCCCACTTTGCTGCAGAAGAAAGCGGCCCGGCTCCGCAAAGAGACTGGTGACTCGCGCTGGTGGTCTCGCTACGACCAAAAGGCCAGTCTGTCCGAGACCCTAGCGCTGAATCTCAGCCGGCCGTTCGTCATGGCTGTGACCGAGCCTATTTGGTAAGATCTGATCCGCATCTTCCTAGACATGCGACATCCAAACTAACTAGTTTCTCCAGCATATTCTGGAACATCTACATCGCCATCGTCTACGGCATTCTCTACCTCTGTTTCACCGCATACCCGATTGTTTTCCGAGATATTCGCGGCTGGGACTTGGGTTTCTCAGGCCTAGCCTTTCTCGGCATCGGCGTGGGCGTACTCATCACCATCGCATGTGAACCTCTTGTCCGCCGCCTTGTCAACAGCCATGCCAAGGACCCAGAAACCGGCCGCGTCCACCCCGAAGCAATGGTCTCAATCGTCTGCATCTGCTCCGTACTCATTCCCATCGGCGAACTCTGGTTTGCCTGGACCTGTTCCCCAGCCTCGATTCACTGGATCGTCCCCTTGCTCGCGGGTATCCCGTTCGGCGCCGGTAACACGGGCGTCTTCATCTACGCTTCCAACTACCTGACCTACAGCTACGGTATGTACGCAGCGTCCGCGCTGGCAGGTAACTCTGTCATCCGAAGTATACTGGGCGGAGTTCTGCCGCTGGTGGGATCGTACATGTACGATGATCTTGGGGCGAATTGGTCCGGTACGTTGCTGGGCTTGCTGGAGGTTGCGATTGTGCCGATTCCGTTCGTTTTCTACAAGTATGGGCATAAGATTCGCATGAAGAGCACGTTGATCGTGCGCATGCAGGAGGATAAGAAAAAGTTGGAGGGGAAGCGAGCGAGGAGGACGCCGAGGGTGCAGCAGGGTTCTGTGGAGGATGTTGAGAAGCAGAATGATAATGTCTAATTGTGTCGCGGGCTTGCTTGCAATGTTTGGTTCTGAAGTGGTCTGATACCCATTTGTCTTTTGCATTGGATTTGTTTGAAAAAGTGTGGGTCAATTTGATTGACCACTAAATGTTTTGCATGGGCGATGCGATGCGTTAAATTAAATATCAAGTATCAAGAACGTTTCGGTTTTGTCACGGTCGTTTTTTTTTCTCGTAAAAGAGGTGATAGAGAATCACCCTGAAAAGCACATGCGCTGCTCCACGTCTTGAGCATTGCGAAGAATGCGCTCGTACTCGCCCAGCGCGATGGCACCCGCAGGAAAGACCAGCACGGCATCGATGTGCACCGGTCGAGGTGTAACCTTGACGGGAGCAGTCGCAATCTCAGAGGGTCCATTTGCTTGAGATGAGCTCAGCTGAGAGGATGAAAATGACGGAGTAGGTGTATTAAGATCTCGGATATAGCCTATCACATTCAACCAGGCGCCGACTCGAAGCTGCTCCGAGGTAAGGTCCTCGAGTACAGCATTGACATCCACATAAACAGAGTCCGGCTCTTTCTTGCTCCGTGGATAGTTATGCTCCAGAATTAAGTTGCCAGTGTTGACATCATATTGCCTCACGCTAATGTTTAAACGTTAGGTGTATGCCGTATGTTTACGTTTCTCGGACGTACCAGCCTAGAAAGCGGACTTTCGTATCAGTCGCTAGAGCAGGGAGATCACAAAGGAAAACCCGGATTGAGGCACGCGGCCCGTTCATCCCTAGGATAAAGGGAAGATTTCCAAAGCTAGATATCTTCAGTTTCTGCTTTGAGATTCTCCAATTAAACCAAAGAAATGAAAGCCGCCGTTGACCAGTTGAGGCGGGTGCCACGTGACCATTATCGAGCGTATGTCATCGGCCCAGCGAGGGGAATCACTCCCCTCCATTTTGGCTTCATCCGTGACTCCGCCCGCGAACTCGTGATTCCAAGGCCGTTGTGCTCTATCCACCCTTCTCGGCTCTTTCATTAACCTTTCACCTTTTCTTTGACTCCTTCCTCGATCTTACGCTATCGCCACGGCGTGAGTCTTCTGCCTGGAGCCTATCCAATCCACCTCCCGCCATCTGACGTGCCGCACGAGTCGCTGGCGCACCGCGAGGATTCCTGCACCAGTGCTGCCTGATCGGCTTTGATCAACACAACAAACCAACCCACCCACCCACTAGATCTTTCCCCATCCCAAGTCGCTTTTCATCCGCAAGAATGTGGTCCTGGTTCGGCGGCGCTGCGGCCGCTCAGAAGCGCAAGGATGCTCCTAAGAACGCCATCCTCGGTCTCCGGGCACAGCTTGAATTGCTACAGAAGCGCGAGAAGCACCTAGAGAACCAGATCGCGGAGCAAGATGCCGCAGCGCGGAAACACGTTGCCACGAATAAGAATGGTACAGTGCTCAACCCGGGACCCCGCAAAACAAGGTTTTGAAGACCGGGTCATGCATATATGTCGACGAAGGCGATAAGGGCTAACACCGTCTCTTTTCTTGTTTATTATAGCCGCGAAAGCTGCGCTGCGACGGAAACATCAGCATGAGAAGAACCTGGAGCAGACCTCAGCGCAGGTCGTGCAGCTCGAACAACAGATTTATTCGATCGAGGCGGCGAATATCAATCACGAGACACTCCAGGCTATGAAGTCAGCCGGTGACGCTATGAAGAAGATTCACGGCGATATGACTTTGGAGCAGGTTGACGATACGATGTATGTGATGAGTGCACGCGAGACGATCGACCCTGAATTGAAGACGCAGGTGAATCTGGGAAAGGGTATGTTTGCTGATGATTTTCTTGCAGGGACAAACTCCGAGAACAACATCTACTCAGCCAGGAGATTGGCGACGCTATTACGAACATCCCGCTGGGCGAGCAGATGGACGAGGGAGAGTTGGATGCCGAGTTGGAGGGATTGGAGCAGGAGGCGATGGACGAGCGCATGCTCAACACTGGACCTACGCCGGTGGGAACTCGGTTGGAGGGTCTACCCGCTGCCGGAAATACGGAGCGTAAGTTACACACACCGCAAGCTGTTGTCTGACCGTCTTCGAAGAGTGCCGTGCTAATCACAAACAGTCAACAAGCCACACGCGACCGAGGAAGAAGACCAGGATGCCGAATTGGCCAAGCTCAGGGCCGAGATGGCCATGTAGTCAGTCCCCGGCTCTTGAATATTAACATACACATTTGCGCTTTCTCTCTGTCTCGTCTCTTTTGGTGCGGGGGAGGGGAGTTCCTGTCTTCATTACCCATGCATTGGATGCTTCCTACCTCCGTCTTTTCGTCTTGCGAGCAAGCCTTGTATTCCGTTTCCTGTTCTTCCCGCGTACTCTGGCGCTAAGTGTTTTGACTTGACTGTTCTTTCTCTTTCCCTTATACATTTTCAATATGGCTCAGAACCCCTCTTGGAATCGCGATTGCTCTACCCACCTACCTCATATGTTCCCGTCTTGACAACCCAGGAAACCAACTGAGTCTACTATGCTCCTTTCTTTTCTTCCTTGTTCGTGCCCTTTGGTCACTGAATCTCTTCTCATAATTGGCTCATTTTAGATATGCTACATCTATGTGAGGACTTGCAATATAGTCAATCTTCACAACCAACCTGTCTCCTGCCTATCAGGCCGTGAGACTATCAATCTTCTCTGGAAGTTCTGTAGGCTTCGAGCGATCATAGTTCATGGCACCGTACCTACCAGGCTACGTAGCTTTCTAAGCAGGGGGGCACGAGAGATGGAATAAGACTAGAGATCCAGAATGAATATACGTTGAATGGACCGTCCATAATTGTCAGAACCGCCAAGAGGGATGTTTTGATTACTTCCATATTTCTAGGTCCTATGAAAGCTATATACTCTTACATCAAGCCAGAAAACCAAAAGTACGCTAAATCCGCTCCACTGCCTATAATCCAGCTAGCCCACACGGCGTTTATCACTTACTCCTTGTTACCAAAAGCACCAAGAACACCTCAGGTGTGGAAAGAGAATAATAGGTAATAGCATTTCCCAAGAAAGAGAACTCCCATGGCACGTTTTATCCACACCGATTCCCATGCTAAATCCATGAAAAGAACCCCAGAAAGAACAAAAGTGTCGTCCAGAAAAAGAAAGAGACCCCATCACCCGTAGCAGATCACGGTGAAAAAAACCATGCCTCCATAGCAAAAAGAAAAGCGCTTCCATTTAGAACGAGAAATATTCGAAGCCATGTCGAAAGTGGACCGGAAAAGAGAACGAGGAAGGGCTGGAGGTGCCCTCAGAAGAGTCGAAGCGCGTGCTTCAGCTTTAAGGGTACCAAGCGTAGCTTTTTGAGGGCTGCGCGCGCATGCCATCTTGAGACTCGGTGCTCCACTTCGACTTCCACTGGATCTCACGGGCTGCCGCATCAATCAAGGCGTCCTTGCAGTCATCGGGCAGAAGCGCCAGGATCTCGGGCGTCATGAACTCCGGGTGCTTGGGATTGGCGATGCTGGCCAGACCGTTAGGGTTCAAATTGCGCAAGTCACCGTCTGGGCCGGGAACGCCCATATTGGAATATGGTGGGGACTCGTAGACAATGTCTGTGACGACGTAGCGGTCGGAGATGTGGGAGGGGACGGGCGGGAAGATGGTGGTGCTTTCGGTCTGGTCATCAGGCTTGTCGGCAGAATCCGCGGGCTCGGCAGATGCAGACTGTGTCTCTGTGGTAGACTTCTTGTTCGTGATGCTGAGCGTGGACATGAGCTCGGCGGTGGTGCGAACGTCAGAGGGGGGGACGCGCTCCCAGCGGACATGCGTTGGTTGCATGATTTGAGGGTATTGCATGGTGTTGGTGTGGACGTCGTAAATACCGTCCATTGTCTCGCGGCGAATCTCAACGAGTTTGGAGTTGAAAAGGCTAGATTGATCAGGGTCAGCACAAATAGTCCTTGAGTTGACACCGGCTTGGCAGGGTTTATGTATGGGGACTCACCTTGCAGCACGAGCATGCTCGAGCATCCAATTCTCGTCCGTCACCGGAATCCGTCGCTTCTTGGGATCGAGAGGCTTTCCACCGGCCATGGGCACCGAAGGTGCGTTCGTATGGTAAACGCTACTAGCACCATGCCATGCGACATACTGATTGCGGTTGTATGGCTCTCCAGGAGCCGGGAGCTTGTCTTCCGGGACAGCCAAATCTCCCTCCACATCACCGCGCTCCCGAGCAGCTTTCTCATCATAGTCATCGGAGATCTTCTTACCGCCGACGACAATCTTGGCGCCAAACTCACGGAACACCGAACGCGCCGTGACCACACCTATAGCACGACCCTTGTATGAATGCGGGATGATATCTCGCTCGATCAGGTCGCGCTTGGCGTCGTCATCAATGATGATCTTGTAGAGCATCTTATGCTTTTGGAAGAATAGATACGAGTCTCGGAAGCCGATACATCGCGCTGGCTCGGTTGATAGCATGTAAAGCTTGTCGCCACGGTTGAGGATGGTGAATGTGCGTACTCGGTATTCACGGCCTCCAAGGAGATGACCATTCTCGTCGACTTTGCTGTCGCCCACCGGGTTTGGTGGGAGCGCGACTTCATCTCCAATGACATCCATCATATTTCCTTCCTTGTCGACGGGGACCTGGGTGTTGTGGACTGGTCCTCGATTGCGTGCCCACCGACCACCACTTGCGGCGGGGCGACCTCGTCGGCGCTTGACGGGGGTTGTGACGCGAATTGGGGTTTGGGAACCGTCTGGCGCATCCCAGTCTGGTGGGCGGTTCTTGGGGGGGCGGCCGAGACGGCGTTTGCGTGGGATAGCGGGGCGGCCAATCGCGTGGGTGGGTGTATCTGCCTCACCTTCAATCTGCGTCGTGTCTTCTGTAGCAGGAGTTGGGGCATTATCCTCTGCTTCTTTGGATTCACCAGGCGTGTCGGCCTGCGCTTCGTCCGCGTCTTGGTCATCGCCTTCGGGCTCTACGTCGGGATCGTCATCGGGTGAATTTGGTTCTTCAATGGGCGGCGACGAGGGCTGTGATGGAGGTGCATCTAGCATCTCCTCGTCCGACAGGTCTGGTAACGTTGGAACATTTTCTGGCGGATCTAGTTAGTCGCAACGCGTTTCACAGGGGCAATTGATTCTAGAGGCTGAGTGTCTTTAAAAGCGTTATCGATCTAGGGCACTTACTCATAGACTTAGCTGCCGCTTGGGCTGCCGCCCTGAGCTTTCGAGGCATTTTGGCAACAATTCGTGGGGGCTCAATGCATAAAGCGATATACGTCCGGTCATGAGCGGCGAGCTGTTTTGGCAAAACCAATGGTTCCGATATAGTCACGTGGTTTTTATATCATCACGTGAATGTGGCATTAAGCCTCACCGCCGTAAAGGCTCCGGTATCACATGACCGCCGGCGGTCTGGGGCATGTGATCAGCCCTGAGCCCTACCCTGCCTATGACGTCATATTACCCCTCCCCCTCGATGAGCTCGGGGCAACAGGTTGACTCCAGCACGGTGAATCAGCAGGCCTGGTTGGGGCATGCATCTAGACTCAACACAGCCTACTCATTGCAGTCTTGCTTACCAGCAGTCAATGATTATTGTGTGACTGGACTATGGAACACGAGTGCAGAAAGAGTTCACAATTCATTGCGGCACGATGAGCTCATGCTCGGGATTGCCATGCAGATTAGCCTCTTTCGCCCAGAAAGGTTCACCGAGCGGCTAACTAGCTCGCCGTTCTCTCCCGAGAGGATCGTGCTTTAGCGCTGTCTAGTGTGGCTGCTAGCACGGGTTCTAGTCATATACTTTGAACAGTCGCAGCTGCCCTACCGGAGAGCTAACCTCCGAAGACCTGATATGACTGGTTGTGTGTGCCGGTCTCAATACCCTTGACTATGCAGATACCTCTTAGTTACGCCTTTCTTGAACTTGAATTTGCAATTACTGGTTATCATTATGATCATTTTCTAAATCATTCTCGTCATGCTACGACGTAATAATTTGAGCATGTACACTGTACTCTGATAGGGATCATCTGAAGACGGCTTGCTGCCAGAGTCATGATCACATGCAACTATATCTCCAAGTTTACCCTTCCCTCTCTCCTACATAGATGTTTGGACCTCCCATTAGTCCAATCACAGTAGTCAGGAGAAACCTGCTTCGAAGAAATCCTTAACCATTTAGATCCGACCAGATAAACTGTGGTGTACTGGCTCGGACCTAAGACCTAAGCATGCTGCATCGACACTTGACTCTGCGGCAAGCCCTCCTGTCAAGTATGTCATTCTGCACCCTTATCAGCCAATCCGACGGCTTTTTGCTGCTCAACGCTTCCAGAAATGAATGTGGGATCCTTCGCATGCAGCGGCAACGGATCTCCCCTCAGTAGCCTCCGAAAGAGAGTCGGGTGCATGCATGGCTTAATAGGTGCAGGGCAGCATTGCTGCGCGGTGGCGATCGTGGCACAGCATAGCAACTGACAGATGACCTGCGAATAGGAATATCCGTCGTTATTTTCAATTTCAAGTTTGGGGTCCATGAATTGACCAAGGTACGCACTATTCATGTAGCTGATGTTTTGCTGTTTTGCTGTTTTGCTGTTGGCGTGCAGGACCTACCAGGTAGTAAGGAGGTAGCTAGATAGTTACAAGTAAAGGAGAGTTCTTCGTGCTGTCGCGAGGGCTGGCATACGGAGGTTTGACCGCGGAGAGCCCGAGGAACTTGGAAGGTCTACGTGAATTTGCCAATTGTGATTGATCCTCGCACCTTGGAATTAGCACATCTAATATCAACAATTGAGGTCCCACGGCGGTCCTGAAGTATAGCAGAGAAGACCCCAAGGATTAGAGCTCACGTACCCTGGTCAATCAATGAACGAGATCTTAGGGTCCTTTTTCCGATACGATATCGATATCCTGTTCGTCTACCCTCGTGGAAGGAGCGTGGTGAGGGGCAGACGCAGATCCTCCCCCGCGCTGGGGATGAATTTCACTTGACAGACGGGGTCAACGTGTGCCACAGCTGATAGAGCGGCGTTATGTTGCCCTTTTAAGTCCACTATTCATGATCATCCCTCACAATTCCCATTATACTGTAACAAGTAACATTGTTTTCTGTATTATGCACATGGCCACCACCTCCGGCATTTCCATCCATCCATCTACATCGAGCTAGCATAAGCTCAGGGAACCCCCTAAGGTGGGCCATGACGCAGTTAGTGGAGATCACCGGGCATCTGCACTTCAATAGTCTCCTACTGTTTAGGTGACCACCATCAGAGAGCCCGCAACCTACCGAAGATACCGTACCAAAAGTCCGAAATGGAATGCATACCGCCCGCCAAAAAAGACGCGGAAGTAATTCGAGCGCCACGGGGATTGGGCACGGGAGGGCGACGACGACTGGAAGGAATGTAGCGATGGACAGTTACCTTCTTCCATGCAAGGGGAAGGCCCGGCACGAAGCTGGGTGCCGCTCGATCGCGATCACTCTGTAGATTGCCGATCGGACTGGATCATGGTGACGGGAGGCAAATATCCATGGGATGTCAGGGAAGAGGGTGTGGATGTGGAAAAGGTGCGATGGGGATCGTGGGGTTGAGTTCTCCATCCCAAAGATTGAGAATTGAACCGTGACAGGGCCCACTGGTTGATGGAAAGACGAGAATGGACGGTGTACATACTGTAGTTTGTACCCCGCCCCTCGAAGCGGAGATGGCGGAGATTCTCGTGCATTCGGTTAGCTGTACGCGATAAGGGAAGCGACGAAAGGTTAAGAAACTGAAATAACAGAAAATGTCGTCGTACGAGCAACTTTGCCGGAGCATGCGTTGGTAAAATACAGTTTTCATTGCGTGCTATGCTTGTCGGGATTAGCACATGAACACCTTAGGTTCTGCTGATCGGCATCCCAGACATCTCCCTCTTGTCTGCTTCAAGAACTGCATGAACCTGGATTCTAGGCCACCACACGTTCATTCTTCTCGATCAGCCTTGTCGAGTTCGAGGGGGGGGGAAAGAGAGACGACAAGGAAATCTTAGATTTCTTGTTTAGACCGTGGCTGATACAGTAGGCGTCCATTGGACGATCCACAATCATGGAATAAATGAATGATAATCAATTTGAACGGTGATCTTCAGAGTAGTCATCATCATAATCTCAAAATCTGAATAACTTAAATAAGGGCCAATTATTGTCCATGGACATTCACAGCCACTATTGGCTCGTAGGTATCCTCAATACTCCAGCAGACCGGACTGTAGTCTTCACGGAGTATACGGAGTAACCGAACAAGAATTAATCAGGCCGCCACTTTGAGGGGTGGACAGCTCAATGCTCCACCAAGGGTTTTCCCTTTGACATTCTTTGGATTTGGGTGATGCTCTTTTTTTTTGCCCTCCTGCTCTGGTTGGTTTGATCTCCACTTTGAGGGATTTGCCTCCCTGCCGGTCTGCTGAGTTGCGGGCTCGGTCGCCCTCCGGACTGGTGGATTTGGCCGTGGGAGGGCGAGCTGATCGTACGGGTGGACGATGCTAGAGAGATAAGTATGCCTTGAATGACGAGGGATATCGTTTTGGATGTCGCCGTTGATTGCTTGGACGACTAGTACCGACTATATTCCGATCAACCAAGTTTCTCTATACGAAGAATCATTTTTCCCTTTAGAAACGCCCCCCGTCTTATTTTAAACCAATCCCACCTGCACTCAGCTGATGGTCAGCCCTTTTTTCCCTGTTCAGCTCTTTGGCCTTTTTTGGGTGTTTGACCCGTAGTCACAGCCCTCTCTCAAATGGGTTTAAAATGAGAAAAACGAGCCCAATAACCGAATGAAGAGTCTCCTCCCACGTTGGCGGGGGGCATTCTTTGGTTCCGACCTGCTTAAAACCACCGGGTCGAGTCCACACGAGTCTTCTCGAATCCAGGTCTGCTCGAAAGAACTCGAAGTCGAGGTCTTCTGAGTTTATCATTTTTTCTTAAATTACCAGTATTGTCAACTGGGCATTTATTACTATCACCTGCGTATATTCCCCACGACCGAAACGCTCAGAGCCGAAGCCGATCGGGGACTTCCATCCCGCAATCTCCCTTAGCTCATCATCGGGCGGCGTCAAAGTTTCTTTTTTTCTCCCCTCGACCACCACCACCACACCCCGTCATCGCCATCTCTCTTCTTTCCCTTTCCTCCTCCCGCTCCCCCACCCGACTTTCGCCTCGCCTTCTTATCTTCTGGCGGAGCTTTCGTTGATGGAAACGCAATGGCTGCTGCGAGTGGAACTGAGTTGCACGCCGACGGCGACATGAAATCGCCCAAGTGAGTCATGTTGCCCTGAAATTCTTTGAATGCCTCTTTACCTCTATCCACCTCTTCCGCTTCCCTCTGTCCCATCCCCTCCGGGCCTAGCGACGTTTGGGGCGGGACAAGTTCATGAAAAAGTCGGTCTCGGGACTTGGGAGGGTTGCTCAAAAAAGAGGGTCCGCCATCCCCTCTCCCCTCACACCGCATTGCATGGACTATCATTCCATGCAGACCTTGTCTCAAGACGCCCACTCCCGGTCTATACAAACTCAAGACTCTATGGTTTGGGTTGAAATCCGGCCTTCGCTCTCCAATCCACCTCCTTTGGGCTTACCGGACGTTTCCTGCACCCACAAAAAGGAATCTGAAGGATCGTCCCGGTCGCACGTGGAGATCTTGGAAAGACCTGGAAATGACCGATCGTGGATACATGTCTCTATATAAACCATGATCTCACTAGCGCTCGACGCCTACGTTTTTGACCATGGCAAACGCTAATCAGTTACACCCTTATAGTTCCAGCCCCGAAGACGACATCCCAGACCAGATTGGGTCAAACGGGTCCACTCCTACGGGCATCGCAACCCCTCAGCCCGATCCCGCGGACAAGCGTCTACCTTCCATCATGCATAACTACTTCCAGGTTGGTTCTTTCTCTGGTGATAAAGCGAATTTGCCTCGATTCTGGTCATATCTCTCGAAGCCTTCGTGGGACCCCTCTCCATCACAAACACCCCCATCTTCCACCTCCCCCACCACCACTCATCACCCGGGCACTTCCTCCGAGTCCTTCGTTATGATGGAGCGGGAGGATGGAGAGGGGTCTGATCAAATGGAGGTGATACCTACCACCAACTTGCCCACTCCGCCGCATTCTTTACTCCAACAGGAGTCGGACGAGATGGACCTTGCGTCGAGTCTCGAGAAGAATGACGGGTCTTCAATATTTCATATCCTCAAGAAATATCTCGCCCCCCACACCACCACCGCCCCTCCTACTCGCCGTCAAACTTCCCTACCAGTTTCCAGCGTCTCTGATGACCCCGTTCTTGCTTCACATTTCTCCAATCCATCTATTCCTTCTGCTTCTTCAGATGCCTTCTACCCTTCCGAAGCTCCCTTGCTCGACCACGAGATGCCGCATGTTTCCATTTCTTCCGAGAATCTTGCAAAGCTGACTGGAAACGCACCCGATGGGGTGCGTCTCAAGAATACCCCGCCGTTGACTCCCCGGGCCATGTCCAACGAGGACCAACCGGCCGATAAGAAGCCGGTTTCCTCCACGCCACTCGCCAGCGGATCCAAGGAGTCGCAAGAGGAACAGCCACAGCAAGAGCAACAACCACACTCGGATGGTATGGACAGTTCTACCGACGAGATCGCCACGAAACTCGACGAGGCTTTCCCTCGCCAAGCCACCGCCTCCCCTCAGAATGGAGCTCCCGTGGGACCCTTGAAGGGAAAATTGTTTGTGAAGATCTCCGAGGCTCGTGGATTGCGGCCTAGTTTCGATCCCTATGTCGTATGCGTATTCGAGTGGAATGAGTATATCTCTAAGGGTGCCCGATCTGGGGAAGAGGAGAAGAAACGGCGGCAGATGCAGTCGGATGCCGAGGCTGGTATACCCATGGCCATTCCGATGAAAAGCCGCCAAAGTAGCTACAACAGTGCTCTAGACGGTCATGATCACAAGGGTCGAAGCCCCGTGACGGATCCCCATTGGGATCATGAGGCGGTCTTGTAAGCCTTTTTTTTTCCCACGTCCCCCTTTGATTCAATTCCCGTCTCTTACTAACAATCCATTGCAGTGATGTACTCGGCGACCAGTCCGAGGTCGATGTTACCGTTTACGACCGCAGTAACCAAGAGGCGTTCCTCGGTCACGTGCGCCTTGCCATCAACCTGAAGGAAGATCACAGCCGGCTGGAAGGTTGGTTCCCTCTGGTTGCTCGTGCTGCTGGAGATAGTCAGGTGTCGGGTGAAATTCATTTGCAGATGCGATTCGAGATGACGGAGCGCAGACAGGTGGGCCCGAACGACTTCCACATCCTGAAGCTTATCGGCAAGGGAACCTTTGGCCAGGTCTATCAGGTCAAGAAGAAGGATACTGAGCGGATTTACGCCATGAAGGTCCTCTCCAAGAAGGTGATCATTCAAAAGAAGGAGGTGATACACACGTTGGGCGAGCGCAACATCCTCGTGCGCACTGCAATGACGGCTTCGCCGTTTATCGTTGGACTGAAGTTCTCGTTCCAGACCCCGACGGATCTCTACCTGGTCACGGATTACATGTCTGGCGGTGAACTGTTCTGGCATCTCCAACGAGAGGGCCGCTTCCAGGAGGCCCGTGCCAAATTCTACATTGCCGAGTTGATCTTGGCACTGCAGCATCTGCACGATCACGATATCGTGTACCGTGACTTGAAGCCGGAGAACATCCTGCTTGATGCAAACGGTCACATTGCCCTGTGCGACTTCGGCCTTTCCAAGGCTAACCTGAGCCAAAACGACACTACCAACACTTTCTGTGGTACCACCGAGTATCTTGCCCCGGAGGTGTTGCTGGATGAGCAAGGATACACCAAGATGGTTGATTTCTGGTCCTTGGGAGTTTTGGTCTTTGAGATGTGTTGCGGTTGGAGTCCGTTCTACGCCGAAGATACCCAGCAAATGTACAAGAATATTGCTTTCGGCAAAGTGCGGTTCCCCCGCGATGCGCTTAGCACCGAGGGTCGGAATTTCGTCAAGGGTCTGCTGAACCGGAATCCAAAGCACCGACTTGGTGCCAATGGAGACGCAAAGGAGCTCATGGCACACCCCTTCTTCAGCGATGTCGACTGGGAGGCGCTGGGCCGCAAGCAGGTCATCCCTCCGTTCAAGCCAAAGCTGCAATCCGATACCGATACCTCCAACTTCGACCCGGAGTTCACCAATGCCCTGGAGACCAACAACTCCCTGCATGAGCGCGCTGCCGCTCTCGCGAATGGCTTGATGCCCGGATCGACCCCTCTCTCTCCCGGCATGCAAGCCAATTTCAAGGGCTTCACTTTCGTGAACGAGAGCTCTATTGACCATCACCTTAAGCACGACCCTGCTGACCGGATGGACGAGGACCCCGTGCACGAGGAGTCGTGGCAGCGGACGCACCGGGCCACCAACTCGAACGATCAGCGCATGAGCGGTGTTCAGAAGACGGACGGAACTGAGCCAGGGATCTTCAACGTTGACGATAATTTTGACATGTGATTACGTATCTCCTTTTGTTCTCTCTCTCTCTCTCTTTTCCCTTTCGTCTCTCATTGCATGATCATGGAGTCCTGATCCGGCATAAATCTTGTGTCCTTGTCCCTTGTCTTGTACATGTTGTCCCTGTATGCATGGTCCTGGTAGCCCGCAGCAGAGTATGGGGGCCTTCTCTAGTCCTGTTCTCATCACGTTTGTCTCATCTTACGTGTCCCTCGACTACCTTTGCTTCTTCTTTTAATGCGCCACGTCGTGTTCTTCTTTCTCTCTCTCTGCCCGGGTGGTGGTTTTGGTTTCTGGCTTCATCTTGACATCGATCTTGATTTCCAACTTGCCTCTTATCTCTTCCTCGTCTCCGTGTGGCCTTTGCTTCTTCTTCCCACGCCTCGTACGTCTTTTCCGCAATCATGCTCCTGCTCTTGTTCGTGTTCCTGTTACTTGTCTGCTCTGACAGATGAAGATTGCCGGCTTCAATCACGGTCTTGATGATTGTGTCCCCAATTGTTTCACCCCCGCGTCTGTTCGGCAGTTCAGCTACATACATACCCCCGTCCCTTTGATTCCTGAGTTTTTTGGTAGTGCTCAGGAGGGCTTGCATTTTTCTTTCCTACTTTCTGCGCTGAATCGATATTTCGTGGTTTATGGTTCTGATTCCTGGTTCCCTGGGTTTTCTTTCTTCGTAAATTATTCCTCAAAAAATTAGGAAGGGGATTTGCATTTACCTTTTAGGACTGAATCTACTGGAGACTATCTTGCTCAGAAACACTTCACTAGTACCGGTACCTAAATCATTACGCTGCTCACTGATATGCAATCCATACGCAGCAGCTCGAAAATCTAAAAGGTGGGACTGGCGAAACGGTCAATGCTTCAAACTTCCATTACGTGCAAGTAGGCATTCCAAAGTTGTACAGTGAACATCGAGACAATCTCAAGCCCTCGAACACAACCCTATGACCGTCCGCCGGGCCGGCCAAGATGCATGAGGGCCGGGGACTAAGGAAGGTCATACTGCTTTGAGTAAATCAGTCCTATCGAACTGTGGGTCTCCGCGGGGAACTATATAAATCGCAATCCAACCACGAGATTAGATAATTCCTTTGCCAAACACTTGTTTTACAATCTATCTCACATTCTTTAATAAGAGCATAACTCTGTTACTCCATTCTTTCTACGACTCAATCCAGCATTCCAGCAAAAAAGAAGACTCCATGGATCCGCACCTCTACCTCACCAACATGCCCTCCCAATCCTCAAACTCAACCGCCAGTCTCAAACCGCAACCAGAAGCAACCATCATCCCCTCAACATATACACAATCTACACCCCCAGAATCCTTCCCAACTCCCGCGAACGGCACCCTAACCTGGCATACCCTTATCTCGCAACCACACACACCAACCTCGGACCTCTCCGCCGGCATTGCAGTCTGTCCTCCTCGCACGGGACACCTCTGCCCCCACCGGCACAGCCAGGCTGAAATATACCATATCCTCGAGGGAGAGGGGGAAGTCACGATTGATGGAGTGGCTAGTAAAGTGAATGCGGGCAGTACGGTGTTTATCCCCGGTAATGCGGAGCATGGAATTGTAAATACGGGGAGTGGGGATTTGAGGTGGTTTTATGTTTTTTCCACGGGTGCTTTTGGGGATGTTGTTTATAGATTCTCTGAGAAGGGTTCGGCGTTGGCGAAGCTTTAGGGGTATAGCTAGTGGGTTCATGAACGAAAATGAGGAGTTATGGTTTGCGCTATAGGTTTGGAGTTTCATAAATTTAGCAATCCTGATGAGATATTTGAATTATTGTGTCATTTATACTTGAAAAGATAACGGAGAGATATTGCTAGGATTCTCTAACAAGACAGTTAAGAGGGTCGGCTATAAAACCTGCCTCGGGCTTAAAGTACTCGAGCAGCGACGACATCATAAATACTATAGAGTAGGAAATAAATACTTCCTCTCCGACGCGAGGTGCGTTCCGCGTCATTCCGCGTCCTGGTCAGCTAGACTGGCAGACAGCCATCAGAGGGGCGTACCCTTACATCTACAGCAATAGCAACAACATTAGGTGTTAGCCTACTGTATGAATGTAGGGGATGACTTTACTAGATCCATTGAGTTTTCTATCATGCCCGATGGCAGCGTATTGGAGGCCGGGAAAATTTCTCTTATTAACGTTAGCGTACAGCGTGTTGTGCTCGAAGCTGAGGCGAACACGACCCCCCTCGCTGGATGACTGGAATTATCTCTTCTATGGCGTGAAGACCTATTTCACGAGTGTCCTAGAAATGCATATCATCGATAATAATGAAAGAAGGGTCTTGCCATTCAAACTCTGTGAGGCTAGTTGCGCATCTGACCTGGTTCGACAATGCGGCTGGGTGTGGACTTTACGAACTCTTTTGAACAGAAATGTGCTTGGCAAGGGAATGAGGACTAGAAGATACTCCCGTCGTCAAAATTGACTGCACTACGTGGTGGCTGTTCTCCCTTGGACTTTTGATCTATTTACTATAAGCCCATCGTATTGTGTAGGTGTTATTTACATTGAGTTGCCGAGTAGAACAGAGTCATTAACAAACTAGCTCCTAATTAGCATATTTGTGCTATGCCCAGCGCTCCGAACTAATTCTTCGGCTATGTTGCTCAATTTCTTGCATTAGTTGCACAAGTTTCCGAGCGTCGGCTTGTGTCCTTTCCATTAGCTCATCTTGCTCACTTATCCATCTCAGACGCTTTTTCCAAAACTCCCATCTCTCTATCGAGAACGAAGAGTCTCCCTCCCATAGATTGCAACCACGCAATTTTATTCTTTCAAGTAAAGACAGATCTTTCTTGCCGATAAAACTGAAAATGATATGCCCGGCAATTTCAAAAAAAAGGAACCATAGCGTGTACATCAGTCTAGATTCCATAAGTCAATCATCTTAGTGCAATCTCGGCTTCGGTCTCACTCACATTCAACATAAGAACATAATCAGTAGCGCGGCGAAGGTCCCGAAGGTGGTGGCGCTGTAAAGTTCTTGGCGACTCCGGCGGTCGTGGTTGTGCATAAGTCCATGGGCCCTGCTCTAGTGCAAACATGACAAGTCGCAATGCCACGGCTAATTCGCTTAATTTGGGGGAATCAGGTGGATAGGCAGCAAGATAGTGCGCATAGAAAGCGCTAGCGCTATGGAAGTCATTCCACCCGTAGAAGGGATATGGGCCGTATCTCATCTCCCAGCAGCCTGTAATAAATGGATTAATATAAGATACAATACGTCCATTAAAATGGATTGCCTAACGGGAACCCCATGAAGGTCAAGATGATTTGGAAGTCTCGCAAGGTTCAAGCCGTCATACCACGCCAGTAAAGGAGATGACAAGCTTATTTTTTTGAGGGGTTGGGGCAAAGTAGACCACTCACGCGCATAAGTCTCAGACCAGATGTTTTCAAATGCCTCCAAGGATCTCCAGTTTTCTAATTTATCTTCGAAACGACGGGTTCGAATCTGCTCCTCGGTTCTTTCCAGCTCAGGAAGTGCGCGAATAGCCTCAACCAACTTATGAATAGCAGGCTGATAGCGCGGCATCTCGATAGCGGCATCCCATAATAACCAGGAAACGCGTTCGCCTATATTCACGACATCATTCTGGCGCTCATCTACCCCGCAGCCCTCGTCAGCGAGTGACATTAAATTGCGAGCAGCGTCATCTGCCGAAATGGTATCGGATGTGTCGTAACGCTCGGTAAACTCTCGCAAAATTTGAATTTCGTCCGGAGTTGGAGGGTCTTCTTCATCTGGGTCCGGATGGGAGAAGCGTTCCCACTCGGTGTAGAGGTCTCTCATAGGTAGCAGCGGTTGATACCTTTAGTGAACATGAAAGAACGTATCTTCGGCTTCTTCAATGGCCCCTGCTAGTAACAACAGCGGAGCCTGTAGTGAGCCTGGTCTCGGTAATCTTTTTGAGGGAATATGGGGTTAATTGACAATTTGTCGAAGCGCATTGGTGGACGCCCAGAGAGAGGAGATACCATAATGTATTCCATAAGCCAGTGGGGCCACCAACCGACCGGGTCACCCCAACTAAATCGGATATTTCAAGTCGTGATATATCAGCCACAAGAACACATTGCTATATGATTCTTAGTATAATATGGACTCGGTCATCGATGGCATTAAAACCGGTACCGATACGGAGTTGCAATTGGGAATTAAAGGAGTATAAAGTCAGTGACCCTCTATATCTAGCTACCCGTTCTCATATTACCTTCCAGGCCTATGCTAATCAAGTATAGCCGACGTGGATATTATGAACGAAAGAGTCGAAATTGAAGCTAGAGAAAATATATACGAGACTAATCCGAGTAGGGACCCTAGCAGTCACCCGTTAAGTCAGAAGCGTGCTCTCCCGCCATTATGTGCACCTACTACTAATAGGACCTAGGTGATGCTTCTAATAAAGCTGAAATTAACAAGACAATTAACAAGACAACTAACAAGACAATTAACAAGACAATAAAAAAGACATCCTAGGGGATCTTTCAAATATAGGAGGCCACATCATCTTTGGCTCAGGCTATCTCTTATTCCAAATTTTTGAACTACCACTCATTAAATATACGTCGATGTCTAGTGTAGTTACCATAATTTTCTTCCTATCAGCGAGGACCTAAGTAGGCTTGGCGTCGTCGTGTCACGAAAGCTTTTAGTAGTTAGTACCATTGAAAATGATCTGCTATTTAAGGTTATATCATTCTCAAGCCTGATCTACCGGCCCGTTATTTACATGGTTAATAAAATAGTATTTTATTGCAAGAAAGATGTCGTAATTACCGATTGATTTGTTCTGTATTTACAGTTCATAATTTCGGGGCTCCGGATATTGAACTGGTGGTATTTGAAGGACTATTAAGAACCCAGGATTATATAGATCTCTACAACAATATAAATTAAAAATCAAAAAACAAATCAAATTCTTCTGGTAGCAATCGGGTATCACTCTCCTAAGTATGCAAAAAATCAAGAATCAAAATGCAGAGAGATTCGAGCCAAAAAAAAGAAACCAACGAGCAACTATGCGTATCGACTCCTCTCTTCTCACTTTGAAGATTACCACAAACCCCAATCTTCATCATTGGATGCCATCATTCCTAGATACCACAGAGCAAGTGGTACTGTGAATCGCACTCTTCTTGCCCGCTGGTTCCCGCTGGTTGGGTCATAAGCTGGCAATCCCGAGTTCCACGGGATAGGCTTCGCCAAGTCCAAACTCCCCTTGATCGAATTCCCATCCTTATCTGTGGATCTGCGAATGACGACCAACTCTCGATCAGTCAGAACGAATCCATACCGAGCCACAGTTTGCACCATGTAGAAATTGACCTGGGAGAGGACTTGTCTGAATTCGTTCTGCAAATGCCGATTGCTGTATCTCATATCCATATTCCATTTATGAGATAGCTTGATGTCCCCGGGCAGGCGACCATGTCTTTCAAGCCTGTTCTCGTTTTCAGACCAGAACATCAAGTCAGGGTAGCCCTTTTCTCTTGGAGTGTGCAGATCGCCGCTACTCCCAAGGATGACCGGTGTGCGGCCCTCCTCTTCGAGTAGCTCGTCTGCCCCGAGATCCTCAAACCCACAAAGGAGGCCTCTTCTAACGAGGGGATGCACCGTCTCAGCGAAAATGTACGCAAGTTCTAACTCAGAATTGATCTCTCGGGGAGTGGTTGAGGGAAGCCTCGGAACAATTTCGGCTTGCATCAGGAGACTTTGAAAGTTCGACTTGATCTCTGGCAAGGCGAAACCGTCCCAGTCTCGGATGGTTGTGATATCCGAATATTTGTAGTTCTGACTCTTGGTATTGTCGCCTGGGGGGCAAAAATGCTGGTTGATATGTAGGGTAGGTGGCTCGCACTGGAGGTGAGTAAGGAGACTCACGGTCTCGTCATCCATGCTGCCGTCATCCGTGCTGCTTGACTGTTGAGACACCATCTCAGCTTGAGATGGTCGAGGTGTTGATCAGGAGGGAATGTAGGACTGGTGGTTAGAAAAGGTATGTGTGACAAGGTGATATTCGTGAGTAAGGAGGAGTTGTGTTCGGAGAGGTGCTGGTGAATATGTCAAGTTTTCTTGAGTGAATAGGGTCAGTAATTCCGTTTGATAAACGGAATTGCTGGTCCTGGAGGTAGAATAGGTGAGTCAGGAGGAGAATTTAGGAGAGAAGGAGAGAAGATAGAAGCAGAGAAATGCCTTGTGTGTGAGAGTTGTGTGAAAGCGTAAGACTGGAGAGAGCTGAGTAGGAATGGGCAGCCTTGGATGGTAGAAAGTGAGGGAAATCGAGAGTCTGCGATAGTAGATGAGAGGTAAGATGATATGTTTGTGAGTAAGAAGGAGGTTGTGCTCGGAGAGATGCTGGTGGATAAGTTGAGTTATGTTGGTTCTCAGTATGGGTCAGTGATTTCACTGGCTCTTGGGGTAGCATTTGTGAGTCCAGAGAAGAAGCGAGGAGAAGAAGTTAGGAAAAGAATTCAGGAGAAGAAGTTAGGAGAAGGAGTTAGGAGAGAAAGATTTGAGAGCGCCTGAGTATGAATGAGAAGCTCTGGATGGTAGTAAGTGAGGGAAATCGAGAACATGCAATAGTGGATGAAAAGTAAGACATATGAGGGAAGCAATCAGAGTAGAAAGGGTAACTAGTAGGAGGTTAATAGTATATAGAAGATAGAAGAAGGTATATAAAGAAGGTAAAAATTAAGATAGAAAGTGGCTAAGAGTAGGGTAAAAAAAAGATCTAGTAGGATAGGTTATAGAAGTGTCACGGTCTACATATGTTTAGTGCTGATGCCTAGTGCTAAGGATATCCATATACTATTTAAATAGCTCTCTCACTACTTCTCTTTCTTCCCTTTCTCTCATGCTTAGTTGGATCGTTGAATGGCACCATATTGACTTGATATCATCGTGCCTAAGCGTAATCAGAAAAGCCAGAGATCAGGGATAGATAGCAGAGTCAATTAGGAGAGTAATTTAGATAGTAAGACAAAGGATGTTCTGAAGGATGCTCTGGATGATGCTCTGGACGATGTTCCGAAGGATGTTCTGAGAGCATCTTGGAGATGAACTTCTAGATATGATATGAAAGAAGGTATGTAGCTGACAGCCCTGAGTTCCTTAATGCTGGTGATGGAGTCCCTTCTTATATGCCTGGGTAGCTCTAAGAAAACATTGGCCCCTAGACAGCTTTAATAATTATAGTTACTAGTATTTCCGCCACTATAAATTGATTACTATGGGGATATTTCCACCGCTAAGCACGCCTTTTCAACGGTTATTCTCGATGGGCAATTTCAACCCGACTATAGACCAAGCGAAGCCTTACGCTCCAGTAACTATCTCCTTCAAAATCAGTATGACGTTATCAATAGTTGAGCATGATAGAGGCATTATTATGTTCGGGCTGTACTTAGATGACTAGTTCCAGACTCTCTATGATTCGCTATGCATATAGAGTAACAGCAGCCATGAAGCTGGGCAAGCACTATTTTGACAGTAATCAGATACTTCTTCAACAATGCGAAAGGTGCATTGACCCACGTGTCGAAGTGTAGTAATCAAAATGAATTCGAAAAGTGCTCAGACACTAGTCTCTGCGCCTCGAAATTGTCTCTATAAAGAACTCCTCCCTTATTGGTCGGCTTCTAGCCGTTAGGGCTCTGCGCACTGGATTGGAGTTACAGATATGCAGCTAATGGCAGCTAATGGGCTGACTACAGTAAACTCCACCAATTAAGCTAAGATAAGATGCTGATCTTTCTTCTTCTAATTCCGGGGCTTTTTGTCTGCTTACCGACCGGAATTCTGTCCATTTCCTTCTCCTAGTTGTTGAGTGCTAGTGAATTGGCTGCTTCCACCCCGACTTCATGGTCTTTTTCCTTTGACACCTTTTCATGCTCATACTTCTATATCTGAATAAAGAACCTCCATCGTTGATTCTGCTTCTCTATTCGGAGCTGCTTCTGTTGGAAAAGGCTCGGGTGCATATTCGCTCTCCAACATTCGCGTCGAATCCTGTATCTTGACTATTTAGACGAAAATGTTGTCCCTACCATGTATAACCGTGGGCCTTCTGGGTGCTAGCATAACACTCGTTACCGCAAATGGCCATTCGAATATTCTCCACCGGGATGTCGTGGTTATCGGTGGAGGTGCTTCCGGTGCCTACGCTGCCGTCCGGCTACGCGATGACCTTAACAAGTCCATCGCCTTGATCGAGAAGCAGGATATCCTGGTAAGTTTTCCTGTTTGTTTACCTGCCAGTTTTTGGGTTGTTGAAACGGCTTCAGGATTAAATCGACCACCGAAAAATGCTAACTGGGTCTACGTGTAGGGTGGCATGGTTGACACTTACGTGGACAAGAAGACAGGCGCCACATTTGATTATGGTGTTCAGAGTTTCCTCAACGTTAGCAAAGCCAAGGATTTCTTCGACCGGTTCAATATCTCCGTCGGCAGTAACTCGAGCAGTCCGACGCTAATCACCGAGTACATCGATTTCAACACCGGCGCCGAAGTCGCGTTTCAACCGCCATCTCTGACGGCGCAGATAACTGCAATTGCCAAATTTCTCGATGTGATTACGCCATGGGAATCTATGCTGCAGCCCGGATACTGGAACTTCCCCGAACCTGACGACATTCCCGAGGATCTTCTGATCCCTTTCGGTGAATTCTTGACCAAATACGGCCTCGAAGACGGTGCCCCTATTATCTATGCAACCACCGGTCTTGGACTGGGCGATATGAGTGAAGTTGTTACCATGTTTGCGCTGCAGGGCTTTGGCTGGGATATGGCACGGGGGATGACAGGTCAAATAGGCTTGTTTACACCTACTTCTGGAGGCAACCAGGCTCTCTACAATGCGATCGCTAAGAATCTAGGCGATGATGTGCTCTACTCCAGCACTGTGATTAGCAGTCACCGCACCAACTCCAGTGTCCAACTTACTGTTCAAGATCACAAGACTGGAAAATCTACCCAGATTGTCGCCCGCCGGCTCCTGGTTGCTATTGAACCCACCGACGACAATGTGGCTCCCCTGGACCTCAGTCCCTTTGAGCGGGATACCCTCGCCAAGTTTACCTACTCGAATGAATACACGGGCCTTGTCGACAACTCTGTCTTCAACACAAGTTATTACTACTTCAATCTGCCATCATCCGCGGCGCCAAACCATACGCTCGTCTTTCAAGAGGAGCCCATGGTTGCGAGCTTCCAGTACACCGGCCTTGAGCACCTATTCCGTGTAATGATTATCGGCAACACGACCACCACTAGTCGTGAAGCCAAATCCCTAGCTCAAACAAGCTTCGACACTTTGCTAAATACTGGTCGATTAACCGGAACTGAACTCCAGACCCAGGAGCTCAACTGGGCTGCTTTCTCTACACATGGACCAATGCACGCCCGTGTGTCAGTTGACGAGGTCAAATCTGGGTTCTTCCAAGATCTGTATAAGCTGCAAGGTGCGCGTTCTACGTGGTGGACGGGTGGTGCCTTTTCGGTCAACTTCCAGACGAAGTTGTGGGAGTTTGATGAGGGCCTTATTCCCAAGATCGTTGAGGGTCTTTAACAGCCTACGTCTAACGTGATACGCGAGGCATACAACTGTCGCGATCAAGGGATCCTGAGCTGTCTAACAAGCAGAGAATTGGGCTACTGATCTAGGGCACTTGGTAGTGGATGAGTCTTCTTTTACTTATACAGAGCCAGATCCGCTGAGGTCAAATGACCAGCAACCAAAAAGTTCCATATTCTCTCATAAAGACATCTGCGTAGAATCCTCTGGCCAGTCTATATGTGTTGGGCTTGTAGATCATGGATCAAATGACATAACCTTAATAATCACGCGTTCCAATTAAACAGGTCGGCGGGGCAGGAACGCCAGAACTCAAGTTGGTAGTTGCACCTCCCAACTTCGGCCAGATACTCACAATGAGAATCTACGTTCGGTTTGTTTGCCGCGATGCAGACTGAGAATACGGCAGATTCCATTTAAAATGAGCCTCAAAGCCTTTTACACCCCGAATTCTTCTCAACTTCTCTCACCATCCTGCGACACCACGAAATCCTTCCGATGGCCCCCGATATCCCTTCTCCTACGGGAGAGACCCTGAGTAGCGACAGCCCAGTCTCACTTCCAGAGTATCAAGCTCCGGAGATCGACTTAGCTGAGGTGACGCCAGTGGAGCTTCTTCACGAGTCCGATGATTCAAGAGTATTCCGGGGTCGATGGCGCGAGAAGGACTGTGTATTGAAAATCGTGCGTTTCGAATCATCACTTGAAGAGCCGTCACTAATCTGGATGCAGTGTCATTTCTCCGAGGAACCTAGCTTCTTCAAAGAATATGAGACCGATCCATTTCTCCGTGAAAGCCAAGCTTACTGTCGATTGAAGGCATTTGGTCTCTGCGAGAAGGGCCATATTCCCGACTTCTATGGATTGATCAAGAACATTGTCCTCAAGACCCAGGGCTGGGAGCCACACCTTGAGGTTTTTGCTGAGGATCCCGAACTTCCAAATGCTTTGGTAATCGAATTCTTCCCAAATTTGCGCCCATTCGAGTTGTCGACTTACTCCGCCAACAGAGCGGATCAGCTGAGAGCCACAGTGGTCGAGATACATAAGGCTGGCGTGTGGCACGGCGACATCGAGAAGCGGAACACGAAGGTGCAAGAGGAGACAAATAGGGTGATCTTAATTGATTTCGACCGTGCCGTGACGCTCCCTCTGGACTCAAGAACGGAGACGGAGAAGGACATTCGAGGAAAGATGGCAAACGAAGAAGTGCTTCTTCTGGAGACGCTCGCCGAGCTGGTAAGCCCCCAAATCCTGGTAATGACCGTACAAAGCTTACCCTCACTCAGGCCGAAGACCACAAACGTGGCAAGATCTGGTCGTCATGGTACTGGCATTACGGCCTTTGGAACCTGCCCAACTGGACCAAAGAGGATTTAGCCGCTGTAGATGTGGCAGTCCGAGCAGCAGCAGAAGGAACTTTGGCCGCAGAGAGTCCACTCCTCGTGCATGTTGAAAGACCATGCCAAGATCTCAGCTATGTGGAATGGACAGTGTCCAGCAGCGACGAGAAGGATGACAGCCCACTGAACTGGTAGAGTCTCGCAGCGACGAGGGGGATGATGGAGACAAGAGGGATGACGGCTGGTAGAGTCCAGCAGCGATGAGAAGGATGACAAGGTAGATGCAGAGCTACTTGAAATGGCCCTGGCCCGATTGCGAGGAGATTCCACATGGTCATTGATAATGAAGACTAGACGACATTACCTCCAAAAAATCGTGCTACCTTAGACGACTAGGCGTAACTACCGAGTACAACTTGAATGAAACAAAAAGTCAAAATGCAGTTGATGACAATGCTATCAGTAATCTATCGGGCTATTGAAGAGCTTCCATCTAAATCTCGGGATATTGTAGATTCGAAATGCTATATTTACAGATATATAGTGAAGGTCTGTCGGTTATATTTGCACTGATCCACCCACGCAGCAGGAATTCTCGAGGTGCTTTCCGGTGCCCAAGAGACAGACACAGACAGCGGCGCCGCTGCAATGCTGTTCAATATGGCAGAGAGACCCAACAAGCTCGTGTAGGTAAATAAACACTCGACCATCCAAGTGCCGGCGGGCCGCAAATCCTTGTACTCGGTAGCCGTGGTAAAATCATACTGAATTCCAAATCTCACATGGCGATACCGATGGAACGGCAAGTCGCCCCCTCCTAAAATGCAGTCGCGAGGGACAGATCGGGTGATACCATTGGTTCACGTTCCAGTAGCGATTGGGTGGATGTGTCTCCACCGGATCGGATTTCAGCTGAGCCCAGTCCACATGGTTTATCTGATGAGTGCCGCCATTCCAGACAGAGGAAGGCCTGCCGGACAAGTTCCTATGATTGCCGACTTCACTGGCGGCAAGAAACCTTCATTAGGTACAATGGAAAGCTCTCACGTTGAGTGGTCTCGTGCTTTGCCTTCGCGAGAGAGAGAGAGTATGTGTGTGTGTGCGTGTGAGCGGTGTTGAGGAACCAATCCATGGGTGCAGATCATCATTGATCGATCTCGGGGTCACTTTACCAGTCTGTGCTAAAGAGAGTTATTAATATCACTATTTATCAGCGATAGTACATTTTTGAGACTGGGGTGGCAAGTTCGCGGGTTTGTTGGTCGGCAATATGCGCCTTGTGGATTGTGCTGGGTTTGCGTGCCTGGCAACTTGTAGTCTTGCAGTTCCTAGACGGCAGCTTGCCTAATTGAACGAGGGGCGTCGGGCTGTCTCACGCTCAGGCCGCAGTTCTTGTATGTTCGTGGGATTCGGCCCCCAGTAAGAGAGCTGAAAACGACAGAACGTCAACAGAGACCCGGCTCGTTGTGCTGAAACGTTCCGGTGCAGGTTGTAGAGTGCAATTCATATGAATAGTGGATGGGGATGGATTCATACACCTTTTCCTTGGAACTAAACTGATAGGAAGAGCCTAGTGCCAATCAGTTTCCTCCGTGGCACTGTTTGAGACCAACTTGCCGTCGGAAGTCATTGAGAAGAAAAAAAAGGGGGCAACCAAGCCGGGCCCCATAAAAATAGACCCACCGTATGAGGGCGCTATGCCTCCAGTAGATTAGCGCTGCAGCTCACGAACCGCACTCGAAGAACCGATTACTGCAGGTGCATTGGGTGTTTTGGGTGCCATGCAGTCTGCCATGCGCCAGGACAGAATGGAGTCCTGGGAATCTGGAGAAAGCCATGAGTAACCCAAACAAGCAGTTTGTGGAATCATTGGGTGCAATAAACACTCTAGATATGATTTAGGACAGACCTACTGACTGTTTGTCTGAAGATTTCGGGCGGATCCCTGTTGCATCGGGCATAGGGCGAGGGACAGTCGCAACCCCTGAACCGCCCCCTGTCAGTGTTCTCCGCTGAGCACGAGCAGGAATAGCCAGTGTGGGGTCGATCGACCAGACGCCATGCTGTTTTTGCCAGGACCCTCGAAGAGAAGAGGCACAGAGTACGAGCGGGCAAAGGATTGACTAGTGGGAGGAGACGGGTTAATGAACGAGAGGAAAAGGGCATTGGTTGTATGCACTGTGGTGGTGGTGGTGGTGGTGGTGGTGGTGGTGTCGTGACTGGTGATCTGCCTCGTTCCCTTCTGCCGACGTTATTCTCCGACTGCTTCCTCTCCTCGTAACTCATCACACCACACTCTCTTTCTACTCTTTCACCCTCTTCGCTCGTTTTTCTCCCTGGCACATCAACAAGCCAACAACAATAGTGACCTCATTTGGAATTCTAACTCGTCGATCTCCCTCGTTATATTACGACACTGCCGTTTACTCCCCGTGGACCGAAACCCCCCCTACATTCCTCGCTCTTCCCCGCTGTCTGCCATAAGCGCCAATCTTTTTTTCCCTTCTCCTTTGCCAGCTTCTCGCGACTCCGATGCCCGGCGCGTCCCGTCACGATGAGTGTTGTTGCCAGTAGACCAGAGAGCCCTGCTGTGCCCTACACGATCCCCCACGATGCCCCGAGCTACAAAGAATTCGGCGTGAGCGTCCAGCCCGTGTCCTCGCGCACCTCTTCCATCTCCTCCTATAAGACAAACTATACAACCTCGACTACGCCGACGACGGCCTACTCACCCTCTTCGCCTACTTCGCCTACCTCCTCTTGTCGCCAATTTGACTCGATAGGGTCCATCACCGAGACCATTGCGCCAGTTCAGCGCCGAGTGCCCCAGGAAGTCTACGACGTGATCCTCAACAGTCTTGAGACCTTGCACAAGGCTCCATACCAAACCGGCTGCACAACATGCTTTCAGCGCGACCTACACGCTTTGTCCCTGACCTGCCGGTCATGGGAAAAGGCAGTCAGACCACGACTGTAAGTCGAGCAGTCGGGTGCTGCCGGTTTTCAATGGGAAAGTGCCAGTGCTAACACATTTCAATACTCCAGTTATAATCAAATTCACATTGTCGGGAATGACTCCCCGGCTCAATTGAAAAAATATCGCCTCAAAAGAGGAAGTCGCTTGAAGCTACTACGCCGCACCTTGCGCGAACGGCACATGCTGGCCCATCTCGTCCGCGAACTTCGGGTGCCTCAGATGGATTTGCTCTTCACAACAACGAAACAGAGTACCCAATGGCAGGAATATCGCGATCTCGTCGCGTCCGTGGTCATGGTTTGTCCAAATTTAGAACGCCTGCTGGGCCTGTCGATCCCCTACCACCACGAGTTCGATCGTTTGACCCACGCGTTGTCGACCCGCAAGCGGCTCAAAGAGCATATTTGGGTGCTGGGCGAGGCAGCGGAGGTTTCAGAAATGTCGCCCCGTAGTACCTCCTGCCCCGGCAGTTTGGGCCCGTCTCAGATGTTCGAGTTTCTAAATTATCATGTCTCATGGTCGAACTTGGAGACTTTGATGCTGTATGGCTTGAACGGGAATGGCGCATTGGAGCCAAGTATATTCTTACGCATGTTTGATTTATTGCCGTCATTGAAGAATCTCTGCATCACCTCCTTTAGCGAGGATGCTTTCGCGGATAGCACGCTGCTATGCCTTCCACCGCTGGAATCTCTGCGCTTGGAGAACCTGCCCGGTGTTACGGACCGTGGCCTTGTCCAGTATACGTCGCGCCCTGAGTCCCGCTCGCTCAAGTCGTTTGTCTTGGTGGAACAGAATGTGGAATCGTTGCTGGTCATATCCAAAATTCTATCGTCCCTGACACAACTCGAACGGTTCAAGTTTGTGCAATGCGATAAATGCCCGGTCATGCCTAGCGAAGGCATAGTCTTCCAGCCCATATTGGCATCATCCAGTCTCAAATACCTTCATTGGGACGTCGCTTGCCCTGACCCAGGCACTGCGCTGACCCAACTTGACTGTCTTCCCTTCCAGCACCCCCTCAAACAATCCGACACCCCAAACTCTCATCTTGCTCAAAGTATTCTTTCCGCTGGATTCCCTTGCCTCGAGACGCTTCGAGCCCCCAATGACGTGGAGCCTCCTGGTGTGCTGCAGGCTTCCTGCCGCCCTATCATCAGGGGCCAAGCACTGCTTCGACCAGACAGGTACAGCCTACCTCGCAGCTCGCACGGTTCTGTCAGTACTAGACCTCTGGCTTTGCCAGCTGGAAATAACTTGACTTCTTCTCGAATTCGCGCACAAACCTTTATTGACATGGCTGCAAAGGATACCGAAAGTGGTATGCCAGTGTTGATACAGGATTACTCGGACGAATTCATTCCGGACAACGCAATGGCCTCCCAGTTTGAAGAAGAGCCGGAGCAAGAAATGGATGACTACGGTATCTGGGCTGCAGCCGAGCGATACAAGAATGCACCTCCTCAGAACGACGGCCCCAAAACCGTCTATGAGTTCCATATGCCAGCATTCATGGGCCGCTCGGGTGTCAGAGATCCCGCAACGGGAGCATCTATTCCCAAGTTCCTATTGCGTCCTGATATCACTGGGCAGGAATCAGATGGTGGATTGATCGGGTGGAAGCATTTACTTGCCTCCAATCAGTCGCTGTCTTTTGCTGCCGGCGTGGGGGTTCATTGCTTTGAAAATGGCAAGAACATTCCCAACCCGCCTCCAATTGATGATATTGCTTCTCCATCCTCTAGCATATCGCGCTTCGGATGGGGCAGCCTTGGTGGTCGCTCGACAGGCACACCAGCAACTCCCACCACTCCAATTACTCCAATGAGCTTCACCTCTTCACATGCACTCCCTTGGGATAAAGATACCTGCACCGGCTCCTGGAACCACAAGATGGGCCGGGACTGGTGGTTTCACATGGAACGCGACCGCCCAGGGAACTCTGAGCTCATCAGGGCGCTGCAGCTCTTCTGAGCACACTATTCCTTTGCGATCTTTCATTACAATTTTTTCCCTTCATTCCCTCTTCTCTCTGTTACCACGTCATATACCCCGCATTTGGTCAATCCTTGTTTCGGTGCTCTTTTGCTTTTTGATATTCTTTTCTCTCCCTCACGAGTATGACACATGGGTCTACTGCTCGGCGCTATAATTGCAGTGCCGATCAGTTGGGTGTTTATTTGGTTCTTTTATCTATACTCTCACCGCACTCATGGGTTCCTGGGTGTCTTTTCTCTACCGGCGCTACATCTCACTGGTGATAAAGCATGAATGTTCTCGTAATTGGGGTCATCCTGTCTTTTTTGTCCTTCTGTGTCTATATCTTGCTTCTGTGTCTATATCTTGCTTCTGTGTCTATATCTTGCTTTTGTGACTTTCGACTCGTTATTCTGGGTCTGTACAAACTCTGTACCACCACTCATGTACAGCTATGCTCTACCATGTCCTGATACTAGGTATAATCAA